CTCCTCCCCGCACCCGCCCCCTACCTACCCCTCCTCCCCGCACCTGCCCCTCCTTCCCGCACCCGCCCCACCAACCCCGCACCCGCCCCACCCTCCCGCACCTACCCCCCCTCACACTCGTCCCCATCTACCCCTCCTGCACCCGCCCCCGCCTCCGCCTTCAGCCCCCACCTACCTCTTCCCGTTCTTTGTATCCCCTTCATATCTCTACCTACGACTTCCCAGTTCCTTCTTCCCTTTCTTGCTAAGTAGTGAACCCCTTATGTATGGCATAGGCTGCGTCAAAAGGAATATAACTGTTGGCATATACTGTAAAGGGGCTTCGTGGTCACTAAAGGCTGCCGGTAAAACTGTCACCGTATAAGCTGGCTGCCGCTAACAACACCTGCGTACTCGCTGGCTGCTGGTGAGGGGGTCCTTGCGTTCTGTGGCTGTAGCTGTGTGTGCTGTGCTGTGTAGGCACTAGGAGGAGGAAGGAGACATCTGGCCTGACTGGGGTGGGTCGCTGAGGCGCATGTGGCCGACCCACCCCGTCCGCCCCCAAGCCGTGTTGTACATCAGGTGCTGGGCTGCGAGCGAGCTAGCTGGGAGCTGCTGGGCGCTGCAGAGGGGTCTGCCTGCCTCGGTGGCATAAGGCGCAATATAGCAGGAAATGCAATCAACCAACATAACTCGCCGCCTAACACATCAAGCCCACAGCATATCCATGAAACCCCATGAGCGGTGCTACCGCCAAAAGACTCTACGTAGCTTAACAAGCGGCAGGACACCAGCGTACGGGTCTGAAACGCCTGTATTCTCCCTCCTCCGGTTCCCTTAGCAGTTCTTCAGCTCCCTAAACCTCCTCGCATTCCTACAGCTACCACAACAAGTCAACATGAAGTGGTAACAGTGTCCGTACCAAGGACACCTTCAGCTAAACGCAAATGCCGTCGACCCAACATCAACCCACCAGCATGCAGCACGAAAAGCACAGCAGCGACAATAATTACCGATGCGCCACCTACCCCAAATCCACCGCCAGCCAGACTGGGCATCTAGGTACAACACTGGTGCGCCCACTAGCCAACGACCGCAAATCGCGTGGAAGGGTGCACAACAGGCCCCGAGCCTTAGCCACGCATGTAGAGTGACAACTGCGCCACCAAGCCAACTTACTTGTGACCCGTGAAGGATAACCGCTATGCCGATTAGGCGGCGGAGGCGGGCTGGTGAAGTAGGCGACGTCGGTCTTGAGGGGCCGGCGGCAACGTGATGAAGGGTCGAGGTAGCGGAGGCGGGCTTGGCGTGGCGTTTATTGAAGAAGAAGGTGCCGTCCTGTCATCCGTTCCCAAGTACGCCAGGTCCACGAAAGCTATGGTGGCGGCGGAGGGGTATCGACGCATGGCATGCGAAGGGGGAGGGAGAAAGGGAGGGGGGTGATGATGAGAAGGAGGGGTAGAACTCGTTGGGCATCAACACAACATGAACGGCTGCAGACGGTACGAGGCGCTAAAGACAATGGATGCCAAAGCAACACAGGACAACCCAACCGCAGCCGCGCGCGAAACCCTAAAGCACGCCACGTACACCCACGACGGCACACCGCGTGAGGCAAGCCCCCCAACTTACGTGGAACAGCAATGAACCGAGACGGATGTGGCGCAAGGAGAGGTAGTCTATGTCAAAGGGAGCGCTGGGTCTTGTTGGCTGGAGGGTACGTCGTCGTTCCAACTCGTTCCGCAGACAGGGCGCCCGCCTTGCTGGCCATGCATCTGCAGGAGGCAGGATAAGGTCAGATGTCAGTCACACAGCAGCGGCATCAGACCCACTTCATATACTTGCAACCCCATAACTGGCGTCACCCCTCAAGATGACCTTCCGCAAAGCCCGATGGATACCGGCACCTATTGGTTGTACACGTACCCTTGCCGTGTGTGCATGTCTTATCTTGTCCTAGCTACGCAGCGCATGCTCAGGCCTCCACTAATATGCCCATGCTCCAATCCAACCCCGAACCCTAGGTACCGCAAATCCGCAGGACGTCAGGCTTTGCGGTATCCCGATCGTCCTAATAGCTCACAGGACGCGAACAGCCAACATGCGGATACAAGAGCAGCAACCTGTTGTGATCTACTGCTTGCGGCGGCTGTGCCGGCTGAAGCACATCCTGGAATCCTCATCATAGTGTGTTACATTTTGTATCACTTAGCATATATATCTGTCCTCTGTCTGCCTTGACTACTGCCTTTTGCCACTAGGGCAGATCCTCTAATAAGGACCACTTGCAACTAGTGCCGTACACGAAGACTTCCCAATGGTCTGGTCGCTCTGAGGCAGCTATACTACAACACTCCCCCTCGAACAGACCACCGTTTACTGACCAACCTTCAACCTCACCTCACGTGCAACAACACATGCTAGTTGCAACCCAAATCCTAACACCTGCAATAACAGCAGCCATCCACCTTAACCCGTCACGCTTCCGCCTCCTTCAAACCCGTCACGCTTCCGCCTCCTCATAACAGCTCAAGTTAGACTTGTACCCTGTCTGCACCCCTAACATACTGCAATGAATGAACTCCTGCCATCATAGCCAGTTGTTAGACGTCTTGACCTAACTGGCTCTACTAGTCACAATATCGAACTCCTGCCGATAGCAACCTAGCAATACCGCTGAACTCCTGTCAGCCTATACAGTTGCAAACTCCTGCTACAACCGTGAGCAAGCATGTCTTAACGCTGGCAAATCAGAACAATCTAAACAATACTTCGCAAATGCATGCTTTGCGAGTAATCAGCTCCCCCTAATCCGTTTCTCCCCCGCATTCCACATCCTAAGCGTGGAATTCGCGGAACTGGCCCACCAGCCTTTTCACCTCCTCCTTCTTCTTCTCATCCTGCATTCGAACGTAGCAGTTCTTCGAGACGTGGCCCATGCTATTGCAATGGAAACAGGTCTTCTCGTGCGTGGCGACCGCCACCATCTGCTCATCGTTCCGCGTCTTCTTCAGCATTGCCTCGTGCCTCATCAGCTGCTTCTTGACGACCTCCAAGTTGTAGTCCTCCTCCCGTCGTCTTCAGCATCTGCGTTCGCCTTGGCCATCAGCGTGTTGATCGTCGTCACAATCGGCTCGAACGCATCAGGCATCCCAGCCAGAATCCATCCCTCCTAACTACTTGGCCGATCCTGACTTCCTTCAGTTGGCCCCTTTGTCAGTGAGTGATAACACAGTAGAGCGATTTCATACCTACCCATCCCTCCTAACTACTTGGCCGATCCTGACTTCCTTCAGTTGGCCCCTTTGTCAGTGAGTGATAACGCAGTAGAGCTCGGGGCTCATAACCTGTTGTGGGTTGTACGTGCGACGAGGCAGCGGGGGAGGAGCTGAGGTGTGGCTGCTCGTGCACGTAGACGACATGCTCATCTCAGCAAAGCTGCTGGAGCAGGTGGAGCTGGTCAAGCAGCTGCTGGGGGAGGTGTTCGAGGTTCACGACCTGGGGGAGGCATCGTTTTTCCTGGGCATGGAGCTGCAGCGGGGCGGCGGGAAGCTGAGGCTAACGCAGCAGCGGCAGACGTGGGAGCTGGTGAAGCGGTACGGCCTCGCACACGCCAAGACGCGGTCCGTGCCACTGGATCCGTGCACCAAGCTGGAGCGTGCGAAGGACGGCGAGGAGCTGCTGGACAAGACGCGCGGCTACAGCGAGGTTGTGGGCAGCCTGATGTATCTGGCCGTCAACACTAGGCCGGATATCGCACAAGCCGTGGGAGCACTGGCGCGCCACATGGCGAAGCCGACGGAGCAGCACTGGGAGGCGGCCATGGGCGTGCTGCGCTACCTGGCAAGTACGGCGGATTACGGGCTGTGTTTCGGGGGCGGAAAGATGGAGGTTGAGGGGTTTTGCGATGCGGATTACGCAGGGGATGTTGACACGCGTAGGTCGACGACCGGCTATGTGTTCACGCTTAACGGCGCGGCCATTAGCTGGTCGAGCAAGCTGCAGCCAACGGTGGCGGTCTCCACCCTGGAGGCCGAGTACATGGCTGCGGCGCAGGCCACGAAGGAGGCGTTGTGGCTGCGCAAGTTGATGGGCGATCTGGGGATGGAGAAGAAGTGCATGCAGATCTGGGGCGACAACCAGGGGGCGCTGAGCCAGATTAAGCACCCCATAGTGTCGGAGCGGTCGAAGCACATTGACGTGCAGTATCACTTCGTGCGGGAGCGGGTGCGGTACCAGGAGGTGAAGTTCGATTACTGCTCGACGGAGAGCATGCTGGCGGATGCGTTCACGAAGCCGCTGGCCAAGGTCAAGTTCGAGCAGTGCCGGAAGGGCATGGGAGTGAGCAAGAGGCCGCAGGTCTAAGGGGTTGTCTGCGGAGAAGACTGCAGTGTACTGAGGGTTTGTTAAGTGGAAGGAACTGCAGCGTTATGAGGAAGTTATCAGTGTTCCTTTGGGTTTGAGGAAGAGTTGGGAGTTTTCGTTATCAGTGGAACCTTTTTGGGTTAGGAGTTTGCTTTGCTTTTGGTTCCATAGTTTGTTGTGGGTTAAGTGAGCTAAGGACAACAACAGTGAGTTATCCGCGTGGGAGTGTTGTAGAGTGGTTAGCCTCTCCGGTTAACTCGCTGTGGGATTGCCAGTTGTACGGCAAGGGCAAGCCTCGCATGGCTATGTGGCTGCGTGAGACAGCCCAATGGCTAATGGCTTACATGGACTAACACAGACTATTGGTATTATTGCTATCTTGTAAGAGACAGTTATGATACGGCCGCCATTCACAGGTTAACACAACAACCCACCTGCTCCAGCAGCTTTGCTGAGATGAGCATGTCGTCTACGTGCACGAGCAGCCACACCTCAGCTCCTCCCCCGCTGCCTCGTCGCACGTACAACCCCGCATCTGCCTCCGACTCCTGGAAACCGTGCGCCTCCAGCACGGACTTCAGCTTAATGTGCCAAGCCCGCGGCGCCTGCTTCAGCCCGTACAGAGACTTCTGCAGGCGGCACTTGAGGCTGCTGTCCCCATTCTCAAACCCCGGCGGCTGATCAGTGTAGACCTCCTCCTCCAGCTCACCGTTTAGGAAAGCGGTCTTGATGTCTACGTGATGCAGCTGCAAGCCCTCAGCCGCCACCTTCGCCAGCAAAGCCCGTAGGGTCGACTGCTTGCCGGTTGGGGCAAAGACCTCGTTGAAGTCAATACCCTCACGCTGCATGTAGCCCTTAACAACCAACCGCGCCTTGAACCTCTCAATGCTGTTATCTGCCCGGCGCTTGATCGTGAGAACCCATCTCACCGGCAGTACCCTAGCCCCTGCCGGTGGCTTCTCCAGCCTCCACGTACCATTGGCGTGCAGGCTCGCAATCTCCGCCTGCTTCGCCCCCTCGAACTCCGCTGCATAGGGTCCACTACGCGCCTCCTTATCGGTAAACTGATCCTTGGCGTTCTCCACTGCCGTTACCACGTATTGACCGCTCGTCATCCACTTCGGAGGGTGGCGTGCACGTCCGCCGCCGCCTGCACCACCCCCACCATCCTCATTGCCGCCAGCCAAGCTTTTGAAACTGCTGGCGGCACTTTCAGAAGACTCTGCCGTAGCTGCCGCACTCCGCCCAGAGTCGTCCGACTCCTCACCATCTCCACTGCCATTACCGTTGCCACTACCACTGCCTGCGCCTCCCCCGCTGTCGTTGCCAAGAGCACCACCACTGCCACTGTGGGTGCCTCCCACGCTACCGCTGCTGGCATTACCTCCACTGCCGCCGCTACCAGCACCACCACCACTGCCACTGCCACTGCCGGCACCACCGCCACTGCTGCTGCCACTGCCGGCACCACCGCCACTGCTGCTGCCACTGCCGGCACCACCGCCACTGCTGCTGCCACTGCCGACGTCATAGTCGACATTGGCTGGAGACAGCAGCAAACCCCAGCTGTCGTCACTAGTGCTGCTCGATCCTCCCACGGTAGAGTCCGCCTGAGGCAGCCGCTCGTCAAACGTAACGCTGCTGCTCACCACAATCTTTCCACCCACCAACACCCGAAACTGCCGTCCCTTTGGCTCCAGCCCCACAAACACCCCCTTCACTGCCACATCATCCAGCTTGCTCCGCTGCTGCTTAGGCACGTGCACGTACGCCTTCGCCCCAAACACCCGCAGGCTGGAAACGTCCGGCTTATTGCCCGAGAGGCGTTCGTACGGAGTAGTGGGATGGTTGCGGTACGGAGACGTGTTCCTCACGTCTGACGCATACGTAGCTGCCTCCTCCCAGAGCGAGGACTTCAGGCCGGCGTCGATCAGCATCGGTCGCACCTTCTCCAAAATCGACCTGTTCAGACGCTCCGCCTTGCCGTTCTGCTCCGGCGTGTACGGCGCTGTCTTCTCGTGATCGATGCCGTTGAACTCGAACCACTCGCCCAGCTTCCGGTTGACGTACTCACGCCCCCGATCCGTCCGCACTGCCTTCACATTCAGATCCAGCTGCCGCTCGAACATGACAAGCACCTTCTTCACCACATCAGGCACATCCGACTTAAACCGCACAAACTCCAAGTGCGAGTAACCACTGTAGTCATCCAAAAACGTCACCATGTAGCTGTTCCCATTCAGCGACTCCACCGGAAACGGCCCACACACGTCCATGTGGATCAGCTCGAGAGGCCGGGAGGTGGTGGAACTGGAGGACTGGAACGAAACCCTTGGCTGCTTGCCCAGCATGCACGGCTCGCACACCTTGTCTGCCGCTGCGAACTGCTTCAGCGAAAGGTCCAGCCCCTCCACCATATTCTCCCGCACCAGCTTCTCCATGCCCCCATACGACAGGTGACCAAGCCGCCTGTGCCAAAGGCACAGCGGGTCGAGGATGGGCAGCGCCGTATCCATAGCCTCCGCCAGCATATCATCGTCCAGTACCGACAGGGGTTCCGCGTCAATGTAGTGCAGTCGGCTGCCCTCCCTGCGTGACGCCGTGAGCACCACCGCTCCGTCGTAGCTGACCTCCGACCGTCCCCCTTTCTTCACCGCCGACTCATAGCCCTTGTCCGCCAGCACGAGAGCCGAGATCACCTTCACCTGAGCGCCCGGCACGTACTGCACGTCGTGGATGCTGAACCGCACCCCCCCCGACACCAACACCACCGTTCCCGAGCCCTCTACTTTCCCGCTAGTGCCATACAGGCCGCTGATCTCGCCACCGGACGACCACTGGAAATCGTGCAGGTCCGCCAGGCTGTTGGTGACGTGGGTCGTGGCACCCGAATCGAGGATGAAGGGAGCGAGGGTCGGGTACTTGCTGAACAAGCCCCCTTCGTGCGCTACCGCTGCGTAGTCACGGAACCTTCCCGGCTGCCTCCCCTGCTGCGCCTGCTGCTGCTGCTGCTGCGCCTGAACCGCCTGCATCTGCTGTGCCTGCGGTACCTGCTGTACCGGCAGCACCTGCATCTGCTGTGCCTGCGGTACCTGCAGCACCTGCGGCTGTCCCACCGCCAGCTGCTGCATCTGCCCCTCAACACCCTGCTGCGCCTGAGCCTGCTGCTGCCTAAACTGCTGCACCTGCTCCTTGCTAGCCCGGCACTCGATCTTCCTGTGCCCCTTCTTCCCGCACCGGAAGCAGACCCCGTTGAACAGAACCTGTCCCGGGAACGTCCGTGGCTGGCCTCTGGGCCGATCAAACCGCGCGACGTTGACGAGCTCCATGTTGCCCGCCGACTGCTTCATCATCGACTCGTGCGTCTGTAGCTGCTTCTTGACGACCTCCAAGTTGTAGTCCTCCTCCTCGCCGTCCTCAGCTTCTGCGCTCGCCTTGGCCATCATCGCGTTGATGGTCGTCACAATCGGCTCAAACGCAGCCGGCAGCCCGGCCAGAATCTGCTCGGCCAGGTCCGTATCGGTAAACTCCACTCCAGCGTCCCTCAGCTGGTTGCGCAGTGCCTTCCCCCTGGCAAAGAACCCGGCGATGTCCTTGTCTTCCTTGCTGCAGAATCGCAGCTGCCGGAAACGCCTCTTTAGCTCCGGCCTCTGCAGCTTCATGGCGTCGTTGTAGAGCTTCTGCAGGATGTCCCAGGCCTCCTTGGCGGTCTCGCAGTCCTGGACGTCCTCCTCAAAATCCCTGCTCACATTGCGGCGCAGAAAGCCCAGCGCCTTCTTCGACACTGTCACGTTCGGAAACTCAGCATCTCTCAGCACATCCACAGCGATATCCTCTTGTGCCAGAAGATCGATATACTTCCGAGCAAACGTCCTCAAATTTGTCCCATCATACTTGGGAACAATCTCATACCTTCCCATCTCTCCTAACTACTTGGCCGATCCTGAGTTCCTTCAGTTAGCCCCTTTGTCGGTGAGAGATAACACAGTAGAGCCCGGGGCTCATAACCTGTTAACCTGTGAATGGCGGCCGTATCATAACTGTCTCTTACAAGATAGCAATAATACCAATAGTCTGTGTTAGTCCATGTAAGCCATTAGCCATTGGGCTGTCTCACGCAGCCACATAGCCATGCGAGGCTTGCCCTTGCCGTACAACTGGCAATCCCACAGCGAGTTAACCGGAGAGGCTAACCACTCTACAACACAACCAACGCGACTTACCTCTGCAGTGCCCTTCAAACGCACGCGTATTATGCATGTGGGTTGGAATCCGTTTCCAGCTGTCGACTCATCCGCCTTGGCTGGAACCTGAAGCTGCCGGTTGAAGAAGTGTTCCTATGGAGAAAGGGTCGAGGGAATGGTGCGCAGCTCATTCAGGGACAACGCACCAGAGCCATTAGCATGTCAATTGGCGGATGCCCGACGCGCCGCTATATTAGAGCCACATGAAATTCCCCTTATTTTATAGACACAACCAATACATGTATTTTGAAAGAACGCCACGGCTAAGGCCTAAAACTGCGGACGATGAAGGTCGCCCAACCCGCCCTAACTTCTTATTGTACCCGTATTCACTTACTGTTTTTCATCGGGAATAAATGATTGCAAGCAGACCTGTAGATTGTGGGAAAGCTGTTAAATTTGCTCGGCTGCGACCAGAGCTCAGCGTCCCAATCTTCACAAAACGGCGTCATTTACCGAGCTGTAGTGTTAGAGCTTATAGGCAACATACCTAAGGACTAGGCGCTCGCTATACGTCGCAGAGTTGGAGACTACCGTATTGAATCAATTGTGGTCCTGAAATGCCTTGAACCCAAGCCATAATCGCAACAAGTAGAAGTTAGCTTTTTGTCATAATAGAGATAAGGTGGTAGAGCATGGCATCGCGAGTTTTTATGACCGGACTTTAGTGCCGTATCCCCAGTAGCGCTGTAGGCCCAAAACCGGGGGGCCCAATGGAAGGTTACGGCAATGGAATGATGACCAAAGCAGAGGTGCATATAACTGTGGCGAACGGCAGACACAATGAAGGCCACATAGTTTAGCTAGATAGGTAAGTATCGATGACAATGTTTGCACCATAACGAGCATGCGCACAAGCCGGTACCACAGCTGTTCTGCTTATATGTAGGCGGACATACGTTGGTCGTAAGCTAGGTAGTATCACTGCCGGTGCGGAGTTGGCGACTCCAATCGCCGCTATCTCAGCTTGGCGACAACCAGTTACGCTTAGACTTTAGCAAGGTTACACCCTTGTCGCCACCTAACAGGGTGCAACGCAGTGCGAAAACTAGCGACCCCTTGTGAGGCTTACGTCGTCAATCAGCCGCTAGCGCCAATGTCCAAGGCAACATTCGCAGCAGCAGGACGCATCATACATAAAGCCGCACACAATGCAATCATTTAAAGCGGCTGGGGTGGCCGCGTACCCCGGTCGGTGCTCCTCCAAACTGGCTTCTCCAAACTGTACTACTCAATGTGCCTCCTCCGCACCCACCCAGCCTACAGTGTACTCCAACCTGGCTTCTTCACTCAGAGCCCCCCCTACCTTGCGACCCAGCTCGTCAGTTGCTTTGTCAGTTTCTCATTATATTTTTTACCCTGCGACCCGTTGCCCCTCTTCACCCAAACCCGTTTCCCGCACTTCTCGGCTCTCTCCTCGCAATGCGCATTGTGTACATACTTGGTCGAGGGACACGAAAACGAACCAGAGCTGTCATGGAAAGTGTAATGCGGGAAAGCGCATTTCTTACTAGGATAACAGCCGCACCAGCTTACGGTATCATACAAAGGGACGTAGCATCCCCGCACGAGGCACCTCATGCGGCCCCAGAGCCACGGGCCGGCCCCTCCCCCTTCCGCTCATATCCGCAGCAGACGCCCCAAGCACCCCTCCCTGCTGCTGCCCTTCTCCCTCCCGCATATTCCCTGCCGCCACAGCCGGCTTGGGTTTGGGTTGTGCGTACGGCGGGAACCTCGGGTTCAACCGCCGCCATGCAGGCGGCAGTTGCTGCTGCTGACTCAGCAACCGAAAGCACTCCCCAGCCACCTCCGCCAACTCCCCCATCAACGCCTGCTCCTGATCCTCTTCCCCATCCTCGTCCTCTGCTGCCACCGCCGCTGCAGCCGCAATTAACGTTTCACCCTCCCTCGTTGCCTTCTTTCCTTTCCGGTCCTGCTTCTTCTTCAGCATCTTCTTCCGTACGGTCAACAAAGCGTCAACGCTACGACTGACGTACATCATTTCCAACGGCTCCATCGCACCCGCCTCCGCCAGCGCCGCCGCCGCCTTCGCCAGCAGTCGCAGCCACGGCGGCGGCGGCGCCAGGCCCAGCGCCGCCGTCGCCCATAAGGCCTTCACCACCAAAACCTTATCCAAGTCGTACAAGTACGGCAACGTTGCGTCGTACCATTCCCCAAGCCAGGCCGAGGGTATAAGGGAGTCAAGGGTTGCGTCGCCAGCGCCGGCGCTATTACGTGGTCGTGACGCATGTTCGCTTCCTTGTTGTTCTTGTTGTTGTTGTCGCCGCCGCCGTCGCTCCACGGCTGCCTGCAGCTGCGTTAGTGCATGTCGTTGCGCTTCGGAGCCGTGCTGCTGCAGCTGTAGCAGCGCCCGCAGCTGCCGTTCAATGAGCTCCGAAACCTTGTCGTACTCTCCGTCATCAGCGTCCTCGTCACCGGCATCAGCGCCCCCATCCGCCGTTGCGGCTGTCGTGGCTTCTGTTCCTCCTTCTTTTGCGGCTGCTGCTGAGGATGACGATAATGGTAATGATGCGGATGATGCGGATGAAGATGACGAGGAGGTTGCTGCCGTACGGTCCACCTCCCGACACGCCGCCAGCGCCCAAAGTGCGTTGACCAGTCCCTCGGGCGGTATCTCAGATAGCCGCCCGGCCGTCTGGGGAGCGGATAGGGGGAGCGGGGTGTTTAGAGCTGTAACATGCCTTGGCAACTACCGGTGCGTACAGCACCCTGCGCTGCTACTTCCTCCCCACTGCCCCATCCCCCGCCCCGCCCCGCCCCCACCGCACCGCAATGAAGTAGTGCTGCCCCCACAGCGGCTCCAGGGGCAGCTGCAGCACCCCCAGGCTCCACAGCACCGCAGTGGCGCCCTCGGGGGGCAGCCCGCGCACCCAGATGCCCGCCAGCCAGTAGGCCTGTGGGGGAGAGGGACGGGGGGGAGGCACAGGAAGGGGCGCGGGGGCGGGTAGGGAGGGGGCGGTAAAGTGAGAAGCCCAGTCCCATGTGGATGGGGAGTAAAACCAAGGAATGAGGGGGTAGGGAGGGATGTAGGGAGAAAGGGCCAGCCCCATGTGGCAGCAGTAGGCTCCGGCGCGGGTTGCGCCATCAGGGAAGGGATGTGGCAAGGGGGCTTGTGGCAATTGGAATTGGTGTCGGCGCACCAGGCAACGAGAAATTAATACGCAATGATTGGGATGAAGAACCAGCACGTACTTAAACCTGGGCTGAGCGTTTCATACCGCCCCCTCACCTCTTACTCTCCCCCCCACCCTCGGCTTCTTCGTCCCTGCTCTCCTCCCCTCGCTCCTCACCTGCACCCATTCGTCAGGTGGGAAGTAGTTGTACGACGCGAACGCCCAGGCCAGCCGCGCAAGCTTGGCAGCGGGCAGGCTGCTCAGGGCGGCTGCAGCTGCTGCTGCTGCTGCTGCCGCCTGCTGCGCCTCGGCTGGGTCGCCATTGTTGTTGCTACCGGCTGTTGCCGCAGCGGTTGCTGACGCCACACTCGCAGCGTTTGTTGCTGCTGCTGCTGCCGGGAAGCCGCTCTTTCCGCTTGTACGGCTGCTGCCCCTCAAGTACAGCTCAAGCTCCTGGGGGAATGCATGCATCCAATCAGGGTTAGTCTTTTGGGACTTTGGCATCGGCGTTTGTATGGCTACAGCAACAGTGCTTATTGCATAGGTAAAGCGATTACCGGTTGTCCGCTAGCTAGGGTTCTGACGGCGGGTAGGTTTGCAATAACAGTCCTGCCGTATGATGTCAATACCATGTTCCATGTTGCAACCCCGAAACCAGCCTTTGCAGTGCTCCCTTTCCCTTCTTCCTTCTCCACAACTCACCCATCCAACCCCCTACACACACGCAACCCTCCATCTCCACCCTCCGCGGCACCACCCACCTCGCCCGTCACATACTCGGACTCGCCCTCCCCTCCCAGCACCTCCGCCTCCTCAGCTGCTGCTGCCGTTGCTCCCTCCCCTCCTCCTCCTGCTGCTCCTCCCCATGACGCCCTACCCAGGGTCGCCGCGGCCAGGCCATCTAGCAGCGGCTGCGCGGGTCGGTATCCCAGGGTCGCTACTGCCCAGGCCACGTCAGTTGCCTGGCTTGGACTCAGGAGGGGACTGGATGGGGGGTGGCTGTCGGGCTGCTGCTGGGAGGGGTGCTGGGGCTGAGGCTGAGGCTGTTGCATGAGGCTGTGTATCTGTTGTGTTGCAGGGGGGAGGGACATGGCCGCATGGGTAGAAAGAAAGGGGAGAGGTGTTATAAAAATGGGACATGTAGTTGTAAAAGTTTTGCAGGTCGGGGACTCGGGCGTGGGCGAGCAGGAGCAAGCGGAGCTATGAAGGGGCTCAGGTCTCAGGTGCGGTGCCCTATGCTCGCCACTCGGCAATGTGACATGCAGTTCGGAGTTGCTTGAACTAACACCACCCTAGGCTACCCCCTGGGGTTGCTTGCAGCAGCGGCCGGCGCATGCAGCAGGGTTACCGCCCCCCAGCATGGCAGCAAGCAGCCGGCCACATGCCCGCCCACATCTCGTCATGGCCCTTCCCTCATCTCCCCACCCCCCCCCTCCCGCTGCCCCCTACAACCCCCTACTTGTGTTTTGGTTTCTCTCTCTACCCCCTCCCCTCCCACCACCACTGCCCCACCTGTTGCAGCGCCGCACCCACCCAGGCCGCGTCCGGCACCACCCGCCCCTCCTCCGCCACCCACGTCAGCACCGCCGCCACCTTCCCTGCGCTGCCGGCGGAGGGCAGCGCCACCTCGGCGGCCTGCGGGACCCAGCAGGACGGTGCGTGGGTGAGGTTGAACGCTGCTGTACGGGTAAAGGTTGACCCAATGGTACACTGGTTTATGGTGCACGGGCCGTGAGACCAGGAAGGGCGGGGGTAGTGGAAGACGATCAGGTATCGGCATGTGTGAATGAAGGGAGGGGTGGACACGTCCAAGGACAAAGCCAGGGCTTGCCGTTGTACTTGTTGACGAGGCAGGCGGGTGAAGCAGAGGGGGGAATTCGATGGAAGCTGGGAGGTGGCGTGGGGGGAAGCGGACTTGCGTTCGCATAGCTTAGCCAGCAGATTCGCAAATGTGTGGCGTGCATTTCCTCACGGCCACGTGAATGGACATATGTGCGCTGCGGGGCCATGCCGGGTACAATTGACCTGTGCCACCACATCTCCGCCCCCCACCATGTCGTGGCCGTTGGTGCTGCATCCCGGCGGGGCATGCATCAGGCCCCGCCACCGTCCCACCATCCCCCCCTATCGTGAGAGGCTTCACCCTCACGATTAGGCCCGTATTAAGCCATTATACACTGTTCCCCATGCCTTGGGGATCCTGCGTTTCATTCACTACCTAGCCCATTCTAGCCCGTTGTGGTCAGCCTTCAAGACGGCACCTCGCTCCCCATCCCTCTAGTGCCGGTGGCAGGCGGCCATTCGGGATTGGCCGCATTCAAGGGTAGGAACCCCGCTGCTGCTGTTCCTGCCGCCAATGCTGCAGGCCACAATAGCGGAGGAGCCGGGTGTTGTGTTTTGCAATTCCTCCAGCCCCCCGGCCCATCCACCGTCCCCCCCACGTCTTCCTTGTTTCCACATGCAAACCTCCACTCCCCATGTTCAACACGTCGCCATGTATCCATGCAATCCATCTTGCAACCTCCGCATGCACCCAACCTATTCCCGCAAGCTTTCCCCCCTTTCTCTCCACCCTACGCCCTTCCAACCCCAACCCTAATTATATACTGAAACCCAAGCCCTCCCCCGACCCTCGCTTTCGCCACCACGCCACGCCCCTCTGCTCCCCCTGCCACCCCTCCCTCCCACCATAGGCCGACCTGCAGCAGCTCCTGCACCCAGTGCTCTGGAGGCGCCACGCCCAGCCGCCCTAGCGACACAGCCAGGGAGGCAAGCTGGCTGAAGCAGAGAGCGCGTAGCATTGGCTGACAGGCAGCGAGATACATGTCGAGCCAGTGAGGTTCGGGTGTGTGGCCTGCGCGAGCGAGCTTTTCAAGGGCTGAAACTAGGCGATCGGAATTAAGAACCGGGGCCGCAGAAGAGGGCAATGAGGATTGAGGGAGAGCGGCCAGAGCTGAAGTTACGGGGCTGCGGCGGCGAATAGTGGAGGTTGTAGTACATGGTTGGAGCTGGTTTGCGGCCAAAGGGGATGGTGGAAGGATTGGCGTGACGGCTGCTGCGGCTGGGAGATGCGGGCACAGCGTGACAGGCCTCCCCACGACGGAGGACACAGCGCGTGCCTGGCTAACACAAAGAGGGTGCTGCATCTATGCCGGGCAGTATAGCGTGCTAATCGGTCAAGAAAGCATATCCTAGACGCTGGACTTGTAAGAACAGGTATGGAGAGTTGTGAGTCAGGGCACTATAGCTAAATTAAGCAGCTACAGATGCTACAATAGGAAGATGCGTAGCCAATTATCTCCGTCGGTGTGTGATATCCAGCTACAAGTGAAACGAGGGCTCCACAGGGTACAAGTACACGTAACAGCACCTTTTGTTAGTACAAAAGGCATCCATCTCTGTCCTTATTACACCTAATACGTTTATGACGATGCGGAAATGATCTATGCTATCTTTATCAAACTTCCTCAAGTAAGCTTGTAAGCACCGGAAGCCGCATGGGAAAGCACCGGAAGCCGCATGGGAAAGCACGCTTCATGTCTACACCTTGAGAAAACTCATGACTTAATAACGTGCAAGAAGATGGATCCTTTGCGCGCTTCCTGGCAGTCGTGTCTTCACCTCAGTCGCCAGCTCAGCCTTCCCCGGAGGATACGCTACGTTGATTACATGCTCTAATCAGTCCACATGTGCTTTGCAAAGCAGTGTTTGCTCTACGCGAGCATTACCGGGGTGGTCGTACGGGTGCCTCCCTAGACCGCTGGGTCTAGGGACCTGTTGGGCGGGCAAACGACTGAAACTTACTTTTTGCGTCTTTACTACCTAGATATGTTTTAGTTGCCAGAACTGCTGACTTTTGAACGAATTTAGGTCGCCCTCGCCCCTTGCATACGCGATCTGCCCGCCACCATGGCCGAGGTTAAGCCAACGTCGAGGAAGGTCATTGAGACCATGAAGGAGATCACCGGCGCCTCAGAGGAAGACATCAAGGTCATGCTGCAACTTTGCGGCGGAGAGGTGAACACCGCGACCGAGCGCCTCCTCGAGAGCCCGTTTCAAACCGTGGGCAAGAAGAAGGAACGTAAGGCACGCGAGGAGGAGCGCAGGCCCGATTCTCGCCCTGCTGGTGGCCGCGGCTATGATCGGTTTGCTAACGGTGGCTCAGGCAGGGGCCGCGGCAGGGGCGAGGGCGGGCGTGGCGGCCGCGGGAGCGGCTACGCGACTGGACGTGGATCTGCTGGAGCCCCGCCTCAGCGCGGTGCTTCTGCCGGTCCTCGCCCGGTAAACAATTCTTCTCTTCCTTCGGAATCAAACGGTGCTTCGGCTCGTGGGGATAGCGGCTGGCCTGCACCGGCCGCGGCCGATGGCGATGCAAATGCATGGGGCGCTTCGGCTGGAGCGAACTGGGGCGAGGAGAAGGCTCCAGAAACCTCAACTTCTGCTTCCACTGGATGGGCATCTTCAGCAGCGGCTGCTCCTTCTACTTCCGGCAGTGCTTGGGGCACCGCGCCTGCCGAGAATGCGAGCGCGCCCACTCAGCACCCAGCCCCGATTCGGCCCGGAGGTGGCATGACTATGGCTGAGAAACTTAAGGCTTCACAGCAAAAGCCTCCTGCTCCCGCTCCTGCGCCTGCTCCTGCTCCGGAGCCGCCAAAGGCTGTCGCGCCCGCTCCCGCATCGACATCGGCAACCACGACTTCGTCGGTTGTGCCCGAGCCGACCGCACCAGCTCCCGAGATCGCATCTGCTTCCGATGCTGCCGCGAGCTACGCGGCTGCGCCTTCGCCAACGGTAGCTCCGAGCGCTTGGGCGGAGAACGCCGGCAAGAACCTGATGGGCATGCTCTCGGGCGCTGCCAAATCTGCTGCTCCGGTTCCCGCGGCTCCTTCTCCCCCCGCTGCTCCTTCGCCCGCACCTGCTCCCGCTCCCGCTGCGCCTTCCCCCACCCCTGCCCCTGCTGCTCCAGAGCCAACCCCTGCGGACAAGGTGGTCACCCTCTCTGCTGCGGACAACCAGGTCGCTCCCCCCACCGCCAGCAACCAGTACGCCTCCTACGTCGCGCCGCCCGCCCCCGCAGCGCCTGCCCCCGCCGAGCCCCCCAAGGCTGCCCCCGCGCCCGCCCCCGCGGCCGCTGCTGCTCAGGAGGTTGACAACCTGCAGCTCAGCTTTGGCACCTTCAACATCGGCGGCGCGCTCGGCGACTTCGGCGCCAACTTCAGCGCCTCCTACAACGGCCAGGCCGCTGCGGAGCCCCCCAAGCCCCAGCAGCCCGCACCGCAGCCCCAGCCCGTGCAGCCCCAGCAGCCCGCCGCTCAGCCTCAGCCCCAGCAGCCCCAGCAGGTGGAGCAGGTCGCGCCCGCGCAGCCCCCGGCCTCCACTGTCGCCATGGTTGCCGACCAGTACAAGCAGGCCTACGCGCAGTACGCCATGCAGACGGCTGCTGACAAGGCCGCTGCTGCTGCGCCCGCGTCCGCCGCTGTCACCGCCGCCGACCAGACCACCGCCGCGACCTACGGCAGCTTCCCCTCGCAGGCGGCTGCCGCTTTCGGCGGTGCGTTCGGCGCCAGCGGCTTTGGCGCTGCCGGCCAGGTTCCCGAGGCCTCCCGCGTCTTCACCCAGTCTGACTACGCCGCCGCTTACAACCAGGAGGCCCTCAAGCAGGCCACCCAGGCGGTGTACGGCCAGGCTCCCGCCGCTCAGGCCGCGTACGGCAGCCAGCAGCAGCCCCAGGCCGCCCCGCAGCAGCCTCAGCAGCCGCAACAGCCCCAGCAGCAGCAGCAGCCCCAGCAGGTGCAGCAACCCCAGCAGGTGCAGGCTCAGCAGATGGCGGTGAGCCAGCAGCAGCAACAGCAGCAGCAATACGCAGCGCACCAGGCCAGCCAGGTGCAGCAGCAGTATGCGCAGTACGCGCAGGCTTCCCAGGCGCCGTACGGCCAGGCCCAGGTGGGCCAGCAGGCCGTCAACGCTGCCTACAACCCCGCTGGCGCCGCGGCCAAGTACAACCCCGCTGCCGGCATGTACGGCCAGGCCGACCTGAGCGGAGCCATCGCCGCGTCCAGCGGCGCCGTCGCCAGCTCCGCTGCCGCCGCCGCGCCGCAGGTGCCCAACGCCCAGACGGCTGCTGCCAGCGCTCTGCCGCAGTACACGACGCCTGGAGCGCTGCCCCCCGCCATGCAGCTCAACACCGCCGGAGCCGCGGCGAGCCACCTGCCGTACCCGGCGTATCCGTACAGCAACCCCGCCTTTGCTGCTGCCATGTACCAGAACCCCTACCTGTACTACCAGCAGGTGAGCGAGGTAGGGGACAGGGGGGGGAGGGGGTGGTATGGGTTTTGGTTGGGGGGAGGGCAGGTGAAGGATGCTCTGTAAGAAGGGGGAGCTCTAGGGAGAAGCGGGGAATGGCTGCCAAGGCATGTGTTTGTGGGGGGGATATGCTGCCTGCTTTACAAGGAAGTGGGGTGGATTGCCGTTGTCTTGTGCATTGTTTAACACAGCCGGCTAAGCGCGTTGAGAGCATGTTATCAAGAGGGACTCAAACTTTAGGGACCGCCTTCTCCGCATCTACGGTGGGGGGCTCACCACCTAAAATTCGGATTGACGCTGCAAGCTGCTTTACATGCTCGGCCCCGCTCATCGCGAAGTAGCGCGTGTGCTTGGGCTCGCATGCACACCCCCTCACCCCTCCGCTCTCCGAAATCCTTGCCTTGTCCTCGGAAACCTGGTTACCCGGTGTCTCTGCTGCCCCCGCCCCGCTTCCCCCCCGCAGTACCAGACCTACCAGGCTCCTGCGACCGCCGCCGCACAGCCGCAGCCCTACCTACAGGCCAACCAGCACATGGGCCAGAGGTGGGTGGGGCGCGCGCATGTAGTTGTATGCGAAGGGGGGGTTGAAGGGCTTACTGGATTGCAATGTGGGTCAGCACGCTGCGTATGCAGACTCACACAGCGTGTAGATAGTTATAGAATGCATTTAGCGATCTGGGTCGGCAGGAAAACGTTTAGCCAGCACTTCCCCAGGCCGTATGTGTCGCTCCATCCGCCTTGTTTGCTGTGCGCCTCCTGCACGCATAGTGTACCGGCATTCCCCCTACGCGCACTGCCCTACCCGGGCGCGCTCAGGTCACCACCACCCCCCTTGATCATCCTTCTCTCCCCCCCCCACAGTCGGGATATGGGATTGGGACTCGTTGTCTCACTTATATAATTTTCCCCCCACAACCGCGCGCTCTCCCCTCACCCTCTCTGCAGGTCTGCCTTCCCCAGCTACAACGCGGCCAACCCAGTTGCCGCGGGCGCTGGCCAGCTGCCGGGCGGAGCCTACAACACCAACCCCGCCGCATACGGCCTGACGGGTGAGATGCAGCAATCAGTTCCATATTTAGGGCAGTAGGTGGGCAATTAGGTTCCATTCCATTCTGCTCCCCATTCCATTCTGCTCGAGCTAGGGGGCGCAATGAATAGGCGTAGAGCCCGCCTCTGATCGTTCTTTGGGCCACCGTGTTCGCACCTGGCGTGTCGCTTTTGTTGCCATGTACGAGGATGGGCCGGTTTTGCGAGGCGCATCCTTGTGGTGTCAGGTGGGCTTCGGCTTGCTAGCAGGCTTACGCTACGCATGCTTAGTGCTCTGCCTCCTAGCATGAAGGTCGCCCATTGCACTACGATGCTGGGTCCTTGTCCTTCTCCTCCACTCTCCCGTCCTTACCTCTCCCGTCCCCCCTCCCCCTCCCTCGCAGGCTACGACGATGCCAGCACCGCCACCGCCTCCGCCGTCAACGCCGCTGCCACCGGCGGCTCCGCTGCCTACTCGGTGCCCGGCGCCGGCTCCGTCAAGCAGGCTGACAAGCAGGACCCAGCCACGCTGGGCGGCTACGGCATGGGCGCGCAGCAACAGCAGCAGCAACAGCAGCTGCCGCAGGCTACCATGCAGCAGCAGGCGGGCGGCCAGCCGGGCGCCCAGACGGGCCACATGGGCCACGGAGGCCAGCACCACGGTGCGGGACACTACGGGAACCAGGGCTACGGCGGGTACGGCAACCAAGGGTACGGCAACCAAGGATACAGCGGCAACCAGGGCTACGGCGGCGGCCACTATGGTGGCTACGGCGGCCAGCGCGGCGGGTACGGCGGGTACAACCGCGGCGGCCCTGGCGGCTACAACAGGCAGTAAGCGGGATGTGCGCACCAGCTGGTGCATTCCCGTATGATGCCGGCTTGGGTGTGGAACCGTTTATAAGCGTGTGCGTGCGCGCGGAAGCCGGTGACGGGAAGCATGAGCTGCGAAGGCGTGGCTGCATGGTGGGCTGGTTGGGCGTTGTGAGGCTATGCCAGCTGCCATAGGACACGCGAGGTCACGGTGGGGAGTCGTCGGTTGTGGATGAAGGTGGGGTAAGAGGGGGAAAGCCAAGCTGTTTAGGAGTTTTGAGTTGTTGGTATCACTGAAGGAGGCTGCTATTTGAGTTGTGTGTCTGCCGGATCATCGTGCACGTGTATGCTGCAGTCGTTCGCCGCATGCCCATTACTGCGCGTTAGCAGCTCTATACCCTCTCCTTAGGTCGCCTTGTGCCATACCGAGTCTTATCCGGTCGGATTTGACTGGCCTTTGGGTATACGGCTTGCATGTTAGTCGGTATAGCCCCACTGTGCCTTTTTGTCTCCGCCGGTGCATATGCCAGTTTTTATGGGGCAACTGGCAATTATGGCAGGTATATGGGGGTGGCATATCGTCGTTTTGAGTAATGTGTTAACAAGTGAGGGTTTGGCGAGAGGCCCGGGGGTCACATAGGGTGGGTAAGGACTGGGGAAAAGGGCGCGACAAGGGATAAAGCACGGTAGGGGTTGCAGGATGTCTTTTGTGTTTCGGTTGAAACCGTATATCCCGCCTGCGGCCAACGTTTCATGGCCGCTGTGATAATACCCGAACGGGCTTCTCGACGCCCTGCTTAAATTGTTCTTACAAGTAGGCCTCCTTCACGACTTCAAGGAGCGGACATGCCTGTGCGGCGAACAGCAGTCGAGAAGTCGACCTGGGCTACGACCTGAGCACGCGTCGCGTGCTCGGGAACGTCCCTCCTTGGCGCTTTATATTGTGCGCATAATGCCCCTTCTCTGTAATGACAAAGCACAATTTGTCTCTGGCAGGAATATGAAACGCAACCTTCCGGACAGACACGCATTTGGTCGATTCGCCTTGGCCTGTAGGAACTCGTGGCAGCATGCAGTAATGCTGGCATCTGCCATTATGTACAGGCATCACATAGGTGATCAGAACTGACACGTACTGCGAAGTACCGGTATGACAGGAAGAAGTTCGTAGACAATATGGAGGGAGGGATACAGAACGGAATTATGACATGTTCGTTCTGCTTATAAGCTTGGAACTTGCGAGCATGAAGTAGAGTTAAGGTACGGAACGGAGCCCAACTGTTTCCGGCTTCACAGTATGCTGGCTTGCCTGACTGGACACTGTTGCTTCCTAATATAGTACATCCTCAATTGTGGTCTGGGTCGCCGTCTTTTCTTATGGCTCCTGGTCTTTGTACTGTGCTTGCGAACTAGGCGAGCTAGGCACCAGCCAGCCCCAGTTCCGCTGCCCGAATATTCTCACAGCAAGCATGGAACAACTTTGGGAGGTTGTCCAAGCTCAGGAGGCAGCGCGACTCGAGGTCCAGCAATTGGCCGAGGTTGCGGCGCGTAGCAAAGTGCATAAACAGCGCTGTCAAGAGGTAGCAGAAGCTAGCCAACATGCATTTATCCAACTAGAAACGGTAAGAACGGGGTTGCTGTCCCCGAAAGGTCTACCGGGCCACTTCCGATTGGTTTCTGCACTTGTGATCACGCGCTGCCTCATGATTATACATGTTGGGCACACCGGATTGACATCCTTAATGGGCAAACTCTTAAGGAAACATGGCCTCAGAGCACGACAATCATAACTCTTCGTGTTTCTTCTTCAGGCCTTGCGGCAAAGGACGTCCGATCATGTCACACTTCTATCATCCGCGGCACGGTTGACTGCCGCGGCCAAGCGTGCCCGTTCTTGCGTGGAGGAAGTCGGCAACCCCAGTGCCATCGGTCGCCTGACTGTCTCCTTCCAGTGAGTCCCTTATGCATATTGGCACCATCAACCTTATGCGCAAAGACGCATGTGTTGACATCCGGAGGCGGCAAGTGCTTGCCCCCTCGTAAGCCCTTGCTTGGCTCCGGTGAAGGTCAGCCTGCTGTCTAACCCAACTCCTCTTCGCGCGACCCCTTCTCCCACGCCGGTCCGTACAAAACAAACATTTCTTGCTTCCTCCAATTCCTTCCCCGCTTTACCACGGTTCCTCACAGACGCAAGGCCGCCGAACGCGCACTATCCGATGAGCGGCGCGTTTTCCTCGAACTCGTCTTTGACCAGGCCTCCACCTCAGCAGCAGCGGCCGCTGCCGCCGCCTCAGGCAGCATCACCCCTGGCAACGCCTCCCTGCGCATGTCCAACCTAGGCGCTCCGACGTACCCCTTGCAGCCCTCCTCAACCATGTCCTCTCACCTGCAACCCGCCATCAGCGGACGCTTCAAGGGCTCCATGCGCGGCATCGGCGGCAGCGCCTTCGGCCAGAACGGCTTACGGGCCGCCATGCTGGCGGCGGGCGGCTCCAGCATGCCCGTGACGCTGTCATCCCAATGGGCAAGCAACATGGACAGCTCTCTTTCGGTGCCACCCGACTTTGTAGGGGGTGCGCACGGCCAGCTCGCTCGCCTCGGCACGTTGAACACCACGGCGGCCATGAGTGCTGGCGGTGCGGGCAGCGGGCTGTTGCCGTATCCGATGGGTAGCATGGCGCGGCGCAGGCCGAGTAGTGAGGGTGCCGCGCCGTGCAGCCTTGGCGGCGCGGGAAGTGCGGGAGGAGCGGGGATGGATGAGGCGGATGCGGCGAGGAGCAGCCTGCCCTTCCTTCCGGGCTCGGTGCGCTCGAGTGACGGACTGGGGGTGCAGAAGCTGTGCTTCATGCGAGGCGCGAGCGGCGAGAAGGCGGCAGTGCAGCTGCTGGTGGTGGTGCACAAGCAGGTGAGGTTCGTTAGTTGGGCGAAGCACCTGGAGGGGGTCAGTACAGTGTTCTGGAGAAGTGGACACGTACCGTCGTTGTGTCAAGAAAACTGGCCGTTGTGTATGCGCTTAAGGAAACTGGCCGTGAGTCGGAACGTACTGTGATTGGCGAAAGATGAAGTATGTGTATGCGCCAGGGTGGGAGCCGAGTTTTTGTACAGTTGTGGGGACCTTCGCCAGGTTTTCTTCTCCGAACGTGCTCAGGCTAACGTGCTCAGGGTTAACGTGCTCAGCCTTAACGTGCTCAGGCTAACGTGCTTAGGCTACTCACATGCTTACAAACGTTCCTCGCTCCTGCCTGCCCATTGACTCGGCTCCCTTCTCGCAGGTCGAGGTGTACAGCTCGGCTCTGGACTCCTTCCACTCCGTCTCCCAGGTCGAGTCCGACGGCCAACAGGTCACCTCCACAACAATGTACGAACCCACCATCGATCTCATCACCGGCCACAAAAGCGGCTCGGTCCTCGTGTACGGCAGGCCCGCCGGCGCGCCCCTGTCCACTGGCAACGGCAACGGTGCTTCACCGCGTGCTGCCTCCGCCGCTACCGCTGCGGCCCTGGCGGGCTTCCCGCTCATCATCCGCCTTAGCCGCTTCCCTGTCACGGCTCTGCATGCCGTACCGGGCGTCGAGCTCGACGCAGCGACGATTGCCGCGGCGGCAGCAGCTTCCCCGGTGTCGACTGGTGGCGCAGCGCAGGTCAGCGCCGGAGGCGCACCCGCAGTCGCTGCCGGCAGCAACCTGATTACCTCGGGCTCCGTCGACGATGTGCTGCTGTATACTGGAGACGCCGCTGGCAGGGTCATGGCCATCAGGTACAATCGCACCACGCCGGATCTCACGGCAGCCACCGTTTTCACCGCAGCCAAGCGCACTGCGAGTGGACGCAACCTGGGGCCCTCATCCCTGGATCCCTTCAGTACGGCAATTACGGGACTGTTGTACCGCGGTAGCTACCTGGTTGTTTGTACGGCAAACCACAACCTGCATGCGATCAAGGTGCTCAGCGCGTCGCCGCCGCCTAGCACCACGACCAGTTTCGACATTGCTACTGCGCGATCTGTGATTGGCTCGCCCCGTGCGGGGGAGGCTCCTGGCGGAGGGCTACATGGAGCGGATTCGCTTGCAAACCCAACCACTCCGGGTGCTGGCAGCAGCGCCGCACCAGGCACCCCTGGAGCCGGGCTGCCGGTGACATCCTCGGTAAACTTGCTGACGCCGGCAGGATCCACCTTGTCGCGAGCTGGAACTCTTGCGCACGGCAACGGCTCGGTGCTGGCGCCGGGTGGCGGCGGCAGCGGCAGCGGCGGCGGCGCCCAGGAGGGGGCAACGGGAACGACCATTGGGACCATCCGCAAGGGCCCGCTAGGTCTCACCACTGCCGTCGTGGACATATACTCCTTCGCAGTCTACGGCGATTGTACGGAAATGGTGTCGATTGACTGGGGCAGCAACGCCGCCAACGGCTCCATGGACGGCGCCATTCCTGGCGCGGATGCCGCCGGCGCCAGTGAGGAGGGTGACGGTGGCTTCGGCCCCTATCCCAACTTCTTCGGCACCTCTCCTGCCGCTGGCACGGGCTCCATGATGCGGGGCGCATGGATGACAGATGGAGGCGCCTCCGCCGCAAACAATGGCCGGCGGTCTCGGACGTTAACCGCCCGCCGTGGCCCCTGGCGCATGCTGACCTCCCACCAGAACGGCCAGCTGCTGATGTGGGACCTGGCGGCAGGCAGGCTGCAGCTCATCTGCACCATTGGAGAAACCGGCTCGTCCATTGTGTGAGTTGCGGCGGGGTGCGTCACAATGCATTGTGATACGGTGGCGCTGAATACGCATTGGGTGTACGTACGTCTTGCGGCTAAATTGAAAAGGAGGCGTCGGTGCTGTCTTCTATGTGCTACGGTCAAATGCAGGCACGGAGCTGGAGATCCCTCCTTTGTCCTTGGCTCTTTGGCAATCACGATTGGCTGCCTGTCCCAAGGAACTCACTACCCTCTCCCATTTTATCCCCATCCTCAACCAATGCCTCTATGCCAGTCCCGCCTTCATTGCCGCATTCGCTTCCCCCCATGCATCCCCTCCCCTTCCCCTTCCCCCACCCTCCCCCAGTTCCGTGAAAGTCTTCCCCGACCTGGGTACCATGGTGGAGATCCTGTCCAGCGGCTTCCTGCGTGTGGGCCAGCTGCCCACCAGCGCCCTGGCGCCCCCCCTCAACCCGCTGGGCGGCGTCCCTGCGTGGAGGCTGCGCCAGGCCCTCATCCGCGCTCACCGCGGCCGCATCACCTCCACCAGCACCCTGGCCCATGTCCTCGCGACCGGCACCAAAAAGGGCGGCGTCAAGGTCTGGGACGTCAGTGAGCTGCGGTCCAAGGCTGCGGTCCAAGGCGTGGCGTTCAAGACGCCCTTGACCAGCGCTGGCAGCGAGGGTGTAGCGGCGGCGGCCGCCGTCGGCGGCGCCGTCAGTGCCGTCGGCGGCCCTGCTGACCCAGTGCCCATGCAGGCCGCCGCCTCCTCTCGTTACCCCTTTGGCATGTTTGCATCCGCTGGCGGAGGTGCCGGCGCTCCCGGTAGTGTGGCCAGTGGCGACGATCGCTATCCCCTGGGCCCAGGCAACCCCTCCTTGTCAGCGATGCCAAACGCGCCTACCATGTCCCGACAGGGTACCATGGCTGGGCCGCCTGGGTCGGCATATCCTTCGTTCCTGCAGTCGTCGTTCCAGCCCCCGCAGTCGCTCTCGCGTATCGACTCGGATCGCGGCTCCGTCGCCTCTGGCTCTATTTGCGGCCTGACGCCGCCGGGGCCCATGCCGCTTGCTCCGCCGCCACCGGCGCAGACCGCTACGCCCCTACCGCATCCTGACGCTGGCCAGATGCGTGTGCCCGGACCCGATACGCATCAGGGCTTTCCCGGCGTCCAGCGGGTTAGTGCCGGCGGCGCTTTGGGCGCCGGTGCTAATGGCCCCGCTCCGATGCCGTTTGGAACCGCGGCGGTGCTTGACAGCCCGGCCGACTCTATCCGCGCCCCAATTCCTGCAAGGTACCCTAACTCTACCGGCGGTGTGGCTCCTAGCGAGGACGATGGCGCGGGTACGATTGGCACGAACGACCTCGCCTCCGAGAAATCTTCAATTGGGGCCTCGGCTTTGGCTGCTTTGGCTGGCGTGTTAAACGGAGGTGCGGCCCCCGTCGCCAAGGGAACGACCCAGCAGCCGCAACTGCAGCGCAATATGACGATGCCGCCGCTGCAGCACCCCCACCAACTGGAGGCGCACCAGAAACAGGTGTGGTTGTGGCCTGCATCCGCTCGCTTGGTTGTGTTCACTAGACTACCCTTCTGGAAGAATTTATAACATTGGGGTGCAGGACCGTAAACCCCTCACTTAATAACGTATTCAGGGTCATGCCCCTCTCCATTGCTGCTCCTAACTGCGTTGCAGGAGGGCAACCTAACTGCGCTGTCGCCGCCGAGCCCGCGCCCGCAGTCGCCAGGCAACGGCCAGCAGAGCCAACAGGCGGGCGCTCTCAAGACCGCTGGCGACGGCAACAACCGGACCAGCCAGGAGGAGCGCCCTGCTCGCGGCACCAACCCCGGCACCAAGGTACGTGCTGCATACGTCTACTATCAACAGCTGCGGATACGCACATTGTTGTCGCTCTGACCCCCCCCGGCCCTTTCCCCGCTCTGTGACCTGCAGCCCGCCACAACCTTCGCCTCGGCCCTCGAGGGGGAGATCCTGCACGCCCTTGCCGCCGCCGGCGGTGGCGGCACAAAGATGGCGGCCCAGGAGGAGAAGCGCGCCGACGAGAGCAACAAACTGCCTGTCGTACTGCCGGCCGGGCTGACGGCGGCGGAGGCGGAGGAGTCCGCCAAGGCCGACCCCCGGACTCGTTGGGGCAACGCGGGTGCAGCCATCATGCAAGCCAATCGGCAGAGCATTTTCAAGCGCGTTAAGGGAGGCTCCAAATCGTCCGATGACGACGGCCCAAGCGGCGGTAATAACGGGCCCAGCGGTAGCGCGGCCGCCGTTCCGACGACGGCGGCGCCGCCTCCGCCGGTCGTATCACCGTCCAAGCGCTACACTTCTGGAGCAGGAGCCCCGCCGCCACCGCCCCAGCAACCCCCACCGGCTGCTTACGGCGCAGCGCAGTATCCCCATATGCCTGACGGCTACATGATCCCCCGAGCGCACGGCAACGGCGCTTCGCCCTACAGCACCACCCCGCCCTCGCCGCCGCCCCGCTCGCTTTCCTTCCCGCACCAGGGGGTGCCGTACAGCAACGGCCACTCGCTCATGGACCCTCCGCCCACCGCTAACAGCCCCTACAACTCTACCTACCTCCAGCCCCCGCATTCACCTCGCGGCGCCCCGCCATCTCCGTACGGTGCGCAGTATGTCCCGACCGGCTCGCAGTTCGGTCGCGGCCAGAGCAACCACGGCAATGCCCACCACGGCCACAACGCCACCTCATCCCACGGCTACGGACACATGTCCTACCCGCCCCCGGCGCTCGGCAGGACCAGTGACTATGGAGGAGGAGGCATCAGCGGCCTGCCGCCGTCGCCTGCCGGCGCGGGCGGCATGGGCCCGCTGGGCAACCACCACCACCATAACATGCACCACTCGCATGGTCAGATGCCGGGGGTGCAGCAGCAGGTGCAGCATGTGCCGGGTCCGCGGGAGAGGCGGCTGTCCACCATGTCGGACTATGAGGTCATGGCCTCCAGGCGCACGTCGGGCTCGGGACACGAGCCGCTGCCGCTGGGTCAGGACGGTGGGTAGATGAGGGTGGGGGAAAGGGGGTGATCATGGCGGCGGGGCAGAAGGGTTATAGCATATACCGTACAGGCGCGTTTCCGTAAGGGGTTGGCACGTAGCTAAAAGACATGTACTCGCATGCCTTGCGTGCAGTTGACGGTTTAGATGCTGCCGTTGCCGCACACGCATGTGATGTTTTTGCAACTTCCCACGCACCAATTGTCTTATCTTCCACTTTTTTTCCGACTCTGTTATCCTTTCTTCCTGCCCTGTGGCTTCTGCTTGCAGTGGAGATGCTGCCGGTGCCGCCGGTGCTGCCGCCGCCGGCGCCCGTCCCCAACACCACCGCCCAGTCGCCGCCGCAAGCGCACGCCATCAACCCGCTACTGCAGGTGGGCTCAGACAGCCGAGAACACGCGCAGGGATTAACGGATTTAAACCATTGTCGGCCACAGCACAACATTAACCCAACGCCTAGGGTATCTCCGCTTCAGTTCCCTTCTTGTCATCTCCTTTCAATCGGCTTCCCTCCTCTATTCTACCTTTCCCTCCTCTTCCCAACCCGCCTCCCTTCCCTCTCTTCTCTCCTCCTCCTCCTTCTTCTCCCCCTCCTCCTCCTTCCGCGCTGCAGAACTGCTTCATCCGGCCGGACGACCTGCGTCTGATCGACCCTGTGGGTCAGGGCGCGGAGGGCACTGTGTGGCGCGGCCGCTGGCACCACATCGATGTAGCGGTCAAGGAGATGCACCCCACCTCCGCATCCTTTGGGAAGCTGGTCTCCATTGCCAAGGTGGGCAGCGGCGGGGCGCGGCGGGGCCCGGGGTGGTGGTGGTCATTGGTGCGGGATGAGGGCAGGGCAGGGTACGTGACAGGTCATATAGGCTACGCGAGGCTAGCCAGTGCAGATCCCAGGTGATGGGGATCTTTGTTTTACGGTGGCTGTGTTTTGCGGCGGCGGCTGTGGGAAGGACAGAGGGTGGTAGGGCGGTAGGGTGCGGCTGTGAGGGGCGAGGAGGATGCATGACACCAGCTCATTACACAAGTCTTCGTTTTCCACCCACCTAGCCCTTCCTGCACGTGCCACGATTGTCCACCTGACGCCCTACCTTCGCACCTGCGCGCGCACCCCTCAGCGCACCCTCCCCCCCTACGCCCCCCCCTCCATTCTCATTCAACACAGTGGGTATTCCCTCCCCCCCTACGTCCCCCCTCCATTATCATTCAACACATTGGGTATTCTTCTTTCTTTCCCCCTCTCCCCCCGCAGGACCTGTCGAGCCCCGAGTCCGCTCGCAGCAGCGAGGTGCTGGCGGGGGTGGTGAAGGAGGTGTCGGCGCTGATGGACCTGGGGCAGCACCCCAACATCATCCGCTTCGTGGGGGTGTGCGCGGAGCCGCCCAGGATCGTCACCGAGTACTACAAGTGAGAGGAGTGGGGGGGGAGAGCGGGAGGGAAGGGAAAGGGAACTGCTCTGCTGTGTCTGTTTCCTTAGCTTAGACTGTCCTGCACCCCTCCCTGCCGCTCCTTACCCGCTCCTGTACCCTCCACCTCCTCTCCCCCCCAGGATGGGCTCACTGTACCACCTGCTGAAGGAGGCGCGCCAGGGCAACATGCGCACCCGGGAGAAGCTCACCTGGGCCAAGAGGCTCATCATGCTGCAGGTAGGCGGGAGGGGGGGCTGGACGGGAGAAACACACCTCTAGGCGGTCGGGGTAGGGGGTAAGGCGGGTGCAGCAAAAGTAAGAAAACTGGCGGAGAAACTTTACTAGCCGTGTGTGAGGGCTCCATCATTGGACTGCATCCTGGGGTTATGGGGAGGGGCAGGAGATTGGGAAGGCTCAGGACGGACGATGGGCAGGGAGGGAAGGCGAAGCAGTGGGAAGGAGGCCGCAGGCAAGAAAGCAGATCGCATGATGGTTAGGCCAGCCACTTCCCACCTCGCACCTGCGTCCGTTGCAACCCCCTGGTGGCCCCAATCAACCAGCACCCCTCTTCTCCTTCTCCTCCCTTTGTCTCCCCACCCACCCACCCACGCAAACAGTACGTTCCGCCTCGCGCCCAGTTTTCTCAAACACCCACCTCCTCACACGCCCTCTCCCTCCCTCTCAGGACATGGCTGCCGGCATGTCTTACCTGCACTCCCGCAACTACATCCACGGCGACCTGCGCTCGCCCAACGTGTTCGTGTCGGAGGACCAGCACCTCAAGATCGGCGACTTTGGGTTCGCGCGCATCCTGGGCACGGCGCAGAACCCGGTGCAGGAGGTGCCGGCGCGCCTCACCAACCCGCGCTGGCAGGCGCCGGAGGTGGGCTGCGCGTGTGTGTATGGGGGGGGGTGCGGGGGCGCATGCTCACATATTGTATGGGAACGCGCGGCGTGGCGTCCATGCGGAACTTACCGGCACAATGCGTTTCGCAATACGCGGTGGAGTGCTCAATTTTTATTATGTCCCTTTCATGTGGGTACCGGTTTGTAAAGATGACAGTGTTTTGGGGTTTCGCAAATGCAGTAATTTTCAACCAGTTGTTACTCATCCACTCATCCAAATTGAACAATAGAGCCGTTACAGTACGACCCCTCCCTCCTCTCTCGCCTCAGGTATACGCCATGAACAACCCCACCGCCACCACCGCTGCTGACGTGTACAGCTTCGGCATCATCATGTACGAGATGCTGACGTACACGCAGCCGTACAACGACGTGGCAGACGATGAGATGGTCATGTGCCGCCACTCGCTGTCGCCCGAGTGGCGCCCCACCCTGCCGCCCGACAGCAAGCTGCCCGTGCCGCCCAACGTACACCTGCAGGTCCGGGTAGCTCCCTGCTGTGCTATAAACGTGTGCCGTACGCATTTGCTGTGAATGTGTGCCGTACACATGTGCTGTATGTACGCATGCGCTGCGGATGTGTGCCGAACACATGTGCTATAGACGTGTGCCGTATGCATGTGATACGAATGTGCCGTCCGCATGTGGTATGGACGTGTGCTGTATGCATGTGATATAGCCGTACGCCGTCCGCATGTGATACAAACGTGTGCCATGCACATGTGCTGTAGGCATGTGCCTTACACACGCATGCCTTAAGGATGAGGTGCAGCACTACCTCCTTGTTGGGCCGTCCATTCCCCCGCTCCCACCCTGCCCCATCCTCCCCACCCTCCCTCTCACCCTCCCTGCAGGCGTACAAGGCCCTCATGCAGGACTGCTGGGCGGTGGACCCGGCGGACAGGTGCGCGAGCGCGTGTGTGTGCAAAGGATAACCTGATCTTGATACCGCTGCGCCTCCTCCTTTCCACGATACCCGATGTCCTTCCATGCACACGCTCTCTCACTTCTTCTCCCACCTACATGCCCTATATGGCCCTACCGACTACCGGTACTCCCAAGCTGCCCGCTTCACCCCTAGCCTCCCCCCCTACCCCCCCTACCCCCCTACCTGTGGCTTCCTATGGTTCGGTATGGTCTTTGACCCCCCTACCCCCCTACCCCCCTGCCCACACCGCCAGGCCCGCCTTTCACAAGATCGCTGAGCGGCTGATGGCGCTCATCCGCTGGCAGCGAACCCTAAGCCAGGTGGGGATGGGGGCCGCGCTGCCTTGGGTCCGGCGCTGGGGGTCGGGATCTGGGAGTGATGGATCCGATAAAAGTGAGGAAGGAGAGCAGTAACAGCTGAAGAGGAAGGAGATAAGAGGAGAAGGCTCCTTCACCATCAGTAGGTTCGTGTTTTAAGTCGTCTTGTGCCGCTTCCTTCTTGACGCATGCAAAGTGCCCCCAATTGCTAATCCACCTCTTCCATGCCCCTCTTGCATAATCACACATGCCATCCGCCTCCCCCCTTCTCCCCTTCCTCCCGCCTCACTCGACACAGGTGCGCAACAGCCTACTGGGCGCTCGGCTCTTCAAGAACATGACGGCTCGCCGCACTGCCAACGCCGCCGCCATCGAAGCTGCTTCTGCTGCTGCTGCTGCCCTCCCCGGCGGCGCCTCAGCCACCATGCCCGCCTCCCCTCGGACCGGTGGCTCCGCACCTGCTGGCCCCACCACCGCCGCCACCACCATTGCCGCCGCCTCCGCCGGCGCCTCGTCCGCCCCTGCCGCCGCGGCCAGCCCCCCCGTCCGCCAGCAAGAGCCAGCGGATGAGGAGGCTGACCGGGACCTCGTGCCTGAGCTCCGCTCCTCTCGTCAGCTCCTCGCGAGCGTGGCAGCTGCTGCTTTCGCCACCCCCACCCCCACCGCTGCAGCAGCAGCAGCAGTAGCGGGCTTTGGCGGGGCGAGTGCATTCTCGGGCGCCGTGGAGCCCATCTCGCCTCCCTCTCCGGTGACTGGGAGCGACCTGGCGGGCAGCTCCAGTGCGGACGGCGGCGGGGCCTTCAGCGCGCGCACCAGTGTGAGCTTCGGCTCGCGGTTGTCCAGCCGGGTCAGCGGATGGGTGAGTTGGGGGTGGCGGGCGGGAAGGGGGGGATGAAAAGGAAGAAGTGGATGAAGAGGAGGCACGGAGACGTGGAGGGTGTGGGGTCCAGCGTGCCAAGAGGAAAGGCGCGTTCCTAATGCCTTTCGCACCCACTTGCCCTTCCCACGGAATCACCTCACATGCACCCGCTCCCAATGCGCACCCTGTTCGCAGCCGCCTGCTACCAGCGGATCCGGCATGCTGGGTGCGCACTCCTCCTTGGCCGCCCAGCAGCTGGCGGCGGCGGCAACCATGTCGGCGGAGCTCGAGTCGGTGCCGACCCTGGCGTCAACGGCGTCTCGGCCGCTGCGGGTCACCGCCGCGACCAGGGCTCCCTCGCCGCCGCCGCCGCCGGCAGCAGCGGCGGCGCCTGTGCCGGTGGCCCCGGCGGCCCCGGCGGCGCCGCTGGGTGCGCTTTCCGATGGCTTCGCCCTCATGAGTCCCTTCCAGGCCTTAAACCTCTCGGACGATGAGGACGACGCCGCACCGGTGGTTCCGGAGAAGGTGAAACCGGCCTCGGCGGCGACAGCGGCTGCTGCTGCTCCTGCGGTGGCGGCAGCACCTGCGGCAGCTGCCAAGGGCGCCGGCGGGCCCATTCAAGGAAGCATGTCGGATGCACCTGTGGCGGCAGTGGCGGTGGTGATGGCAGGGGCGGGAGAAGCCGCTGTCACGGCGCTGTCCGAGCCGCCGGCCACGCTAGCGGCGGTGGCGCCGCGCCCCAATGGCGCCGCTGCGGCGGCCGCTGATCCCTTTGCGATGGAAAGCCCCTTCCTGGGACTTGGTTCCCTGGACTCTGACGATTCGGTGGATGGCAGCAGCAAGCATGCCAGCCAGGGAGAGCAGCCGTGCACCAAGGCGGGAGGGCCGGCGTCGCAAGCGGCGACGGCGGTGGTGGCGGTTGTTGCTGCGGTTCCGCCGGCAGCAGCAGCAGGCCCACCCAGGCCGTCTGGCGGGGATCCCTTTGCCATGATGTCACCCTTCCAGGGTCTGGGGCTGGACGATGATGACGAGTAGGGGGCTTGAGCCAGAGGCCCAAGGGCGCGTTGGGTTGGTGTATAAGTTGACGGTATGAAGTATGACTTGGTTTTGGGACGTTTTGGTGAACAGAGTTGCGAGAGCGGTCGACAAGTCGGGTTAGCAAACAAGTTAGGCGCATGTGGAAAGTGTCATGCATCTGGGATGTTCCATGGGTTGAGGAGTTGAGCCTTGCTGGCGGGCTATTGTGAATGGAGAAAGGATTGAGAACGTTGATCGGGGTCAAATTTTCTCAGGGGAAAAATGTTTAGATAGTGGGGATGAGGTCACGAGCCAAATGCAGCATGCACCTTAGGGCCCCACATTTTTGGATTGTTGTATGTCGGGGCGCGTTCCGGGTTTAGGCTTTTGCTGGGTTTTCGCGGTCGATTTCCACTAGTTCAAAATCATCAACTACTTACTTAATATCTACTGAATACCGTATTGTCTTTCCCACGTTCAGGGATAGGGCGTAAGGGAATGCTACCCCACCATATGGCGGATTCAACGTTTGGCTAGCACGCTTTGGGCCGTAGGCATTGCTATTTTTACTGGCGTGCATCCGTCCTCCTTTCAAGGGAAGCATACGTCTTGTGTGTAGAGGTGTACCGGCTTTCAGTTGTGCGCGGCAGTTAGGACCACCGGGAAATCGCCGTGAGGGTTTCGGCATGGCAGGCACAGCGCTCGCAGACACTGTTGCGTTGCATTGGGGCACTGTTTGCGCCGCTTGCAGGCTTATCCATCATTCAGTTTATCCGGGTGTTGTATTTGGCGCACTTTCCTTTCGCGTGGCAGGGCGCGACTACTGCTGGGAGGGTGGTTGGCTGGGAAGGGAAGCGGCTTGCGCACGATACTTATTATAAAAATGATGTTGCTTGGTTGCCACAATAACCGGTGTGTTTTGGGCGAGCACGTTACCGGGGCCAACAGCCGCTTTTTTCTGACATCATCACAGGGGTTTGGTGTCGTTTGGCGGTCTTTAAAACGTGTGTTTGCTAATGCGGGGCTGTGGTCATATCTCCGCACAGGGGCTTGCAGAGGCGCTGCAAAGGGTAACGCGCTACCGATATTGCGGCCTGTGAAAGGCTTCTCAGAACTTCGCTTGAATTCCTTTTGCTTTCTTCCGAGGCTGTGGTTGAAACGCTGTGTACCGTTGACGAGCGTTTTCTCGCGCACTGGCGTATGCCATGCTGTTCGTTTGCTGCAAGGCAAATAGGAAGGGTGAAGGCGGCCGCCGAGTCGTGATGACCACTGTCAAGTCGTCCTGGAGAGTGAAGGAAGGCAAGGCATGTACGGCACCAATTTTGGGTTCTGTTTCTGTACGATTATGCCGGTTGAGGGATCGGAGAGAGCGAAGACGTAATCGTCGAGAGTGAAGACATACGTGGGTGGCACCCGGAGCACAGCAGCACATGTTACCGGCACATGTGGAGAGGCGGCGTTGCAGATGGAGTGGTACGCAAGCACAACTGCTGGTCTGAATGGGATGGTATGGCGTACGGAGTGAGGGCATGCTGTTCGTAAATTCCAATGGTTTTCCTGGGGAGCAAGATGCTTAGTGTTCGGTGGCGTTCGGACTGGCGCGGGGAGAGAGAGGGCAGTTAGTTAAAGCTGGCGATGATAACGATGGTAATGATGACGTTGATGATGGTTGATGATGGTGGTTATGACACGGTGCGTGGTATGGTATGTGAGTGGTAGGACCCATGGGAATATACCCATGGGGGGGTATGGTATTGCAGTGGGGGGGGGTATGACGCGGTATCCGAAAGAAAAGTTTTGTGACGGTGTCCCCTTTTGCAGCTGAGAGGCCGTGAATGCTCTTGAATGCTTCTGCTTATGTGCAGCTTTGTATCCAACCCATATCGAGCGCATGCATGCATTCAGAGGCATCCACCCAGCCATGTTTCTCTGGCTGCAACCATGGGGATTCTCCAAAAGTCGGGTGTGTTGCCGCTTTCCTGCGCGTATTGGAGGTTATTGTCACTATTCGCCAGGGCTGTGCTTCGTTGATTGTGTATTGCCACTGTGACGGAGTTGAGTTGCGGCATGGTGAATCGCGACAGCTAAAACAGCTGGAAGGTAGTCCACCTTTTCGACTCGGTTTTTTTTGCGGCAGCTTTTTGTCTGCATGAGCGCTCTTGCCACTATAGTATTCGTGTCACTTGAAGTAAATGGCTTCGGGGATGCTCTTCGCATGCTCGGATTTTTACCAACTGCCTTAGTAAGCTGTTCCGTCTTGTTGTTGCTGTACGTACGGTATATGGCCCACCAATGATAAATTGCTGCTGATCAGCTGTTCAGGCTGTTGTCCTGGGATATGGCCTTCGTCTGCATTGAGGCAGATCGCCCCCACCTGCCTGTCGCCTAAAAAGAAAAAAGTACGTTGTAGTTGCTTTGTTTGTTGCGCTTTGTTCGACCGTACATGCACGACGAGACGTGTTTTGGCCGACATTTACGTGAGCAATGTGTTGTGTGATGTCCAGGTTGATACGTGTGATCCTATAACACTTCTGGCTTCCTTGGTGGCCGCGCCTTGAGGGCGCCACGTGCGATACACGTTGTGCAGGAGTTGTAGTTCGTACCGAACTGTACCGTGCCGTACTGTGCTCTGAGTTCCCGACCTGCCATGGTCTAGTAGGGCCCCAGTAAAGCCCCAATTAAGATGTAGACTTGTTTTAGTTGAAGACGCGGCGGAAGGGTTTAACGTTGGCTAACATTGCTAGCTCTTAGCATCTGCGGGGTCATCCATGCATATGCTGCTGTGGCTGCCGAAGTACTTGCAAGACCTCCTCTAGAAAGCCTTGCTTTGCATGTCTGTGTTACGCTACGAGCATTGTAATATCTGAAGGCATCCAACACATTACGAGTTGTATCTCATTGCCCCGGACCAGTGTTAAGACACGCTTGAAACAACGGTTGGTCATGCAGGAGAGGGTCAGAATGACAAGACGGCGTGTGATTGAACACTGGATGCATGCAACCATACAACAAAACCGGTGCTCCATACTTCTCTGCTACTGCTAGCATGTCTGTAGGTGATGGATATCTCACTGTCTCCTGTAGCGCTGCGTCATGACAGTTGCACCCGGTTTGTATGGTGCATGTATAGACTGGAAACTACCCTCAAGCGTTACACCCATTGCTCTGGAAAGCTGCAGGCGCCAAGCGCAAGAAATCGGAGCTTTTAGCCCCAAGCCCCAACAGAGAGTCTTGTTTTCTGCATACAGCAAAAGGAATGAGACCAAAGCATCCAACGAACTACGCGGCTGCTGCAGGCGCCGCCAACTACGCTGCCCCGGCTAAAGGGAAACGACAGGCAACACCGGCCCCCAGCTCCGGAACAAAACGGACGCAAGGAGCAACGCCCCCGCACGAAAATGCCGAACACAGAGCTGTAACACCCGAGCACAACATTCCCATGCAAAAAGCGATGCCACCCAAGCCGAACGGTAGGGGCTCAATGACACAGTTACAGCCCTCAGCTGCAAAGGACTGTTGATTCTGCGTAGAAGGCAACTGCGGGCATATTGCTTGCTTAGGCAGTCTTGGTCTGCTTGGTGACGGTGATCCAGCGAGTGAACTGGTCGTAGTCCTCGCCGGCGTACTCGGAGTCCACAAGCATCTGCGGAGGTGGGGAGGTTTCGGAACATGATGAGAAAATAGTAGAAGGGAAAGAGGAAAAGGCCAACATGAAAGCCTCTGTTGCATACTACATGCGGAAAAGCTTCTCCATCCGTTCTTGCCGACTGGTCTCTCTCTCTCAACCCGTTTTCCCAGAGCCCTCTCTGCCTACCTTCTTGTAGAAGCCCTTGCCGATCGCCTTGACGGCCTTGTCCTTCTTGGCGCCCGAGGCCTCGCCCTTGGCAATCTTGGCCAGCTTCTCGGCGCGGACGGCAGCGTTCTTGGTGCTGCGGGTGATCTCCACGCGGCGGGCAACCTGCGTTTGACGATGGCAACATGGAAAGCAAAGCGTCAGCATTCTTTCTTCTTCCTCCAAAAAAGGGAAAATAACTACGCAGCCGTTGCAGAACAACATTAGCAACAACATATGCAGAGCATAATTGCATGCAGAAATAAAACATAAACCACACACAAACGTGCACTCGTTTACCTTGGCGTAGGGGTTGAGCTTGAGCATGGCGCCCAGGTTGCGCAGCGGGTTCTTCTTCAGCGGCGCGTGCTTGGGGCCGGCGGACTTGGCGGGCTTGACAATGCTCTGGATCTCATCGCTGTTGATGATGCGAGCCAGGTCGCCGTTGGCCATGCAGGCGCGGGGCAGCTGCGGAGCGGGTGGGAGAGGAGGAAGGGAAGGAGGCGTCGTTAAACAGAGTCGGACACAAAACTTCGTCGACACGCACGGACAGCGGTTTTCATAATACCGGTAAGCACCCAACGTCCTCTTCTGCTCTCCCAGCCTCGACCCAACCCCAACGCAACCCGCAACCCAGCAGCTCACCTTGAAGCCCTTCTTGACCTCCGACTCCTGGGTGGCAGTGCCGAAGATCTTGTCCAGCTTCTCGAACGCGGCCTTGGACCAGATGCAGAAGCGGCCCAGGTGGCCACCGGGCGCCAGCTGCAGCAGGTTCAGGCGGTCAACCGAGGTCACCTCCACACCGGGCAGGTTGCGGAAGGCCTTGCTGACACCCTCGTCGTTGGCAAAGACCACGAGGGGGCCCTTGCGCATGACGTAGCGCCGGTTGCGCATCTTGCCTGAGGAGAAGAACGAGGAGGGACAGGGAGAGTGAGAAGAGTTTTGAGTTGGGCTGCTTGGGCGAGAACGCGAGAGTTAAGATGGTGACAAACAGTGCTGCCGACACTGTTGCTGACACAATTGCCGCCGCTGCTGCTGCCGTTGCGTTGCCGTAACGGGTATCTAGTGAACTGCCAAGCTGGTCTAACCAGCGGCGCTCTTTCAGCTGATCCGCAGCTAGCGCCATTGACTCCATAGCTACGGCCTCCTTACTGTTTCTGCCATGTCCGGCCTATCAGGCCGCTGCTGCCAAAGCTTCCGGCAGTCGTCCAACCACCACGCCGGGGGCCACAGGAGCCTGCTGCTGCAAGGAAACTGCCCGCGTCCGATGAAGCTCAGAAAGCTGCCATTCCCAATTGCGCTCCGAGGCAGGGGAAACAGCAGCCGTGCTCCGCTCCAGACCTCTAGAAGTCGGAGCAGGTATGGTCCTGCCCGCCGCATCTACTATGTGCGCACTGCTGCCGCCTGCAGCCCTCTCGCTTTCGCCAGCTCCCGCCGGCAGCCTGGGGAAATCGCTGCTGCTACTGCCGCCGTTGCTGCTGCTCTCCAACTCCAGCTGCTGCCAGACCTCCGGCCGCTTGATGCTGCGCTCCCGTGGGAGGCTCAGTGGGAGTCCCATGTGAAGGTTTGACCCCCGAAACCCATTAGGGAACCCAGCAGGCAACTTACCCTTGCCGGAGCGCAGGGCCTTGGAGTCCTTGCTCTTCTCCACATCGGGCAGGGCGCCAATCTTCTTCAGGATCTCCAGAGCCTTGGAGGTCTTCTTCACGCCCTCCACGGCGTCGGACAGAACCAGAGGCACCTCGGGCACCTGGAGTGGAGGACATGGGAATGCAGCAGAAAGGGAGGGAGACGGGGATGGTTTGTGTGCGGAAGATATTGACATTTCGATTGCAATAGGAGAAATCGTCCGGCATTTTACGTCCATAGCGTTGGGACCCCGCAACCCTCACCCACCTGCTCAATGCGGTGGCCGCGGGCCATCACCAGAGCGGGCAGGGCCGACGCAGCCAGAGCGGAGCACACGGCGTACCGCTTCTGGTTGACGTTGATCTTGCGGTGCCAGCGGCGCCACACCTGTCCCATGGAGCAAGCATACGCAAAAAAACTTCATCAACACGTCCATGCTGAGCTTCCTCTCACTACGCAGCTAACACCGTATTAGCTCATGTTGCTAACTTATAAGCTGTGCCCTTTTTGCATTTCCGGTCATCAGTCAGCGTGGCCTGCAAAAAAAGCTGATCCATGCCAAACCCGAAAAGCTCGCAAACTTATTACTCCTTGTCAGCAACTATGTATACGGTAAACGTATGCCTATTAAGAATTTTTGAGGCCTAGTTTGGTGGCAGTCGTCTGACCAACGCCGCATGGCGCCGCCGATTTAGCTATGCGCACCTTGGTAGGGGCGAACATGCGACCACCACGGCACATGTTACCGAAGGCACCCTGACCGGCGCGGTGGGTACCGCCACCGGGCACACGGGGAATACGCGACACAGCGCGGCCAGTGCCCCAGGACTCGGCAGCAGTCTGGTGGCCAGCCTTCATGAACACCGCGTACGCCTGGCGCTTGTTCTTCGCCATGTTGGTGTGGATGGTGCGCACAATGTCGGGGCGGATGGGCGCGGTGAAGACGGCCGGCAGGGCCGTCTGCTCCGCAGCCTCGCCCGTCTCAATGTTAATCACAGAAACCAGGGGCCTGGCGGCGGCCATCTTTGCTGTTGTAAGTGCAAGTTGCCACGCGGGCTGGAAGAGAGCTACTCAGGCAAAGTTGCAATGCACATAGGAGCGCGAAAATTCGCCACCCTGGAGTGGTTCCGGGGCTATGTAAAGCACCGCTCTTCATCGTTCTTGGTAGCCAAATCAACTAGTGTAAGTTTCTTGTACCAAAATACGTAAAGCAACTCTGGCGCACTCCTTGAAAGAAAGCACTGTGGATGTGGGACATGGAGGAAGCGACGCAGGGTCTTAGCCAAGATAACCTTGTTGATTTACGCCAATTTGCCACAAAATTTTCCTGCTGGAAGAGCTGTGACGTCCACATCATTAAGGCTGCGCTTACAACCTTACATGCATGTGCCCAACGCATGACATTGCTTAGCCTTGCAGAGCTGCAGTCCATGTTACCGTGCCCGGACAGGAGGATTGCCACAGTTGCCCGGGGATATTGCCCCTGGCTTGGGTTTGGCAAGGGCGGGTTTGGCTATGGCACGATATTGTTACTGCGTAGCTGCTTCTAGTCAACTGTGCAGAACGACACATCACACAGCTGCAGCGCACTGCGTTGTACATATGAGCTGCATGGGGCCTCCACAACCCAGCCATCGGCGTTTACCGGTATATCTGAAACATCCACATGTGCTGCAATCTGACCCTCGTTTTCGAGGTCACCTAGCAGAATAATTTTGTTGGCGACCCCTCCCAGGCTCACACGACAATGCAACCCACCGCTTCGCCCTTCCTCTGCAGCTCCCACACCGCCCTGTTTTTTAAATCATTGTATGGCAAATAAGAACATGCAGGGCATGCCCGCTTCCCTAACCTTAAACATGCACGTGCACAGCATCACGCACTCACCCCACACGAAGGCATCTGCCTCACACATGTGCTCCGCAGGCATAGGCACATGTGCATAATAACTGCGAAACCCCAACGCAAACATGGCAAGGCCAATCATGGCATGATGTGGGCATGCATAAGAACTCGTAGGCGCCTTGCCGGACCCGATTGTAAGCCGATGCCCGGCAGAAGCAATTCCAGCGCGATGGCTGCACCGATGCTCACCAGCAGTTGCTTAATTTCACACCATCAATCTGCGGCCAACCCTAGCCGACCTAGCTAACTTCATAATTTCTTAGTTGATTGTCAATTAGTCTTCATGAGTCAAGACACCTGCATGATCCGTACCCAACCACTCAAACCCCGCCAACCACGTACCCCTGCAATCCTACCCGCCTGACACTTCCATCCAGACTACGACAGCCGAGATCGCTGCTGTAGGCACCCGGTGCAAAAGCAGCATACCCAATCATATAGGGTGTTATTTCGTTTAATCACGCGCTCCAAGTCCAGGTCCATTGATAGGACACTGCGCATACCGGTTCTACGCGTCCTAACGGTTCCAAAACATGCTGACAAAACATGCAAACACCGCCTGGGGGGCTTCTCCAATTGCCTTTCCACAGCTACAAACTACCACAGCCCCTGCATGTATCAACTACAGCCCGGTATCGGTATCTCGTCAAGCGTCACAACATACCCCTGCACAACTCTGACAGTGCCGCCGCCGCTGATGACATCCAAGCGGGCGCTCCTGTATTATTGCGTCTTGCCTAAACTGGCCTCTTCTTCCACAAACTAGCCCGTACCCCGGTACGAGACTGCAAGCGCTCCCGAGCTCGCGTTGGCGCCTCCGTCTGCAACTGCTGCTGCAGTGGCTGCTGCTGCAGCAGCGGCAGCGGTGGCGTCTGACCTCCATTTCCAAGCTCCTGCTGCTCCATCATTGGCGATTCCTCTCCCTCTGCCGCCGCCGCTACAGCCTCCGCCACCGACGCCGTTGCCACAGCCGTGGCCGCAGCATCCGGCGGCTCATTGAGCATGCGGTAAAACGCCGCGATCTTCCGGTTATCCGGCGCCGCCGACAGGCAGCCCCACAAAAAGGTACGCAGTACGGCAGGGCTGGGTCGTACGACAGCATCCAGATCTGCCAGCGCCGACAGCAGCGCCTCCAGCTGCTGTTGCGAGAAGTACGGCAGTCGGCGGCGTGCGGCCTCCAGCATGACATCTAGCCAGGCGGGAGTGGGGTAGATCTGGAGAAGGAGAGGGAAGGGGTGGGGCGGGAGAGGGGGAATGGGACATGCGGTGGGTATTGGACGTGAGGCAGGAAGTGAGGCAGGAAGTGAGGCAGGAAGAAACGGAAAGCTGGTTGAAACGCCTGTCACCCTGCCGCGCACTGCTACCCCCGACCGCGCCCTGCGCCACACACCACACCTAGGAGCCCCCCCCCGCCGACCCGCAACCCACCTGCAGTGTCGCAATGGCCCTCATGGTGATGGTGAGGCCCAGGGCGCTGGCGGCAGGGAGGGCCCGCAGCACCGCCTGGGGGCAGCAGGGGAGAGCATGGGGAGATGGGGAGAGCGGGGGAAGTGGGGTCAAGATAGACCGAACCATAGGAAACCGCGAACTACGGCAAACTGTGGTGAAGGTGGGGATGTGGGGCATGAAACAGGGTCGGCAGGCGGCATGAGCGCATGACGTCAGGAACCGCACTATCGGTAGTAACAACTGCCCTTACTCGGAACCAGCACCTCTCCTCCACCCCCAGCTACCGCACCCCACCTGCAGGTACTCCCGCAGCCACTGCTCGCCCGGCAGGTAGTCAAGCTGAGACAGCGAGTGCAGCAGCAGCGCCAGAGACTGGCCGTCCAGCAGCTCCTGGGAGGGGCCCGCGGCGGGGGGGATGAGGGCGGCAGCGGGTGCGGGTGCAGTTGGAGGAGCAGGGAGCTGCTGTGGCTGCTGATGGTGCGGCGGTGGCGGCAGCGGAGGTTGCGGAGGTGGGAAGGGGCATGTGGCGGGTGTAGCGGTGCCAGCTGGGGTTGCAGCAGCCGGAGCAGCGGGCGGTGGGGAGCTGGGCGGTGTGCCGAGCAGCCTTGGACGGAGCGCCTGCAGTGGAGGGAGGGGTGCAAGGAGGATGATGTACCGTGTGGCAGCAGGTGTATCAACGTTGTGCCGATGGATGCTTGGGGTTGGGTGTGCAGCAGTTGGGGTGGGGGGTGGCCTTTGACTGGCGTGCCGGCGATGGACGAGTCGTCGGGCTGAAGTACTCTCGCAAGGGCAACCCACAATCTGTACCCCCTTACCTCCCCACCCCCCCATAGCCCCCTCAGCATGCATGCATGCAATCCCTAACAATCCCCCAACACCCACCTCCATCATAGCTTCCATGTACTCCCCAGAAGGCGCGTAGCCGAACCTGGCAAACGCCCACAAACTGTACAACAGCGCCGGACTGTCCAAGTACGGCAACCGCTTGTACGTCGCCCGCTCATACCGTACCAACCACCCAGGCGACGGCGTGAAGTCCAGGGAACCCAGAGCCCACAGGCAGTTCTGCAGGTCGTTGCCCTTGCACTGATGCAACATCAAGCCCAGCGCGAGTGTTGCGGCCCCGAGCCAGCCCGCCAGAGCCCTCGGCGCTGAGGCAAGCGCTGCGGGTGCTGCTGAGGCGGACCCTCCTTTGTGACGTTTGCCGGCTGAGGCAGTTTGCCCAACGCCTTGGTTGCGTCTGCCGCTGTGAGCGTCGGCAGCGGCGGCGGCGGCGCCGCCTGTGTCGAAGACCTCGCGGTTCGCCAGGCGCATGTTTGCAAAGGCCCAAAGAGACGCGGCGAGGTCAACGGGCTTGTACGAGGGCAGCAGTGGTTGAGTGTGTTGGCAGTAGCGCTGAAGCCAAGCGGTGCTGGGAACGTAGCCTGCGGCAGCCATGCAACGCAGCGTCACGGAGAGGTTGTACGGACTCAACTGCGGCGGGGAAGGCGGGTCTGAAGAGGAACGACCCATGGGTCGCTTCGTCGCCGCTGAAGCGGCCGCCATGGTTCCTTGGGGCGAAGAAGGAGGAGGCTGTGGGCGTACTACAAGCACGTTGGCCGTAGCACGCTCGAGCTCCTGCCACCAGGGGGTGAAGTCCAGAGGCGAGGACCTGCGGCTCGAAAGCTTGCTTCGTGCGGAGATGGATGCTGCTGACGTGGCTGCTGCTGCAGCACCAGTAGCATCACCAGCTCGGATGGCAGGACGATGGCAGGCAGAAGGAGCGGAAGGAGCTGCTTCGTTGCCAGCAGTTGCTGTGCCGTACAGGGGTGCAGTAGGCCTCTCCAGGAGGTGCAACGCCCCTCTTTGCTGCTGCTGCTGCTGCTGCTGCTGCCGCAGCTGCACGGCCTCCGCTACCGCCAAGTCCGACCCGCCTGCAAGGCCTGTCACGCCCCTTTGCGGCGGTCGCTGGTCGGTACCCAACGCGAGACCCCTTCCTGTGCTACTCGGCGGAGCGGAGGAGCCCTGTCGTCCGCCGGAGACAGCATTCGGCTCAACCTTCTGCTCTTGCTGCTGCTGCTGCTGCACCAGCCTCTGCACCGCTTGCGGCTCACCCGCCGCCAGCCCCAACGCAGCAGTCAACAGCGTCTCTCGGTGCTGCACCACAGCTGCTCCCGGGATGCCACCACCGCTACCAAAGCTTTCAGCACCAACGCTGCTCCGGGAGACGCCAGCCGCCGCTTTCAAGCGCTTCAGCAGCTGCTGCAACAATGCCATACCCTCCGCACAGCGGACAAGCTGTAACGGTCCCATGCGGACCAGCAGCGGCGCCGTTGCCGCCGCCATTTGACCCGCAAACCGTTCGACGGCAGCGGCGACGTCTCCCGCCGTCGAGCCGTTGGCGGCGGCGGCAGCGCCATTGGCATCGGCATCATCCATGGCAGCGGCCACAGCCCCCCAGCGCCACAAGAGGTACGACAGTTGCCCCGGAAGCGGATCCGAGCTACAAGTTCCCCTGCTCTGTTGGCGCTGTTGCTGCTGTTGCTGCGGCGGCGGCGGCGGCGGTTGGGGAAGGCCATTTTGGGAAGTTGGCGACGTCTGGTCGGATAGCGCACTGGGAGCAATGGCATCAACGGCGGCGGCGGTTGAGGGCAGTGCGACCATGCCCGTGTCTGCGGCGGCGGCGGCGAGGGCTGCCGTACCCGCCGCCGCCAGCGCCCGCCGGAGCCAGGGCGACGGCGGGGTGTACTTGAGGTCAGCGAGGGCGCTGCCCAGAGCGCCCAACTCCGACAAGCCTAGAGCAGCGGAGGCGGCGCCGCCGCTGCTGCCGTAGCTACTGCTGCTGCTGCCACCGCTGCTGCCGCTGCTGCCGCCACTACTGCTGCACCTGGGAACGTTGTCAACGCAGCCGCCGCCGCTGCTCCCAGGGCCGTGTGCGCCTCCGCTGCTGGCGCTTCCTCCGCTGGTTGTTTCCCCCTCGTCATCCTCATCTTCCCCAGGCGGCGGGCCCAGATGTGGTTCCAGCTGGCGGCAGAAGGAGTCCATCCAGTCGTCAGCGGGCAGGAAGCTGGCGAAGGCAAGCCACGACAGCAGCTGTACGAGCGCGGTGGGGCCGTACGCCGTACAGAGGTGAGCGAGGCCGCCGTTCGCCTGCGCCGGTTCACGGAAAGGAAAGGGACAACAGAAGGGTCTTGTGAGAGCGCGGGAAGGCACACACCGAACGTCACAGACCGGCAGTATGCGCATGCGGCGGCATGCTGTTCATATCCACCCAACAGCAGGAATAGCAACACGCATGGGGTGCATCAAGCGCAGCATCACTCCCATGCTTCACGAACCTCAACTCCCCTGAACGACCTCAACCACCAGTACGCAATCCCTTACCGCTACTCGCACCACCACTATGCCTAGCCCCCTATCCGGTTTCCTTCCTCTTCCCCTCCGTTTACTTACTAGTCCTCTGCACCCTCCCTCGCACCGCCTCCCTCTTCCCTTACGTTTACCCCTCTCACCGCCCCTCTTCCCCTCAGCGTATCCCTCCCACCGCCTCCCTCTTCCCCTCCGTTTCCCCCCCTCACCGCCACGCCCGCCGCCAGCTCATCCATCACTTCCTCGCGCGGCTGCCAGCTCTGACACGCCACCGCCCGCACCACCATGCAGCAATCCGCGGGGGAGAGGTACGGCAGCTGGGAGCGGATCTGGAGGGGCGGCAGGAGGGTGGGGAGGCAGTAGGGTGCGGGAGGTCAGCATGGGCGGGTGGGGTGGGTGGGGCAAGGACAAGACGTCGGGAGGCGAGGTAGTAGCGGGAGGGGGTAGAGGGGATAGGATCTCTCGAGAGCAGGCTCACGGTAAGAAGAGAGTAAGCCGCGTGTACCACCCCACTCCCTCTCCTTTCCGGACTAGCCACCGTTAACCATCGTAACCTCCACTCCCGCGCTCCACGAGCCCAAGCAGCCCTACAGCCCTAACCGCACCCCAACGCCGCCCACCCTCCAAACACCCCAGACACCCCCCAGTAAGAGAGAACCCAAACGCCTCACCGCATGCATGTATGCCTCCGGCCAGTCGGCCAAGTACCCAAACCGCAGCGGCTGAAAGCGCGAGTGCACGAGCACCTCCGCCAGCCTAACCAGCTGACTAGCCGACAGGGAGGCGAGGAGGCCGCCCTTGGTCCCTCGTTCCCCACCCTCGCCCGCAGCTTGATGTTGATGGTTATGTACTGCAGCTGTCGTACCAGTGTTGTTGTTGCCGCTGTTGCCGCCGCTGCTGCTGTTGCTGCCGCGATGCCTGCTGCTGTGGCTGCCCTGGCTAGCAGGCAGCAGCATGGAGAAGAGGCGAGTGAAGAAGTTACGGTGCTGCGAAACCCGTCCGCGGTGCGTCTGCTGCTGCGGAGGCGAGGGATGCAGCCGATGCTGTGCCTCCTCTACGCGCTGCAGCTGCTCTTGCCGCTCTAGCACTTCTGGCTGCTGCTGTTGCTGCATTAGCTCTTGCTGCTGTTGCTGTCGCTGTGATTGCGGCACTAGCTGCTGTGTCAGCGCCTGCTGCTGTCCTTCCTGCAGCTGCTGAGCCACCGGGGGTACATGGGCGCCCGGCCCCCCCAGGCACCCGTCTGCAGCATCTGCAACATCTGCAGCAGCAGCAGCAGGAGCGTCTGCAGGAGCAGCAGTAGCGGTGAGCGTCGCTGGCGATTCCGTTGCAGCTGCTGGCGCCACCGCACCAGCTACGTCAGCGCTCGCGTCCATATTACCGCTTCTGAGGCCATCACCGTCGCTGCTGTCACTGGCAGAGGCCCTTCCCGATGGGGCCGCGGCGGCGGCGCCACCTGCACCAGCAGCACCGCCGACAACCGGCGCATCCAATACCCCTTCAATCAACGCCGCCGCATTTGCCGCCTCCGTCGCTTCCGCTGGCTCTTGCTGCTCGTCTTCCGCAGCCGCTGCCGCGCTAAAGCTGGAGGACGACAACGACCCCGACGACGACGGCGATGACGTGGCTTGGGATGCGGATAACGCACGTTGCTGGTTGATGAAACGGCTCAGGTGCTGCGCGTACCTCACCAACTGCTCCACCGCCTCACTCGAGGGAAACAGGGACCGAGCGTCGTCTCTTGCGATGCTCACTGCCGCCGGGGCATTCCGCTGCAGTACCTCGGGCCGACGCCACCACTGCCAGCGGCCTCCATGCGGCGACGACGGCGGTGCCACCACATCCCTGGAAGGACGCTGAATGCTGTTATAACGCGTGATGCAAACCCCCGCAGCGGCCGAGACCTGCAGCCACCATTCGTCCGTACGACAGGGGCAACTGCTGCTGACGAGATTGTAGCCGTCGCTGCCCCCGTTGACTGTCGTACGCTCCTCCAGCAGATCGAGAAGGTCGTTGGCGGCTTGAAGCGCAGCAAGGGCTAGCTTGTCGGGGTAGGCGGGACGCTGCTCCCGGTCACGTAATGCAGGCGACGTAGGCTCATCAGCTGAGGTCACAGGGGACTGTGGCAGTGCCTTTGCTGCTGTTGCCGGTGCAGCAGAAGCTGCTGAGGCGGTGCTTTTGTGATGGAGGACGCATGCAAGCGCTGCTTCGCTGCGCTCCGACAAAGCAGCTGCCGCGGCATCCCACCAAGCCGCTGACGGTGGTCTACCCAACACCCGCGTCAGCATACGGGAGAGGTGTACGGCGTTCCGCCTCCGCAGCCGTCCGTCTCGCAGCTGTGTCGTAACGGCGTGTTCCAAGGCTCCCAAGATGATGTTCTGGATGCGGGACTCGGCCTGACTGCGTTTCCTTGCCTGGGATGCTGCTGGGGTTGTGGAGGGATGCGTTTCACCGTGGCCAGGCGGCTGGTGGGTGGTTGCATGGGCTGCATGGGTGCTGGCAGCGTTGCTGGCTGCGGCGGTAACGTCGTCGGGGTTATCAGCGGCGTGCACCCGCTTGTGTTGGTTGCACGCAGCTGCCCCCAAGCCCCCCATGTCCCCCTCCATGCAGTCCACGGAACCCGGGGAGATGCTGCCGTCTAACAAGTCCAGAAGCATCAGCGCGGAGCTCCTGTTGTTGCTGCTGCCACCGCTGCTGCTGCTGTCACTGCTGTTGCTGTTGCTGCTGCTACTGCCACTGCTGTCACTGCTGCTACTGCCGTCCTCGCTCCTGTGTGCCCCACCGCCCCTGACTCCACTGCCACTGTCGTTGCTACTACTCCAGCTGCCACCGCCGCTGCTACCGCTGCTGCACCTGCCTTCTTCGCTGCTACTACCACCCGCCCCTGTCCCTGCCAACACCAGCCGCCCCAGCTCCCGCACCTCATCCGCCCCCAACACATCCTCCGCCAGCTGCTCACCCAGCAACACAGCCAGTCGGGTGGCAAGCGGCCCGGGGATCACACCGCAGGGGTCAACCGAAACACCGCCCTCACCGGCCGCCGCCGCTGCCGGGGATGCCCCAGCAGCAGTAGCCGCAGTAGCGGGGGTGGAGGCAGCAGCAGCGCCGGCGGCTCTTCGTGCCGGGGAGGCTACCCGTGCGAGGTGCCCCGCGGCCCCCAGCAGCCCCAACATCGCTGAGGGCGAGAGGCGCTCGGGCTGCGGGGGCGGCTTGTAGCTCAGCTGGGCCACGATGGGGCGGTGGCCGCTGGAGGGTGGAGCTGGAGGGTGTGAGGAGGCGGGGGAAGACGGTGGCGGCAGCAAGGCGTCCGGGTCGTGGGGAAGGACAGCCGTGGCGGCGGTACTGGCGGTGGTAATGGTGCTGTTGGTGTGGTCGTTTGAGGCCTGACCCGATCCTGGCGCGTCTGCCGCTGGTTGCGTGTTATGCAACGCACCATCAGCAGCAGCAGCAGCAACAGCTACTCCCGCCTCGGTAGCAGGGGCAGCAGCAGCCGTCGGAGTGACCCGTGGGTCGTGAGAGCTGTCAGCGGTCGGCTCGCTACCGCTGATGACGTGTAGCCGCCATGCCAGTGCGTCGTACAGCCGGTCAACCCAGCCGCCGGGAGGCGCCACCTGCGAAGAGGGGGTGAGGGGAAAAAGAAGGATACCCATTGTGTCGATTGGAAACGGTAATGGCAAACCATCGGTAGGTGACGAGCCCTTCCGGGGTGCGAGGGAGGGGTAGGTGATTGAAAACCGTGTGGAGCGGCTCGGCTTCGTTCATGCATGGCAAATCAAACGAATGGGAACGACCCGTCTTAGCAACTCAGCCATGTGTCGCTTTGTGCTACTTGGCAGTACCCCTCCCTCAACCCTTCCACCCGAACCAAACGCCACCATGTCCCCAACCTCCAGCCCCCCAGCCTCACCCAACGCATGCGCTGCACGGCAACTGCAACCGCCGCCAACCTTTCCGCCGGCCGACCCCGCAGCAGCTGCTCTGTAAGCTTCATGTTCACCGACACCAGCTTAGCAGGCACGTTGGCGCGAGATCCAGCCTGTCGTACAATCTCCGCCAACACAGGCAGCATCTCCACCATGTGCGAAGGTGCGAAACCGTTGCGCTGGGAAAGCGTGTACGACAATGCGCCGTTTAACTGATAGAGAATCATGCCGTACAGCTTCTCATGTTCGTACGACAAGTACGGAGTCACTTGTGCCGTACAGAGGCCGCTTAGGATGTCCAGAAGGCTGCCGGGGTTGAGGTCCGCGGCGGTTGCATCGGCTGTCGTACGGCTGTGCTGGTGGTTGTCCAACAGGTGTTGTACGGCTTGGAGGTAAGCAATCAGGAAGGCACTGGGCTGCTGCTGCTGCTGATGCTGCTCCCACCGTTGTTCTTGCCCTTCGTGCCCCCCTCGCTGCTCCTGCTCCCACCGGCGTTCGGGTTGTTGTGGCAAGGTTTGCTGCCGCTGTAAGGCAGGGTGCTGCTGGAGTTGTTGGGTGGAGTCGTGGCGGCGAGCTGGCGGCGGCAGCAGCTGCTGTGGGCCCTGCTGCTGCAATCCCGGCGGCTCCTGAGGGGCACCTGGCAGGTGTCCTTTTGAAGACAGCGGGGGCTGCTGCTGCAGCTGCTGCTGGTATGTGCTCTGCTGCCCCGGCCCGGGACTGCGCAAGGGAGGCGAGAGAGTAGTCAACTGCGGTGGCAGCGAAGGTCGCGTCAGCAGTGGCTTGGGGCTTCCTGCCCGCTGTAACCCCGGCTGCTGCTGCTGCTGCTGCTGCGCCTTCGGCTCTGGTCTCGCCTCTGCCACCGCTGTCGTCATCGCCATGGCTTGCTGCGGTACCGGCACCGGCACCGGCATCAGCAGCAGCCCAGGCGCCGCCCCAAGTCGCACCACAGTGCCCAGCAGCCCCGACAGCTGCAGCGGTGTTAGGTCGCCCACCCAGGGAGTCAGGCTAGACAGCACCTCGTGAGTCCAGCTGAGGTCGCTGGGAGCCGCCGCTGTCACCGCCGTCACCGCCACCGCCATGGCAGCAGCAGGGGCAGCAGCAGCTGGATCGCAGCTGTCCCCAGGTACCCGGACACCACCCACATCATCATCACTCACATCGCCGCTGCTGCCGTTGTTACCGTCTTCACCTCCTCCGTCGACGTCTTCGCCGGCGTCGATGCACACGCCGCCGCCACCGCCGCCAGCACCGCTGCCACTCGTACTGCAGATGTGCGGTGTACGGGACAACATGTACAGCGCAGAGACGACCGTACCCGCCAGCGCCGCTGGGGCTACCTCACGCCTCTTGTCAGCCCTGGCACCGCTACGATCGCTGTCGCCAACGTGCTCACTGCTGCCATCGCTATCACCATCGTCGCTATCGTGAAATACACCATCGGCACCATCGGCAGCAGCATCCCCTACCGCCGCCGCCTCCGACGGCCGCGGCGGCGAAGTCCCCCTCATCCCCCCCTCACCGTCCGCCAGCCCATCCCTGCCATGCTGCTGCCACCGCTTGCTCCGCTCGTCAAGTCCCACCGCTTCCGCCGCCGCCTTTACACGCGTCTCCGCCGCCACCTTCACCTCCGCCTGGCGACGCAGCTCCGCCGCCGCTGCCGTACATCCCTCCCGCAGCAGATCCATGAAGCCGCGCGACGGCACCACCCCCACGTGCTTGTACAGCTCCAGCAGGTCCCGCAGCAACCACAACGGCTGCGTCCGGCGTCGCCGCTTAGGGACGCTTCCTGCCTTTCCTTCCTCAGGAGTGGTAGTAGAAGAAGTGGAAATAGCCGGGATAGAGCAGGGGGGCACTGCCTGATCCCTGTCGCTGCTGTTATGGTGGCTAGTGGGGTGCGGGCTGGCGTGTGCGCTGGCAACAGGCGGGCTGCTGGGGATGCTGGCCGGTGGCGGCTGTGGAGGCGATTCTGCTGCCGCCGGCTTCGCACATGCAGCAATACTGTCCAGGGGGACTCGTTCGGTAGGTCGGGCCTCAGGGGTTGCTGCTGCTTCTGCGGGTTCCGCTGCTTCTGCGGTTGTGGCTGCCGCTGAGGGTTCCGGAGCCTCTACAGTTGCTGCCCTGGCCGCCTCATCCGGCTCCCCGGCAGCAGCTGCCGCAGCGGCCGCTTCAGCTGGCTCCGCTGCGCTTACTGTCGCAGCGGCAGCCACTGGCACAGCAGCTGCTTGCGCAGCCTCAGTGGCTCCCTCCGTGGCAGCCTCAGCACCAGCCTGTGCAGCAGACTGAGAGACACCCTCGGTCGCACCCTCCGTTGCAGCCTGGGTGTCAGCCTCCGTAGCTGCGTCGGTAACAGGCCCCGTACCAGCCTCAGTAGCTGCACCAGCACCAGCCTCAGTAGCAGCCATAGCCTCAGCACCAGCACCAGCCTCAGTAGCAGCCATAGCCTCAGCACCAGCACCAGCACCAGTAGCAGCCATAGCCTCAGCACCAGCACCAGCACCAGTAGCAGCCATAGCCATAGCCTCAGCCCCAGCACCAGCACCAGCACCAGCACCAGCACCAGCACCAGCACCAGCAGGGCCCTCCGCAGCCGCAGGACTGCCGCTCCCCAGCAGCAACTCATCCAGCAGCGGCCAGAACTCGGGGCAGATGGGCTGACCCAGCTGCTGCAGGGGCAGCAGGAAGCGCGACACCAGGTCCCGCACACCCACCCTTGCAACCGCGTCACTACCAGCTCCAGCAGCAGCAGCAGCAGGAGCAGTAGCGCCATGGCTACCGGCGCCACGCCGACTGTGGTGGCTGCTGGTGCGGGTGTTGGTGGCGGCGGGGCTGAGGGTGTGGTGGTGGGTTGCTGCATGTTGACCCGTGGGTCTGCGAAGCTGCTGCCGCAGCAGCTGCAAACCCCGGTCATGGAGGACCTGCATGAGCTCAGGCTCCCTGCAGGCAGGGGGCCAGAGTGTGGTAAGGCGCCGAGGTACAAGAGGTCCTTCACCTTGATATCCCGCAGCCCGACCGCCCCCCCTGGACACCCCCGTTGTTATGCAAGTACGATTCTAGTGGCAGCATTGCATCTGTCGTCAATGCTGTACGCACGCCAACAATCCGCCCTCTTGTCATACTTTAGATGCGCCGCCGCCAGGCCACGTGCCGCCGTCATGAGGTACGACCAGTCCAGGACCTCACTGCCGTACACCTGCAGCAAACACAGCAGCCGCCGGGCTACGTAGCGGTACGCCACCATGAAGCGAGGCCGCCGCATGAGGAGCGCGTTGTGGGGGAAGGCCTGGCTCTGCATGTAGATCGGCGAGAGGGAGGGAGGGGCAGAACATAAATAATAAGTGAAACAACAAAGTCCCAAGCCCATAGCCTGACTCGAGGGGAAGAAGAAGTAGAGGGAGGATGGGATGGGTTACAGAGCCTGGTCACAAAGCGAACGTAACCCAACCACTACCCAACCACCCACCCAACCGCTACCCAACCATCCGACCCACCGTCTGCGCCGTCCGTATCATGCGCAGTGCCGCCCGAGTGGCCTCCAGGTCCATCAGCGGCACGTGCCAGTCCAGCTGCTCCACCAGCTGCCGTACGTCGGCACTTGCGGTGACCGCTCGGATCACACGGGACCTGGCGGGACACAAGAAGAAGGAAGGAAGGAGGGGCGCAGCAGCAGAACGGCGGTGGGGGCGGAGAAGGGGTTGGGAAAGTAGGACTAAAGGCTGGCGGTTGTCAGTGCCCGGATGATACCATGCACACTAGGCGTGCAAGCAGCTCCATGGCGCATCACTCGAACCCCCCGGGCGCCCCGCGGCCTCAGGCCGTCGTACCCAGGCCAAGCACACTGGGCATGCATGGCGCAAGGTTGCAAGCAGCTGACATCTGGATGCTATAGCAGTACACTACCTCCACACCTGAAGCCTGCAGCTTCGTCGTACAGCTCGTCAGTTTCCTCACTTTCACCCCCACCTGATGTAGTACAGCGACTGGATCCGATGAGGCGGGAGTCTGCCGTACTCGTAATCCGGATCCAGGAAGGGAGACAGCTCCTCATTCAGATCGTTCGTCTTGGAGCCCAGATGAGCAGCAGCAGGAGCGACAGCAGCGGTACCATTGGAAGCATCACCCAGAACTGCAGCAGCAGCAGCAGCAGCAGGAGCGGATACTTCCACGCTCCCCGCATCTGCGTGCCCCACATCCCCCAAGGCGGCCAATGCCTCAGATAAGAAGGCGTCCACCTCCTCCCGTGCGGCACCTGCTACTGCTGCTGCTGTAACCGCTGTCGACGTCGATGCAGCCGCAACCAGCGGCGGCCGCGCCAGCCGCAACGATGTCAATGCGGGGTTGTCGCCGGGGGGTTGCTCAGGCAGCGGCCGTGGCGTGCGCTGCCGCTGCTTTTGTTTTCCGGATCGAGGCTGCGAGGCTGTGGCGGCGGCACCTCCCGCCACCGCTTCCACCGCATCAGCCCCCTCCTCTCCCTCCTGCTGCAGCTCCCTCTCGTACTCCTCCCACCAAGCCAGCCGCCTCGTGGCACGAACCTGACGGCTGGCAGCCTGCAGCCGCTCACTGCCGCTGCTGATGGTGCTGGTGCTGCTGCCATCGCTGCTTCCTAAAGTACCTGCTTGGGTGGCATCGGTGCTGTTGCTGCTGCTAGTGCTAGTAACGACAATGGCGGCACTGCTGCTGTTGCGGATGATGTCAATGCTGCTGCTGCTGCTAACGCTGCTGTTGCTGCCACTCTTTATCACATCAACGCTGCTGCTACTCCGACCGCCGCTGCCGCTGCCGCTACTGTCATGTGCATCCGCAATGCCTCCATCCGCAGCGCTGCTCGTGGCGCCTTGGCTGCTGCTGCTGCTGCCGCTCAATCCGTCGCTGCTGCCGCTGCGGCCGCCCCCACCGCCGGTGCTGCTGCTGCTCGGCCCATGTTTTTGGCCGCAGCTGTCATCCGCCGGGGAAGAACCAGGTAGGATTGGCGAGGAAGGGGAGGTCTGGGGTTGCTGGAGTACCCGGACCGGCGGGGTAGCGGGCTCGGCACGTTGGGTGCTACAGGACCTGGACTCGGAAGGAGGACAGCATGACAGCATGGCGACACCACCATCATTGAATCCCCCACTCAAGGCTGTACTCAAGCTCCCCTGCACATGACGGCGCTCCGGGGCGACGGTGGCGGCAACATGGGCGGATCTGGAGCTCCTGGGAACAGGAAATGGAGCGCTCCGCGAGGAGGAGCCGGGCCGCCGCGTCGCTGCTCCTCCCGTCATCAGCTGGGCGGCTGCCTCCGCAGCTGCTGCCACGGCCTTGGCGGAATGGGAGGTAGGAGCGGCGGCGGCCTTATGCTGCACCTCCAGCTCGTACTCCTCCCACCATGCCAGCGGCGGGGTGCTGGCAGTGCTGCTGCTGCCGCCGGTATTGCTGCTATGGCCGTTTCTGTTAGCGCCCCTGTTGCCATTTCTACTGCTACTGCGACCCTTGCGGCTGGTTTGGCGGCTACCGCTGCGGGGAGAGCGGGTGGAGTTCTTCTCCGCAACCGCTACGGCAGCGGACGCACCACGGGCGCTAGGACTTTGGCTGCGGCCGCTGCTGCCCCCGCCCTGATTACGCGGCCCTGATCTCGCGGGACCTCTGCTTTCCGATCTGCTGGCCGTGCCAGATCGCTGGTTTCGTACGGCAGGAGCAGCCGCGTCCGTACGACTGCTGTTGATACGGCTGCTGCTACGGCTGCTGTTGCCACCAATCCCCCGGACAGCTGCAGGCTCGGCAAAGGACGGGCCACCAGTTTCGGGCCCTACACCGGATGCCGGAGGGCGAGAGCCCAGTGCGAAAGCACCAACCAAGCCAGCCCTTCCATGGCGCTGCTGTCCATGACTCAATACCGGGAGACCCGAAGAGCCTTCGAGGCGGCGCCGCTTGTGCGGTGCGGAATGCGTGCTGGCTTGCACTGCGGCATTGGCCGCCGCAGCAGCAACACCCCAGGAGTCGTGGTTAGGGAGGTGGGCTTGCCACGCTTTTGGTTTGGACCTCGAGCCAGATGAACGACCAAGGAGCTCGTGCGGCTGGCAGCTGGCGGCTCCAATGTTGGCTTGGGAGGACAGCGCAGGTAATGGGCAAGCCCATGAGGATGGATAACCAGCCGTCAGACCAAATTGAGTCATACTGAAACACAGGGCTGTTACTAGATGGCTCTTTCATATGGGTGTATGGGCAATTGAGCTCAAGTAGGTGTGGTAAATGTTAGTCCGCAATTGGGCCGCCATATAACAATAAGAGGCCGCACATAAGTATATGTTAACTTCTAGTTAATCACTGCAATTGCTGGAAGGTACTCGCTACGTGCAGGGTCGGTATGATAGAACCGAGTATTACTTCGTAAGGTTGGGTAATGCTACCTATTTGCGGCGTACACAAACGTGCTTAGATTCTTTTATAGTACCAGCTTGCATCAACACTAGCTTGCTCATCCGATTTGCGGCCAATCTGGCACAAGGTCACGAGGCCTCCGAGACCAATCAAACGGGATACGGGAACCACAAACGGCCTGACTTCCCGATTATCCACAATACCATTGAATTAGAAGGTGGTTAAAGTTCGTCAAAACGTTGTTCCTGCTTTGAATAATGTAGTTTGTAATGCGTCGTCATGCTGTGTCCAGTATTTATGCGTAAAATCCGAGTACAGGACACGCAACAGGCCCTACCGCTGCGCTCTGTCTAGTGGCATGTTTCACTGAGCCCGTAGCACCTGACGAGTCCCTGAAGCGCCCGCACTTTAGCACCATTAAGCTGCAAAAAAGGCCCGTGCGCTAAGGTTTGTGTGGAAGGAAGGGAGGCTTGCATCGGGACCTGGGTTGGCGGTCGCGGGAACTTAATACCTCTAGGTGGTTAGCAGCTGCCTTGAGGCATGGATGCCAACTGTGCAAAGACACTGGGCATATGTGGCGACCCAGTTGGTTGGATGGTGCCGCTGGGGTTGCAGAATTTTGAAGACCCCTCACACGTTTGCTGTTACCCATCCCATGCGCGAGACGCACAGGTGCTAACCATAACGCTTCCTTCTATATCGGCTTACACGGGTAGCGGAAATGGCTTCCGGTCGTCAGGGCCTAGACAACTAACGAGATGCAATCCATTAGACCACTCAACATTAGGTGCAAGTTGTTTGGTCGGAGACCCCTGGACCGCATAGACAGCGAATTGGAATCCAGGCTCGGATCCTAACGGATTCATCCTCGACCCAAGGGGCAGTCCTGCCAGATTTGGCACCGCCACGGCAAGGCAACACTATATGCAGAAGACACAATTGACATCGCTTTGTGCACGTGCTCTGGTACCGGAGTGAAACTTCGCATACCTTCTAGAAGGAAAGCAGATCTGCAAACGGCATAAGGAAGACAAAAAGGCAACATACGGTGTTATAATTACTATTACCTTCCTTAAGGGCAAGAATTTCATCGCTCCAGAGTAGCGCTACCCAATTGACAAGTGCGCAGCCCGAACGTAACTCGACTCGCGTAGAGCTGTTCAGAGAAGATATATAGTTATATACGTTCGATCATTCACCAAAGCGATTGTTTGTTGATTAAGCCGCAACTCGCCGTTGGACAGGATGAGCTTTCCGCAATGGAAAGGTGGGAAGTTTGGACATGCTTGCCTGTAAGGAAGGTGTATAAGCACCAGATTGCATGACTGCTTGGGATAGGCTTGCGTACCATACGAGGGCATCGCGGGTTGCCACTGTTGCCATCAAGTCCGGTGCTTACTCGCTCGCACCTGCTCACCACACTCCCCCTAACCCCCTGAACCCCTGTGCAATCGCCCCTCTGTCCTGAAGGTCTTTGGGACTGGAGCATGAAGTATGCGGACGGCACGGGGGCTAGCAGATTTCGCCCCGAGGATGTGGACCCGGAGAAGATGAAGTGGTGCGTGGCATGCCGGAGGGTTACACTTTTCAAGGCGCTAAAGGTTATAACGCTGTCTTGAATGCCGTCGCCCAGCACTAAATACCTCCAGTTCTAGGGGGGCGGGGGCAAAATATAGATAAATGCATCAACGGATTCCCGAATCCCGACTCAAGGGGGCCGGGGCCGGATTGGCTGCGGAAGTATTAACACACCATCTCAGCCTTGTTTCCCCACTCCCCGCTCCCCGCCCTTGCTCCCCCTCCTCCCACCTCGCCCTCCTACACCTCCCGCCCCCCTAAAAGGCTGGAGGAGGCTCTCAAGCACTACATGATCGACTTCTCCGCGCGCATGCGCGACATCAAGGCCACCCTGGAGCGCGACACCTCCGCTGCCGCCTCCGCCAGCCAGCAGCGACAGCAAGGGCAGGGGCAGCAGCAGGCGGGGGGCAGCGACCAGGGACCCGTTGCCGGCGGAGGAGAAGAGGAAAGGGTGGGTGCTGCAGCAGGGTCAGTAGCCGGGTCAGCAGCAGGTGACCTGGAGGAGCGCGAGGCGCTGCTGGAGGAGCTGATGGACATCGTGTCATCCATCGACTACGCCAGGGGTGAGGCAGGCGGAGCGGGGGGGAGAGAGGGGGCTGCAAGGGGGGGGATGTACTACAACAGGGGAGGTAGGGAGAAACTGGAAGGGGCAGAGCAGAACTGGGCGCTGAAGGGGTGGAGGAGGGGCTTATGTGTGAGGTTGGATGGGAAATGCGGGGGAGGGGAAGGCCCATGCATGCATTCTCCCAAATCAGTGTGTGTGGTACTGTGGCTGGGTGCACCCCCTGCACCGCATCGCATCGCATGTCCCGACGGAGCATTGACGAACACGGATTTAACACCCCCCCTTGAGTGACTGTGCCGCCTCTTGCCTTGCACCCCCCCTCCCCTGCACCCCCTCCCCGCCGCCCTTCATGTGCCCCTCCTGCACTCTCCCTCCTCCCCCTCCCCTGCACCCTCCCCCCATGTAGACCTCCACAAGATCGGCGGGCTGCCTGTGCTGCTGGAGCTGCTGGCCAGCCCGCACCCCTCGCTGCGTTGGCGCACTGCGGAGGTGGTGGCGACGTGCGTGGCCAACAACCCGCCCGTGCAGCAGGTGGGGTGAGCGGGTTGTATCTCCTTCCTCCCACCTGCTGCACCATACCTGTCCGCTGTCTAAATCACAGCCTCCATCTCCACTTCCCTGCTTCTCTCCCCTTCATCCACCTCTCCCCCTCCTCTCCCCTCCCCCTCCCCTCCTCTCCCCTCCCCCTCCAGTGGTTCCTGGAGGGCGGGGTGCTGCCCCGCCTGCTGGCCCTCACCCACCCCTCCCAGCCCCACGTGGTGCGCACCAAGGCGCTGCTGGCGCTGTCGGGGCTGGTACGGCACTTCGCCCCGGGGCTGCAGGTGGGTTGCGGGTTGGGGGGGTTGAAGGGGGGTTGACGGGGGTGGGTTGGGTTTGGGATGGGGTGGGGGGGGCCCTGTGGGGGATGGGGAGTGTGCATGGAGGAGTGAGGGGCTTGGGACTGGTCCCGGTATGATGTGGGGTTGGCCGTGGTGCGCTGCGGGCCGGAGTGGAATGGTGAGAGAGACGCCCCTCCAGAGCAGCACCCGCGTCTACTTGAGAATGGCAGGGGATGCGTTTCATCCTGCCAACCTCCCTCACCCCTCCTGCTCCCCCACCCACCCACCCAGGCCCTCCGAGACGCCGGCGGCCTCTCCGCCATCATCTCCTGCCTCACCTCCCCCGACCGCCGCCTCGCCCGCAAAGCCATGACAACCCTGTCGTACATCCTCACGCAGCGCCAGGCCGACTGTACGACAGCACACCAACAAGGCGCGCTGCCGCCGCTGCTGGCGGCGCTAGGCCTGCCCTCCGCCGCCGCCGAAGGTGCCGCCTCCACCTCCGAGGGTGACGCCGACGCGAGCGGCAGCAGCTCTCAGGAGGACAGCGACTTCAGACAGGCTGCATTGGGTGCGTTGCTGCAGCTGGCGGGTCATCCGGATACCTGGGCTGTCGTACGAGAGGCCCCCGGACTGCGGCCGCGGCTAGCGGAGCTGGAGGCCACCCACCTGGCGCTGCCGGCGGAGGAGCGGGAGGCGCAGGAGGAGGAGCTGGCGGCGGTACGGCAGCTGGCGGAGGCGTTGGCGGCGGCGGAGCCGCCGGCGGCGCGGTCGGCGGCGGCGGAGGCGGCGGCTGCGGATCATGTGTCGGTGGAGGCGTTTGAGGCGGCGGGAGGGCGGCAGGAGATGACGATCACAGTGAACGAGCCGACGGCGGCGGAGGCGGCGGGGGATGGGATGAGGGGAGGGAGGGATGTGGGAGCGGGTGCGGGAGATCAAGGGCAGGTTACGGGTACGGCAGCAAGTGGAGGGGAGCAGGCGGGGGAACAGACTGCGGCGGCGACGGCGGCGGCGCCACTGCTGCTGGGAGCTCCCTAGGAGGAGGACTTCGTCGCTGATTGGTGAAACATGCAGCGTGGTCTTGGGAACGGCGTGTGGGTGGCTTTGTGGAGGCTAAAGGGTGATCTGCTGTTGTTTCCCCCGTCAGTTGCATGGCAGAAATACGGATACGTACGGCAGGGGTACGTCAGGGATAGATGTTGCCTTGGACATGGGCGCTAGCGGCTGGTTTGACAACGTAAGCCTCACAAGGGGTTGCTAGTTATCGCACTGCGTTGCATCGTGTTAGGTGGCGACAAGGGTGTAACTTTGCTAAAGTCTATGCCTGGGTGGTACAGTCGCCAATTTAAGATGGCGCCGAATGGAATCGGCTAGTCCGCACCGGCAGTGACACTACCTAGCTTACGAACAACGTGTCTCCGCCTACTTGTTTGTAGAAAAGTTGGGATACTCTTTTCGACATGTGCGCATCCTTGTAATGTGGCAAATAACGCCGTCGGTACTTACCTATCCAGCTAGCCAGAGCTTCCAGGTAAACTATGTGGCCTTCATTGTGTCTTCATACGCACTTCTGCTTTGGTCATCATTCCATTGCCGTAACCTTCCATTGGGCCCCCCCGGTTTTGGGCCTACAACGCTACTGGGGATACGGCAACCAAAGTCCGGGCATAAAAACTCGCGATGCCATGCTCAATCGCCTTACTTCTACTGTAACAAACCAGTCAACTTATACTTAATGGGGTTATAGCTTTGGTCCAAGGCATTTCAGGGGTATGAAGGTCACAAGTGATAGTCGCCAACTCTCTGACGTATAGGGAGCGCCAGGCCTTAATGTAAGTTACCTATAAGCTTTAACTCTACACCTCGGTAAATGCCCCTGTTGTATGCCCTATACCGTTTTCTCCCATCACTTTTCTACTAAGCTTGGGGACGCATAACGGTACTTACCGACTTTAATCATAATCCACAGGTCTGGCTGCACTAAATGAAGTCTTTGTAAAAACAGTAAGTACCACTCTACAACAAATACAATAACTTATTAGGACGGGTTGGGCGACATTTATCGTCCGCAGTTTTAGGCCTCAACCTTGACGCTTTTTTACCCTACACGTATTAGTTTTCTGTATGGAGTAAGAAGGATTTCAGGTAGCTTGCATCATATAGCTGCCCGTCGGGCACCCGCCGATGGACATTTATGCTCATGCATGGCGCTCGTGCGTTATCCCCGAATGAGCTGCGCAGCTTTCCCTCAATCCTTTTACCATAGGCGCACCTGATTGTGTGTGGATGCCCTCCCCTCTGTGCCACAGGATTGTGACGTTGTTTGGAGCACCTGGCACAAAGGCATTGTGCGTGTAATACGCCTGGGAATCTCAAGCCCGCAGCTTCATGCTCCAACCAAGAAGACCAAAGTCTGCCGATTAATCAACAGCTGGAGATGAATTGCAACCCGCTCCAAGGGCCCTGCAGAGGTAAGTCGCATTGGTCGCTGCTCTTGTATCCGCATGTGGGCTGTCCGCGCCCTCTGAGCAATTAGCATGGGCGGGATTCCGCAAAGCCCGACATATTGCGAGTTATGTGCGGTGGCTATGGTTCGGGGTTGGATTGGAGCATGGGCATACTATTGGAACCCCGAGCATGCGCTGCGGACTAGATAGGACATGCACACACGGCAAGGGCCGTGTGCAATCAATAGGTGCCGGTACCCATCGGGCTTTGCGTAATGGTCATCTTGAGGAGTGATGTCAGTTATGGGGTTGCAAGTATATGATGCGGGTGTGATGCCGCTGCTGCGTTACTGACATCCGACCTTATCCTGCCCCCTGCAGATGCATGGCCAGCAAGGCGGGCGCCCTGTCTGCGGAACGAGCTGGAACGTCGACGTACTCCCTCCCAGCCAACAGGCATCTTCGGTCTTGCCCCCTTTAGCATTGACTACCTCTCCTTGCGCCACCTCCGTCTCGGTTCATTGCTGTTCCACGTAAGTTGGGGGGCTTGCCTCACGCGGTGTACCGTCGTAGGTGTACGTGGTGTGCTTTAGGGTTTTGAGCGCGGCTGCGGTTGGGTTACCATGTGTTGCTTTGGCATCCACTGTCTTTGGCGCCTCGTACCGCCTGCAGCCGTTCATGTTGCGTTGATGTCCACCACAATCCACCTCACCTCCTCACCATCAGCCCCCCCCCCTTCGCATGCCATGGGTCGAGACCCCTCCGCCGCCACCACAGCTTTCGTGGACCTGGCGTAGTTGGGGACGAATAACTGGACGGCACCCCACCTTAACAAACCACACGCCAAGACCACCTCCGCTACCTCCACCCTTCATCACGTTGCCGCCGGCCCCTCAAGACCGACGTCGCCTACTTCACCAGACCGCCTCCGCCGCCTAACCGCCATAGCGGTTATCCTTCACGGGTCACAAGTAAGTTGGCTTGGTGATGCAGTTCTCACACTACCTGAGTGGTCAAGCTGGGGGCCTGCTGCGAACCCTTCCATGCGATTTCCGGTCGTTAAGTAGTGGGCGCGCCAGTGTTGTACCTAGCTATGCTGTCTGGTTGGCGATGGATTTGGAGTAGGTGGCGCATTGGTTTCTAGTGTCGCTGCTGTGCTTGGCTTGCTGCATGCTGCTGGGTTGTTGTTGGGTTGACGGCATTTCCGTCTGGCTGAAGGTGTCACTGGTGCGGACATTGTTACCACTTATTGTCGGCGATGGGCTTTGCGACGGATTTTGCGACGGGTTAGCCGTTCATGATGACGCTGACAGACGCTGGGGCGATAGGTAGACGGTTGCGTGGATTTGGCTGTTGTGGTACTAATCGCAGCAGCGGTAGTTAGCAATGCGAGGAGGTTTAGGGAGCTGAGAGTGTAGGAGAGAGAGCTGAGAAGACGGGAGGTGAGGTAATGCAGGCGTTGCAGACTTGTATGCTGGTTGTCCTACCGCTTTGTCATGCTGCGTAGGGGATGTCCGTTTGGCGGTAGTACCGCTCATTGGGTTAAATGGATATGCTGTGGGCTTCATGTGTTGTGAGCGTGACAGGCAGCGAGTTATGTTGGTTGATTGCATTTCCTGCTACATTGCGCCTTATGCCACCGAGGCAGGCAGGCTCCTCTGCAGCGCCCTGCAGCTCCCAGCTAGCTCGCTCGCAGCCCAGCACCTGATGTACAACACGGCTTCGGGGCGGACGGGGTGGGTCGGCCACATGCGCCTCAGCGACTCACCCCAGTCAGGCCAGATGTCTCCCTCCTCCTAGTAGTGCCTACACAGCACAGCACACACAGCTACAGAACGCAAGGACCCCCTCACCAGCAGCCAGCGAGTACGCAGATGTTGTTAGCGGCAGCCAGCTTGTACGGTTACAGTTTTACTGGCAGCCTTTAGTGACCACGAAGCCCCTTAATAGTTTATGCCAACAGCTATAGCCCTTTTGGTGCAGCGCATGACTTACATAAGGGGGTTTCAGAGTAAGAAAGGGAAGAAGGCATTGGAAAGCCAAAGGTAGACATATGAAGGGGATACAAAGGACGGGAAGAGGTAGGTGAGAGCGGGTGCAGGTAGGGTAGATGGGGCGGGTGTGAGAGCGAAAAGAGGAAACAACTAACTGACTGAGGGATAAGGCGTCAACATGGGTTGCAACATGTGAGAGGGAAGGGGGCGGGTGCGGGGAGGAGGGGTGGGCAGGGGGCGGGGTAGGTGGGGCGGGTGCGGGGAGGAGGGGTAGGTGGGGGCCGGGTGCGGGGTAGGTGGGGCGGGTGCGGGAGGGAGGGGTAGGTGGGGCGGGCGTGGGAAGGAGGGGTGGGTAGGGGGCGGGTGCGGGAGGGAGGGGTGGGGCGGGTGCGGGGTAGGTGGGGGTGGGGTTAGATGAGGCGGGTGCGCGAGGGAGGGGTAGGTAGGGGGCGGGAGGGAGGTGGGAGAGATAGGTGGAGACAATGGAAGGGCTATCACAAGCTCTTGTTCTCCCGCCCCACTTCTAGGCTTCCGCACTCTGCCTTTTGTATCGCCTCCGCACTCCACTTTCCCCATCCGGTCCCTCTTATCCCTGTGTCCTGGTTACTCCCCCATCTCCTGCTGCTTCTCAGTTCGTGCTTAGCAGCGCCCTTAGTCGCTACGAGGACCAGACTGTTGGCGGTAGTGACTGGTAGTTAGTGGTTGACTAGCCAGTTGCAGGCTCCAAACCAGTTTAAGGCGGCTGTGCAGGAAGCATGCGGCTGTGCCACACGCAGGAGGCTGGAAGAAACTGATTTTTCCAACCCTACCCTACATTGCCAGGCAACGCTCTACGAGACGGCATGCACAAACCCAGCCCCCTCACAAACTTCACTCTTCGGCTGCACTGTCTAGCAAGTGCCAGCAGGACCAACGGGCGCCCTGGGTGGGGAAAGCGCAGGGACGCACGCCAACCCCAGCATGCAACGAAGCCAAGTGGTATAAGTGTAAGCTACGCGCCAGGTAGCTCCAGCAAGATCCCCGCGGTGGGATTGGGCCCCGTGACAGCAAGAAGACCAAAAGACCCAAGCTACACAGTGTATGCCGTCACATAGTTTCTTAGACTATGGTTTGCCCCTTTTTCCAGGCGGCCGCACTCCGCTAGAGTTACCGCACTTAAAATAATGGCACTAGGGCACTTGCAGGCCTCTCAGCAGCAGCGACAGCCATAGCAGCAGTCCTAGCGCGAACGGATGCCAATACGGACCATGTTGCAAGAATAACCGGACACATCCAAAAATAGACAGATCCCGAGTCCCGATGCTCCGTGTACGTCATAACCCGCCACACAAGTGCGGACAGGCATTGACTGACAAGTCTCTAATATCGTATTATGTTGTGTTCACACGCACTTCACGGCGGTGCCACCAACAGCGAGACGTACGTTGCATGAATTAGAAGCAATGATCGCAGCTTGCGTGTACCGGAAGCAGCATGTTACTGGTACGAATACGAATACGTAATTAATATTACCGGTCTACGACACTGAACCTCTGACGCATCTCGTTGTAACCAACCGCAACGTCACGCCTGTCGCTAGTAACATGGAAGTCGACAATGGGCATATACATTTAGTACTGAAAGCACAGGCCCTGCCAATACGGCAAACTGCTTGCTCAGCGCACCTGTAACGCCCACCCTCCCATTAGTCGCGTACCTTCGACCATTACGTGCCTTACCCAACTCCTGATCAACCCGGAAAGCACTGTTCCATTCCTACCCTCATAATCCCATACTCGTGTATGAATCTCCTGACCCCCTCACCTCACATCCTTAGCCGCCCCTAGCCATGCAGTCTTCCCTCCCCCAATCCTGCAGCAGCACCGCTACCATCACCCGCCTCCTCCTCCTCCTCCTCCTCCCGTACAACGCTCGGCCGTCCATGCGGCACTGTCTGTTGCTGCTGCTGCGCCTCCGCCGCCTCCGCCGAGCCCCGTAGAGACGAACCACCGCTCGACGGCGCCGTCGCCGCCGCCGCTGGCCCCAGCGCAGCCAGCTTCGCGCCACTCAGCGACCTGCCCAAGCCATGACGGGCGGGACCCCCCGGCAGTGGGCTCAGGATGGGCCGGCCTGGGAAGGAGGACCGCACCACCTCCTCCGTAGCAGCGGGCTGCTCGGGAGCAGCCGCCACGTCCAGCAGCGCGGGTGAGGGTGCGGCGTCGGCGCCGGCGGAGTGCCGTAGCAGCGGGTGGATGTGCGGCGGCGGCGAGAGGTGCAGCGGCGGCAGACCGCCACCGGCGCTGGACGAGGTACGGCGAGGGAGGCCGCTGCCGCCGCTGCCAGCTGACGTGCCGGTGTCGGTGCCATGACCGTAGGATGAGGTAGCGGCAGCGGCAGCGGCAGCGGCGGCGGTGGCGGCATTCGGAGTGGGGCTTCCATCTGCGGCGGCGGCGTCCAGGAGTGGGAGCTCCTCCTGACCGCCAGACGGCACTCCGCCGCCGTCGGCGCCGGCGCCGTCGTCGAACGCATCAGCGGCGCCGCTGCCGTCACTGTCACTGCTAGCGGCCTCGCTGCCGTTGCGAAGCATGTGTCGTGCCGTCGGGTCGTCGTAGATCGCCTCCTCCTGGTCCCCGTCAGCGCCGCCTCCGTCACCCAGGTCCACGCCGCCCTCCGGGTCCTCCCCTACCTCGATATCGCTATCACTTCCGCTGCTGCTAATGCGAGGCTGCTGCTGCTGTTGCTGCTGCGGCGGCGGCGCTGACGTGGCAACGCCCGCCCCGCCACTGCCGTGGGTGTGATGGGCGTACCCTATCGGTGTGGATCCAACAGCCACTACCCCAGCTGCTGCTTGCGACGCCGCCGCCGCCGCCGCTGCGGTGCTGGCGGCTGCCCGAGCCCTCGCCGCCGCCGTCGCCGCCGCCGCGGCGCTTCCCGGCCGACTCACCCCCTGTCGTACCGGCGTCCCGGAGCTCGCCGACGTCACGCGGGCGCTCATGACCGCCTGCACCGAAGGCCCGCCAAGCGCCAGCTGCGGCGGCCGCGGCCGCGGCGGCATCGCCAGTTGCCGTACCCTCCCCTGCTCCGCCTCCGTCGCCGACCGACGGCTGCTCCCGGCGCTGTTGTAGTTCAGCGTCCGGCCGCTCTGCGAGGGATCGCCCCAGGGCGCGGGCCGCGGCGGCGTCGCCCCAGATGCCGTACTCGGCGGAGCCGTCGTCACAATCGACGGCGGCGGCGCCATGAGGTTCGCCGGCGAGGGCATGACGGAGTCCTGCCCCGGCGACGCCCTCGCCGAGTCCATAACGGCGCCGCCGGCGCCGTCGGCGGTGCCTCCGCCGCCGACCCCGCCGCTGAGCGTTCCGGTGCCGCTGCTGCTGCCGGCGACGCGCGCCACGTCCGCTGTGAGCTGCTCCACCTGCCGTATGAGGAAGGAGAAGCACTCCTGGTGATGGTGGAAGTTCTCACGCATCTCACGAGTGAGGTTGTCGGTCTTCTCCAGGATGAGTGCCTGAGGGCCAGGATGAGGAGAGGAGACCAGGATAAGATTACGAGGTAAAGGATGGTCATATACATAGCACTAGTAGAAGGACGAGAGAGAGAGAGTACCGGTAAGGGATATGCCGAAAAAGCAATGGGGCGGCACTGACCGATCACCGTCCACTCCCGAGCTCCTCATTCTTCCAAGTCGCGCCCCCATGCATGCGCACCCCCCCACACACTCTCCCTTTTAGCCCTGGCCCCTCATCTCCTTCCAGCCCCGCCCGGCCCCACCTCCATCTCGTCGTTGTCCGCCTCCTCCGGCGCCGGCTCGTCGTCATCCCACTCGTCCTCATCGTCCTCCAGGTCCTGCAGCTGCTCGTCCAGGATCTCCTGGCTGGAGGCGCGCGGGTCCAGAGACAGTTGCCAGGCCTGTGCGGGGGCCGGGCGGGGAGGGAGAGGGAGGAAATGGGTGGATGGGGTTGAGGGGGGAATTTGAGGAAGGGGGCAAGGGGAACGGGTAGCCTGACAAACCTACTCTAGAGAACAACTGAGCCTTGTTCTTTTGTTACACCCCCCTGAAGTTGAAGTAAGGGCTGGGTAGAAGGAAGCAGGAAGTAAGGGATGGAGGGAGGTGGCGACGACCGACGGGTACTTTTGCCCCTACCTGCATGTTCGGCTTGAACTTGCTGGCTGCCAGCGCCCGCAGCACGTCCCGCACACTCAGGTAGCGCACGTCCTGCATCGCCAGCCCCTTTTCAATCGCGTGACGCCAGTGCACCAACGCCCGGAGCCGCCGCTGCTCCGCCGCCTCCGCCGCTTCCGCCGCCTGCTTCGCCGCTTCCGCCGCCTCATCCACCACACTCACACCCGCGCCGATGGCTGGAGTGGCACTGCTGCTGCAGCCTGTGGGGCTGCACAGCACCTCGCCGAAGGCGGGCCGCGGCCGCGGTAGCGGCCGCGGCGGCGAAGCCGCCGCCGCCGCCGCCGCCGTCCCCGCCGCCACACGCTTCAGTAGCTCCTTCCGCTCCCACGCCCGCGCCTTGGCGAGTCGCCTGCGCCGCACCGTCCTCACCACATCCACCAGCGGCCGCAGCATCACGTTGAAGACGCTGAAGAGCAGCTTGGCCGCCCACTGGTAGAGCGAGGACCAGCCCACCAGCAGCAGCCCCACCAGCAGCCCCAGGTACAGCGCCAGCCCCACCAGGGTGAGCGCGGAGGTGACGGCCATGTAGGCGGCGGTGCGAAGCGGGCTCAGCTCGGTCTGCTGGGATTCGGCTTGGAGCGACTTTTTGAAGCGGCCGTAGGGTTTGAAGGTCTCCAGGGAGGCGGCGATGCCGGTGCTGGAGTTGGAGTGGGTGGTGGCGGTGGGGTGGGAGGTGGGCGCACGGGAGGCGGAGGATGTACGGCGGCGGGCGGTGGAGGTGGTAGCGGGAGGTGACTCGGTGTCGGAGTCGGAGTCACTGTCGCTGCTTGCGGAGGCGTTGTTGGTGATGGCGGTGATGGGGGTGTTGGAGGCGGCAGTGGGGGTAGGGGAGGAGCTGCGGACCTGTTGGGAAGGATGGAAGAACGGAGCGGAAGGGTGGGCGGGTGGGTACCGGTACATAGGGGGTAGGCTTGATGGAATGCGGAGTACCGGTAAGCCGGGCAGTGGCCGTACGGTAGAGGCATGTAGTGCTGGAGCACCGGTAGTTTGCAATCCTCGGTAACGCCAAAACGCGTGGTGGCAACCCGCCCTCCCCCACCCTGCCTCTCCTCACCTTGCTAGCCGCATACTTCCTTTGTGGCTGTTGCTGCTGCCGCAGCAGCTGCTGCTTCTTCCTCTTCCTGTCGTGCCCCTTGAGGTAGCGCGCGTACTGCCGGCTGGCGAACTGCCAGACACCGAAGGGGGTGTACACCAGGAACAGCAGCCAGCAGGTGACTGCGGGGGGGAGAGTGAGGAGGGGGAGGGCAGGGGGAGGGCAGGGCAGGGGAGGGGAGGAGGAGTGAGCTGCAGTGACATGGAACGGTGAACGGGATGGTGCTGCCTCGTCACCCTTGGGTACGGTGTCCTCCTCTTCCTTCCTTCCTTCCCACCCTGCCATGGAACGCCATAAGCCCCCTCTGTGAACAAAACGTACACAACCCCACCTCCTGCATCCTACCCTACACTGCCTAGGGCCGTAGCACACACGCACGGTCCCCTTCCACGCCTCCCGCCCACAAGCTCCCCCCCTCACCCTCACCCCATCCCCCCCCCTCCCCCTCACCCGCCATGATGGGGTACAGCGTGAGGAGGAAAATGAGGTGCGGTATCTCGCCCACCCCCGTCGGCCGCTCGCAGCTGTCATCCGGCAGCAGCACCCCGTCCGGCGGCAGCAGCGCCAGTCGGGTGGCGGTGGGGCCGCTGCCGCCCACCTTGGGGCGCATGCCGGCGGGCAGTCCGGCGGAGGAGAGCAGCAGGTGCAGCAGGGAGAAGGGGGAGCACACCAGGTTGCGGGAGACCTGGGGGGGGGAGGGGGCGGAGGTAGGCGGAGGAGGGGGAGGGTACGCGCGGTTAGGGAAAACGTAGTGGACGGATGGGAACGGAGGAGGAGGGGTGACGGATGCTGCACGGATGGAGACGGGAAGTGACCCCGGATGGTACACCACGCGCCTGCCCCTCGGGAGCCTCAGCTGCCCTCTCCCAGCCCAGAGGGCTCTCCCTCATCTCCTCTCTTGCAGGCGTCGCTCCCAACTCCCAACCACACACTCCTCCTCCTCCTCCTCCTCCAGCCCTCCTCCATGCATACTCGCTTCCCCACCCCCACCCCGCTGCCACCCACCTGCGTTTCGTAGTAGTTGACGATCTGCGCCTTCTTGAACGCCGTCTCCGCCTCCACCTCCTGGGGCCGGTAGCGGTTGGTGATGATGGCAATCAGCCTGGGAGGGGGGGAGGGAGGGGGGGGAGAAAGGGGTGGCGAGGGGGAGGAGGTCAGGGACGGGCCATGGCGAGGAGGCACTCGACGGAGGGAAAAGCGCTTCTATATAAGGCACGGTACGGCAGCTGATGTCATTAACAGCCGTCTACCAGTATCTAAAAAGCCGCTCGCATCGCCATCTCAACGCTCAACCACATACAACCTAAGTACCTAACGGCCCAGCCCAGCCGCAGCCAACCCACCATATACGACGTATACGACATACACAGCAGCCCTACCACACCCAACTCCCCCCCTTGAACTATACTTCCTTCCCCCACCCCACCCACCCACGGTCAGTTAGTTGTTTCCTCTTTACCACTCCCCCACCCCCACCCCGCCATCCAGCCTCACAGGTTCATGAGCAGGATTGCGGATATGACCAGGAATATGACCTGCACGATGACGCCGTACAGGTGCTTCACCACATCCAGTCCGTCGAACAGCGTGAAGTCGAAGTTGCCCAGCATGCTGCTGAAGAGCTGCAGCATGGCGGTGGCGAAGTTGGCGTAGTCGGGGACCTGGTGTGTGTTTTGGGGGGGAGGAGGGGGAAAGAGGGAGCAGAGGGAGGGTAGGGGGTGGTTAGGGAGGGTTAGGGAGGATGGGAGCGCGGGGGTAGTAGGAATGGCCGTTACTTCTATTGCCCCTCCCTCCCTTTCCTCGCCCTACAGAGCATTTCAGCTCTGTTCGAATCCATTCCCTCCAACCCTATAACCCCCACTCCTCCCAACCACCCCGTCCCCTTCCCCCCCGCCCCGCTTCTCACCAGGTCCTGGTAGATAGCGCTCATCATTGTGCTGAACCCCGTCATGACGATGAGCATGGGGAACAGGAAGGCGATCACCTCCTCCATCATGCGCGCCACCGTGTTGAGCAGCGGACCCAGCGAGGGGTACACGGGCACAGCCATGCCCAGGGCGCGGACCTGTGGGGGGGGGGCAGGAGGAGGAGGAGAGGGAGGAGGGGGGAGGAGGGGGGAGGGTTCAGGTTCGTAGGGATGCATGGTGTGTGTTGAGGAGCGGTATTGGGGCTGAGCAGCGGTCCCTGCTTGAGGCAGGGTAGCCCGATACCCAGGGCGCGAAGCTAGGGAGCAAGGGAGGGGTGGGGTGGGAAGCGGTAATCGCTTATTCCCCAGAACGCGAACGCCGCCCCAACCTCCCCCCCAAAACACCCCCCCCACTCACCCACACGAACACCGCCATGGTCGCCATGCACATGTGGATGGCGTCCCCGCTCTGATAGGGCGGCAGCCAGGGCGCGCCCCACTCCTGCGCCAGCTTGAGGCCCGTCAGGAGCAGCAGGCAGGCGTTCACAATCAGCCCCAGCGCGTTCCAGGGGTCCTGCAGGAACCTGAGGGGGGTGCGTACATGGGAGGGAGGGGAGGGGAGCCAGGGGTGGGGGGAGGGAGGGGGTTAGGAGTTAAAGGAAAGGAGGTGGAGGAATGTTACAGAACAGAGCCAGCAGGACTGAGTCGCGATGATGCGGACAGAGGTGAAACGCACCGAGATGCATGCCGGTGTGGGAGGGTATGTATGAGGACAGCCTAGAAACACGCCCCGGGAGCACCGGGGACACCCATGAGCACCGTGATTCCGTGTGTACGGTACTCCAGTAGCCAGTAGCCACACATGCACGAGCCATGCATGCACCCTCCATGCTACCCGCCGGGCCCCCCCGCACCCCCCCGCCACCCCCGCCCTCATCTCATGTGTCCACCTGTGTATGCGCGCCAGCGAGCCGTACTTGTAGTGCACGAACTGCGCCATGTCCAGCAGGTTGCCCAGGATAAAGGCCAGGAAGAGGCAGTGCAGCGCGCGCAGGGTGCGCAGGGCCACTCGCGGGTACATGACCTGCCACTGGTAGAGCACCAGGAAGGACAGCTCGAACAGCGCGTGAAGGGCCCACCTGGGGGGGGAGGGAGGGGAAGGGGAAGGGAGGGGTGAAAAATGATAAGTGCAGCAACTGGAGGGAGGGAAAGATATAGATAAGAGGGGAGGAAGAGGGGAAGGGGAGGAACAAGGGTCATGCGACAAGGCTCCACCGTGGGTTGAAGCATGAGTGGGAGGTGGGGAGGCCTCAACAGGTTGCGAGGTGATAGGTGACGGCAAGGAGTGGGGATTGAGCAGCAAGGAGTGAGAAGACGAAGGAGCGGGGCAAGAAGCGGGGCCACATACCGTATGTTGCCGCCTCTTAGCCCCCCATGGTCCCCTACCCTGCCCTACCCGCCCCTCTCCTCCTCTCCCGCCGTCCCTCCTCACTTCCCCCCCACCCCCACCCCCACCCTCACCTGCCCCTCGGCGAGTTGAAGAAGGCGGTGGAGGTGAATGCGTACAGGTGCCACAGCCGACTGGCGGCCTTGACCAGCGGGTCGAATGTGCCCTTGCCTGGTGGGGAACGGGAAGAGCGGAGAGAGGAGAAGGGTCAGCATGACGGTTAATGTGGCAAGGACAGAACGAGATGAGAGGGAGCTCCCACTTCCTCTCCCCAATCAATACCCCTGCTCTTTCTTCCCCCGCTCACACTCCTCCATCCGCGCGCACCCACGAACAACTGGCGGCTCCGAAACGCACAACCTCTCAGGGCGCGACCCCAGTGACCCATGGGTCTCTCCTCCTAAACCACACACACCTCCCCGCCCCTTCGCCCCCCGCCCCCACAACAGGAACACACCACCCACCCGCAAACCCCAGGCTCCTCAGCACCGCATACGCCAGCAGCGGGTTGGTGGCTCCCGTCGCCCTCTCGTCCTCGTTTGCGGTGAGTGCCAGCAGCTCCCCGCCCGCCCACTGCACCTTGACGTACACCTCGATCACCGTCTCCGTCATGAACTTGAGGTCCTGGGAGTCGAAGGCAACCTGCATGGGGGGCCATGCGTGGGTGCATGCATGGGCGCACGCATGGGTGCAAGGGATGGGGGTTGAGGGGCGGTGGGGGAGTGGGGATGATGAGGTGTGAGGTGAGATGAAGAAGGGGCTGACAACGGGTTGACAGGTTGTGGGTGTTGGCTTGGAGGCGTCGCCCGCTCGCCGCGCACAGTCCCCATGAGGTCATGACTCTTGTCCCCCTCCCACCTGCAGCGGCGATAGCTCATTGACGGTGTTGGGCACCAAGGAGGGCTGCAGGATGCGCTCCACCTGGCGGATGGAGCGGGGGTCGGCGAAGCTGGGGGGGGATGGAAGGGTGGCACGAGATGGGAGGATAGGGTACGACATCACCGGGAAAGGGGCGATGAGAGGGGTGGTGGTGCAAGGCGATAAAGAGGAGCTGGAAGTCTGGAGAACGTGAGCGAAGAGCACCGAAACCTGACGCCCAAACTCCCCCTCATGACATTACCCCCACCCCTTCCTGTTACCCTGACTCCCTCCCTTTCCCCCTCTTCCCCCCTTCCCCCCTCCCATCTCCTACCGGTTGAGCTTCCTGAGCAGCGCCAAGTGCAGCGAGTGGAACCTCGCCTGCGCCAGCCGCATCACCCGCCGGTTCTCCTCGTGCTTCTGCATCTCCTCCTGCAGGAGGGGGAGGGTAAAAGAGGAAACAATTAACTGACCGTGCGATAAGGCGTCAGCAGGGGGGTTGAGAGAAGGGGGAGGAGGTGTGGACCGGGGGACGTACGGTGCAACATGGTGGCAGGGAACAAGTGAGGGGCTGGTGTAATGAGGTGGCGGCAGTGCCCCTCCCCGTAGGCTCCCTGTAGGCCTCTTACTCCTCCCCACGCACCCACATGCCCCTAGCCCTCCTCCTCGCGTCCCCCCTACCTTGACTGCTGTGAGGATGGCTGCGGTGACGGACAGCGGGTTGCGCCGCCGCACCACATACTTGACCAGGAACTCCTCAATCTGGGGGGAGAGCGGAAGGAGAGGGAAGGAGCAGGAAGAGGGAGGTGGGGGAGGTCAACCAAACGCGGGTGAGGGTGAGGTAAGGACCCCCAGCCACCATACCACCCAGTTCCTTCCGCCCCATGCCCCCCCTCCGCATGCAGCCCATCCATCCGTCCACCCCTCCCCCATGCACCTCCCCGAGCACCCACATCCTCCTCCCCACCGCCTCATCCCCCCCCTCACGGTTAGCTAGCTACTCACTCAGCCCCTCCCCCACGGTTTCGGTAGGGGCCGCTAACCCCCACGTTGCCTTATGGCACGTGCCGCCTCTTTTCATCGTTGTTTTGCCCTCTATCGCGGTTTCCTATGGTTTGGCTTTTATTGACCCCTCCCCCTCACCCCCCACCCCTCTCACCCTGCCCGCCAGGTTCCCCTCCGCCTCCTGCATGTCCGCCAGCCCCGCCAGCCCGCCCGCGTCCTCCGCCGCCAGGGAGGAGCACACGGTGGTGCCCAGACGGCCGGCAGCTGCAGCGGCTGCAGCGGCCTGCGAGGTGGCTGCGCGGCCGCCCAGGGGCTGCACCGCCCAGGCGTGGATCAGGAAGGCCAGAACCTGGAAGAGGGGGAGGGGAGGGAGGGAGGGAGGGAGAGGGAGAGGGGCTGCTGGTAAGTAGGATACGTGGACCCATACACACACATTTACACCAACCACCAGACAAGCGGTTGTTCCGGCCGTTACGTTCATACACCACACTGTGATTATAAGCTTAATTCCTCCCACCTGCAGGTCCATTTCCACTTCCGTGTGCTCGTACAGCATCAGCAGCAGCCCCGGGTCGTTGTTGGCCATGGCCACCTTCTCAACCTGAGGGGCAGGGGGGGAAGGGGTGGGAGGGGGGGGCAACGTGTGGCGGGTCGCATGAAGCAGCCTGTAGGTGCTGCTCCTCGCTCCCCAAATACCCCCTCCTTCCACACACACTGTGTTCGCTCCTCCTCCTCGGCCGATTTCCTTGTTGTTGCACCCCAGCCTTCTCAACACATACACACCCAGTACGTTTGCCTCGCGGCCAGTTATGTTAACACACCCAGCGATCACCCACCCACCCACCCCCACTCCCACCCGACCCCCACCCCACCCACCCACCCACCCACCCCCCCCCTCACAACCCCCCCCCCCTCCCACCTGGTCCACCGTGTGCTGCTGCTGCAGCAAGGGGTTGGCGAAGTTGGAGTCTATGAGGCGGTGCAGCGCGGGGCTGTCGCGGTGGTGCAGGAAGTGGTCCAGCAGCGAGTCCCAGGCCAGCCGCTTGCGCTGGGGGGGGGGGAGGGGGGGAGGGAGGGAGGGGCGGGAGGGGAGGGAGGAGGGGAGAGGGAGGGAGGAGGGTTGGGTTCATGATGGTACAGGAGGTCATCTGTCACCGCCGACATGCTAGACATGGCAGTACCAGCATATCCTGAAACGGGGTAAAAATGAGACAACTGACGAGCTGTATGACAAAGGACAAGGAGGTGGAGGATTCCGGTAAGCCACCAGCATCTGGCAACCACCTGGCAAGGAGCCGGGGGAGACAACAGGGGTACACTCTCCTGTCCCCACCTTAACGCACCCTGCCATACCTCCTGCTCCCTGCCTCGACCCTATTGTTCCCCTGCCTCCTCACCTCAAACGCATCCATAAGGCCCGCATCCGTGCTCTGCGCGCTCAACAACAGCTGTCGCATGAAGTCCCGCGCCGCGCCCCGCCGCGCGCTGTTCAAATTCAAATTCAAATTCGCCGCCAGCCCGCCCGTGCTCCCCATCAGCGCAGCGCTGCCCAGCATGCCTGCGGTGCCGCCGGTGGGGGCGCTGCTCAGCGGCACGAGTGCGCCCGGCTGGGAGAAGTGGGTGACGGGGTCGTTGGTGGGGGAGACACCGCCGCGGCCTGGGGTCACAGCAGCAGCAGCGACAGCAGCAGCAGCAGCGGAGGGCATGGAGGGTAGGGGGCCGGGGGAGAGAGGGCCCTCGCGACTGGCGGCGAGGAGGCGGGGGTCGGGACCCTCGTGCTTTTCGTAGAACCTGGCGGGGGGAGGGAGGGCGCGGGGGAAGGAGGAAGGGAGGGGCCGGGTGTTGGGTGGAGGCAACGTACGCGGGATGATGGAGGGAAGGGGAAGGAGGGATGTGATCCGGGCGTGGAGGGCACCGCGGCCCTTAGCCCCTTAGAGCTTCCCTACAGCATCCATTGTTCTATACTAGCATCGGCAGTGCCTTGAGCAACCCTTTTCTCCCTGACAGCATCCTGCTCCCAACCCCCGACCGGTGCCTGTCCACTCTCTCCTTGACACCACCCCCAAAGCACCCACGCCCGACGCCCCCCACCCTCAGGCCCCCTCTCCCTCCCCTCCCTCCTCACTTGAGCACCAACAAGTACGGCCGATCCGTCATCTCCGCCGTACCCTCCGCGCCGTACAGTTTGAAACCCTCCCCCGGCCCGATCTTCTTCTTGCTCGCCCACACCGCCAGGTACTGCGCCTCCGCTGAGCGCAGGCGGCGCATGGTGCGCAGCAGGAAGCTCATGCGCTTGGGGATCTCCCAGGACATCTGGGGGGGGGGACAGGGTTAGAGAGGAGGGGTGGGAAAAGAAGATACGGCATGATAGATGAGGTAGTGTCCCCTTTTTCCGCCTCCAGAGGGGCTGCACTTCTTCGATATATATACGGTACGCATCCCGGAGCTGCGGCTGCTCGCAACTCTGCCACAGCTGACACGACGACTCGCAGCTGCAACTCTGCCGCAGCTATCGCAACTTTGCGCAGCAACCGCAGCTGCCGCACCGCAGCCCCCCTGCCGCACCCGCCCTCCCTGCTGCCACCCACCTCCACGGCTGCCGTCTTGACGAGGCTGAAGTCCTTGCGCAGCCAGTGCGGCGGGCGCATGAGCGAGGGGAACAGCACGAACAGCTTGAGCACCACACCGGCGGGGCACTTGCTGGACAGCGTGCCTTTTCGGGTGGGGTGCGGTGCGGTAGTGGGGGGGGGGGAGGAGGGGAGGAGCGGGAGGGGGAATGAGAGCGCCAGGAGGGGACCAGCAACCCAAGCCAACTCAGAACCCACCCTGTCCCACTCCTCACCCCCTACCGACTCACCTCCCGCGCCCTGGCCCACCGCTTTCATCCCCTTCCCCGTCCACCCATACCGGTAACCTTATACCACCCATAACCCCATCACACGTGGGTCACGCTTCAACCCACCCGAAAAGACCTCCCGCAGGCCGCTAGCCGCCGCATCCATGGTGTCGCTCTTCACGTAACACACGCTGCCGTCGGACAGCTCGGGGCAGTTGCGGACCAGCCGCACCGCGGAACTACCCGGCGTGCGGCCGATGGTGTAGGGGCGCTCGCCGATGACAAAGGGAAGCAGCTTGTCGGCGGGAATCTGTGGGGGAGGGGTGTGGAGGGAGGCGGGAGAGTGGCGAATGGGGTGGGGTGGGGTGCGTGGTGGGAGGGGGGAAGAGAGGGCGAGGGGAAGCCAGGAGGAGCGGGGTAGGAGTATGCCCAGGGCGGTCATAGCCCACTTCCGGTACCCCGGGGGAGCCCCTAGCCTAGCAACTCGTCGGCATGCTGTGCTTCACCTCCCGAGCCCACTATCCCTACCCGCCCCTCTTCACTGCCGTACCTTTTCAATCCTGTTGGAATGCTGCACCGTCAGCTCCAGGGGCAGCTTCAGCTCCTTCACCCTGTCAGGGGTTAGCGCCCTCAGGTGCCAGGACTGCTGGCTGGCATTCAGGCCGCTGCCCGCTGCAAATGCCCCGGTGCGCGCGCTACCCAGCGGCCTGTATGCGCCCGCCAGACGTGAGGGCCGGTCGGGTGAGGAGAGCAGCGGTGCCGCGTAGTAGCCGGAAGGAACTGAGGAAAGGCCGGGCGCGTAGCGTGCAGAGGTTGGTGTGCCACGCTGGGTCGGTGTGAGTGGAATTTCGCCCGGAATGTTGCCATCGAGGTTGGAGCTGAACTGGACGTGGCCATGCGCCCTTGCGGATGTGGCGACAGGGGAGGCTTCGTTGGTGGCGGTCGTGGGAAGGCGATGTGGGGTGGACATGGGCATCGGGGATTGGCTGGCCTCAGGTTCGGGTGTAGGGGATGGAGCTGCGGCCATGAGCTCTCGCGCCATGCCAGTATCGATATGGGTAAAGACGCTGACCCGGGGCGTTGTTGATTCGGCGATGCCCTGCGGACCGGCAATGGCCGCATGAGGGCTGCTTGGAATGTATCCAGGCGCACGCCAGGACCCTCCATCTTCATCATCTGGTGGCTCCTTATGAGGCTGAATTTCGCATTCCGGCTGCTGCTGCGCAAGCGGTCGGAGACGGTTGACTCCAGCGATGGAAGGACCAGCGGTCTCCGAACCGCGAGGCGATGATTCTAAGTCTGCTGTTGAACGCATACCCAGCCTCTTTCATAAAATATATCTATATATATTACATGTGGGTCCGCGGCAGCTTAGCTAGTACTCGTCGCATGAAGAAGAGACGTCAAAACAAACTTGCACACATTGGAAAAAGCTCTCAGGCATAAATTGCGACGGATAAGCGTAGTATGTATGTTCTTGAGGTTCGAGAGGTTAACTAACTTCTTCGTAAAAGAGGCACATTCGTCTTACTTGCCTTGCCAGACAGCTAGGTATGGGTAAGACAACTATGAGGGGCAGGCTTAGGAAGGTATGACATCTGTAAGCCACTTACAACTTGCGGGAAACAGCCTAAGCCACTGTACGGCGTAGTGCTCTCGACGGTCTCGTGTCTAGCTACGATGAGCCATGCATAAATGCGTGCAACCAAAGGGGTACTCAATACAGCGAACCTTTAAGCTACACTGGCTTCACACACTGTAAGCTAGATGCCTCAGCGCCGGGTCTCCCCTAACGCTTGCCTACCCCCATCACCCAAAACATGCTTCCTGAATAACCAGGATGGAGTCTCGGGGTGTCTGGACCTATCTGTCCTCTGTGCTCTGTCCCCTTCCTTGCATACCCTGCATGCCTCGCAGCGAGATGCAGCCGCCAGAGATCAGATGCACCTTCACGCATTACTGCGGTGCAACGATGAAGATGTGCACTCATATGGAACGTTGCAACTATATGAATGATCGTTACAGGAACCGCATGTTAATGTCTGACGTACGTAATCCTGACATGCCGTACTCGCGGTACGCCCAGCCGTTTATGGTGAGGTGCCAGATGGGCTGGTGCATGATGAAACCGAGCAAGTATGATGATACAACGCGGAGGATATGAACTCCTGTTTTGAACGGGTGTCAATACAGCCCCGAATGCGATTATTACAGGGGAGTCAGAACGACTCAAGTGCCCAAGCACGCCAGCAACAATGATTTTATTTGTCGCAGGAGATCTTACACGCAAAAGACAATGACCTTTACAACGAATGCTGTTACACGTATGCTGCAGCAGACCATGCAGCAATACGGCCAAAACCCCCTGCGTACAGTTACCGGTACGTGTACATAGGATACACACATAAAAGTTGTTGATACATAAAGGTCCAAAGCAATACTGTAGCCCGGAGTGTCGGGATAACGCTGACTTCACATCGAGCAGTGTAGCACTCTCGGTGCGTTTATGTGCTTGACAGCATCCTGCCTCAGTGTTAAAAATGCCCTGACACAAAGTTTTCGGATAATATAGGATTCGTGATCGCGTCACAGCTCGACCTCCCGCCAACAGACGGACGCAAGTGTGGCTCTGCCTTGGCAATGCTTCCGCCACATGTTATACAGCTCATTTGCATCCTGCCGCACTTGAAGCACCCATTTATGCCACTTTCATCACAGGCACGCGTTCCTGCCCTTTTCCTTGCCCCTGCCTTCCCCCCAAAATCACAGGTAGGGCCTCCAGCCCTCTCCCTTGCTCCTCTCCCCCCCCACATCACAGGTAGGGCCTCCAGCCCCCTGCCCCCCCCTCCTCCTCCCCTCTCATCACAGGTAGGGCCTCCAGCCCAGGTACATACGTCCCAGCAGGTTGGGGTCGGTGGCCTGATCCAGCAGGCAGCCCGCCAGCTCAGCGGGGGACAGCGGGCCGTCACGCTGCGGGAGCGGGGGGGAGCCGAGGAGGGGGGGCGGGAGGGTGGGAGGCGCTTGATCAGGCAAGGGTGCGTGGAAGCTCACGAGCAGAGTACATGTGTGAAGACAGGTAGCGGCACGCCCCGCCCCACCCCACCACGCACCTGCAGCAGCTCCTCCCTGCCCCTGTAGGTCCCGTGCCCCCGCGCGCTGCCCCGCACCACCTCCCGCAGCGCGGGGAAGTGTGGCAGCGCTGCGTGCCGGGCTGCCAGCTCGTCCAGCGTGATGAGCGAGGGGTGGCGGCGGGACAGCTTCTGAAGCGCGGTGGCGACCTGGGGGGTTGGGGACGAGGGGGAGGGGAGGGAGGGAGGAGAGGGGGGAGGGAGGGGAGGCACGAGCATAGTGACAGAGAGAAGGACAAGGAAGGTAAAGCACAGCCGGCATAGGGACAGTGTCGTACTCCTAGCCGCCTTCCTGCTGTACAGCGACCCTACCCTGCTACGTGCCAGCTTGGCGGCCAGTGCCTGGCCCTCATCGCCGCCCTCCTCCTCCAGCCCCGCATCCTCCGGTGCGCCGCTGTCCCCTCCGCCGTCCCCGTTGCCGCCATTGCCATCGCCTCCGTTACCCGCCCCCCCACAGCCACCTCCGGGCTGCTGGGGGTGCTTCTGTCCTCCCCGCAGCCGCATGGCCTCGTCCTGCCAGTCGGCAACCGGCTCACGAAGGAAGACCTGACCGGAACAAGGACGAAGCAGAGAAAGGGGCACGATGTGCGGTCGGGGGCATGAGGGTTCCTGCAAACTGGGAACACAGCGCCACTAAGCAATGTGGGTTGTGGTAGCAGCAAGCCGCTCCCCGCCTCCCTCTTCTCCCCGACACGCTCCGCCACCCTCCCCGCCCCCACCCCTCCCCGGCCCCCACCTCCAGTATGGCCCCCAGCAGCTGCCGCGCCCCGCACGCCGCCCCCAGTGCCGCCGCCAGCCCGGGTGCCAGCAGCTGCCTGCCCGCATGCGGCTGCAGCGCCCCCAGCAGCTGAGGGGTCAGGCGGAAGGGAACCAGCTCGGGGATGGGGAGGACCTGCGGGAGGGTGCGGGGAGGGGAGGGGAGGGGAGGGGCAGTCAGCTTCGCGATGTCCCATTAAGCCGCCAAACCGAACATAACAGCTAGCTAGGGCCGAACGCATTCCCGATGCATGAGTGCTGGGGCAGGAAGGGTCGGCAGCCACCACTTCACACCGCCATGTTCCACTCCGCCCTCATCGGCCCCTGCATGAAGCCATAAGGCCCATAACATCACCCTTCCCCATTCTTCCCCACCTGTGTCGCGGATCCGAAGCTGTACCCAAAGTCGATGTGCACCAGCGCCCCGGTGGCGGGCTGCAGCAGCAGGTTGCCCGGGTGCCGGTCGCCCGCCCCTGCCAGCCAGCCCCAGCAGCAGCCGGCGGACAGCGAGGAGGTCAGGCGGGCGCGGCGAGCCAGGAAGAGCTCGGGGGTGTGGCCGCAGGAGCGGAGGAGGGTGGTGCGGAGCAGGGAGGGAGGAAGCAGGGAGGAGATCTGCGGGGATGCGGGATGGGGTTAGGTCAATATGGAGGAAGGAGGAGAGGGGAGGCAAGGTGGTGCAAACAAGACCCGTCATGTCATTACCTCAACCGCCGCGGATGCCAAGCGGTCGACTTAAAACAACGTCGGCACCTGTCGTACATACCTGTTTAAACATCCGTACGGTGGTTGCCGCATCCGCGTTGACGTACATCTGGTAGAATTCCCGCGGCCCGGCGGGCATCGCGTGGTGGTGCACGTGGAGGTGTTGCTGCTGCTGCTGGCGTTGCAGTTGCAGCTGCTGCAGGGTGCGCTGCAGCTGGTCCGGTCCCTCGGACAGCGATGCGGCCTTGATGAACAGCGAATACTGCTCAGAGGCCTGTGTGTGGGAGGAAGGGGGCAAGGAGCGGGGAAACAGATATAAGCGAGTACACAGGGGGTGAAGACTTCACCTTCCGACAATCACTGTGCGTTCCTCTGCGCGGAGTATATTTTACCACAGGGGATGCCAGGGTACTGAGGGCGGGGGTTAAGGATGTGGTAATTTATTCGTGGCTGCCCTCCAAGCCCTGCCTGGCTGCTGTGCCTGCCCCTCCCTGCTTCCCCGCTCCGCTCCGCTCCCTACTCCCGCCACCCCCACACGCACCTGCGCCTCCTGCTCCGCCCGCTGTGGGGTGTCCGTCAGCACGGCCTGCAGCGGCCGGGTGCCCGGCACGAACTGCAGCAGCCCCAGCGCGGGGCTCAGCGGCACCACGCAGTAGGTGGGGGCGCGCAGGCCGCGGCGGGAGCAGGCTGGGGGGGGGGAGGGAGGGAGGGCGAGGGAGGATGGGGGGCAGGGAGGAGGAGAGAGTGAGAGGAAGGAGGGATAAGCACTTGAGGAGGCGAGAGCGAGCGGAGAGGGCGGCAGGTAAGTAGGTGTTCAGAGTGCGCCCCTCACCCGCCGCCCCCAACCTCCTCCCCCCCCTCACCCGCCGCCTGCCCCGCCAGCCCGTTGAGCACGTCCCACAGCTGCTGCAGCCGCTGGTCCAACCGCACGTCCTCGCCGCCCTTGACAACCCACTGACGGCTGCTCAGGTCACTGAGAGGGGGAATGTGGGGGGGGGCGTGGGGCGAAGGGACGCATGATACATGGATACGCGTCTGCTGGCACGAGCACTGCGTACGACGAACTAAACTCATGTACGGCAGTTCTAACCCACATATTGTCCCTAGTGCGCAACCAGTTAGTCGCCAACCGAGTGTTCCTCCCATGCCAGCTCCCCTCACCTGCAGTACATGGTCAGCAGCTTGGGTCGCTGCTTGCTGCCGAACACGCTCACCAACCGACCGAATCCAACCACCGTCACAGGAGCCAAGTCCTCGCAACCCAGCGCTGGCAGCAGCCATGCCTCCTCCTCACCACCTGCTGCTGCCGACCCCCTACGGGCAACTCCCCCAGTCGAACCTCCTCTGCTCCCATTAGGCCGCCGGCCCCTCGACGACCGCAGCGGCGGCGGCGGCGCGTTGGCAGTTGCGAAAGCCATGGACGGCAGCAGCAGCTCCGTACGGCAATCTTGTACGGCACCGTAACCGCCATAACCGCCAACCGCTCCCGCATCCGCCACAGCTTGCTCGTACCGTCCGAACCAGGGGCTCAGGAGGGACAGACTGCGGGTGCCGGCGGCCTGGAGGGCCTCCCACTGCGCATGACCGCCGGCGCGGGCGTTACCTGGGCCTGCCGCGTTGGCTGCGGACAGGAAGGCTCGAACCGCCGCCCTCCCGGCAGCGACCCGTGGGTCATCTCCCTGCCCTGGGGGCCGCTGTTGATGCTGTTGGAGGGCGCGTTGGGCCAGTTGCTTTAGCTTGTCGCCGCCAGGCCCGCCGAAAGCGTCTTCGAAGGCGGATCTGTACCGCCGTACGAAGGCCAGGTTGTACGGCTCAGCGGCGGAGACCGCCGTACCGCTGGCGGCTTGACGGCGAGATAGCGGTGCAGCCGGGCTGTTAGCAACCGCTGCCGCAGGTGCGGCATTGGCTGAAGTTGCAGTGGTCAGGAAATTACCGAGGAGGCTGGGCCAGGCCTCCTGCGAGGTGCAGTGTGGCAAAGAAGGGCGGGTGACGTACAGCAACACATCGAAGGCTGGGGCTAGGTAATTGAAGCGCTGGGTCAGATTGCTACTTTTGGTTGCCGCTCTCCACCCACGCACCTGGCCCCACACCCGCGCCGCCCCCTCCACATCGCAGCGATTCAGCGCGTGTGTGATACGGGCCTTAAACACCTCCCACCTGCGGGGGGAGAGAAGAGGGGCGGAGGGCAGAGCGGGGAACCCCTCTTCTGTTCAGGAAAGCAATAGGGTGCAAAAGAAGGAAAGGAGGAAAAGGGCAAATGGAGAGTCCCATGGGAGTGAGCCAAGATGCAAAACGCGTTGTCACCACCACATCCTAATGCCCGTCGAGGGCAGGAGAACGAACAAAACCATGGCCTCGAACGCAACCACCCTCCCGCCCTCCCTCCTCCTGCCCCCGCTCACCTCTGTGCCGGGTACGTCATCTCGTCCAGCGCCCCCACCAGCTCCCCCACCACCGGGCACTCGCTGGCCTCCAGCAGCGGCGCGGCGGCGGACCGAGCGGCAGAGCGGAAGCGCTGCCAGCTCATCCGCAGCGGAGCGTACAGCCGCTGAGGGTACGACAGCGCCAGCGCCGTCAGCGGGCCGAGGAGCGGGTCGACGGCGGTGGAGGCGGAGACAGCGGTAGCGGTAGGACCGGTGCTGTTGCTGTCGGCATCTCCCAGCATGGAGATCATCTGTTCCGCCCAGGGCAGGAACAGACCCAGCGGCACCGCACGCCAGCCCTCACGGAAGGCAGCAGCGGCGGCGGCGCTGGACCGCAGTACGGAAAGTACGACGGGAACGTGGAGACGCAGATTCGCCGCCAGCGCGCCTCCGTCGCCTTCGCCAACAGAGTCCTCGTCGTCATCGTCAACATCAGCATCGCTGAGTCCACTAGCGCACCTAGCAGCCGGCGTATTAAGCCTTGCCGTACCAGATCCCGCTAGCGCCATGGCCCGTAGCAAGTGCCGTACGACACACGCGGCCAGGTCGTCCACGCTGCCTCGTACGGCAGCCGCGACCTGCTTCCGTTGTTTTTTGGCGGTTGCCGTTAGCTCGTCCCGGGAGGGAGCGGTTGGATCCAGGGCCCTATCTTCAGGCGAGGCGGTAGAGGCGCGAAGGATGCGGCCGCAGAGAAAGGCAAAGTGCGCGGAGGCTCGGGCGGCGGTGGCGGCAGCGGCGACGGCGGCAGCGGCGGCGCTGGAGGAGGAGGAGGAGGAGGGGAAGGCGGAGGGGTGGGTTGGCGGCTGGAAGGATGCGGCGGAGAAGGCGTGCATGAGGGAGAAGGCGGCGCGGGTGGCCAGAAACGGACGGCTCTCTGGATTGGGATCACCTGCGCGGAAAGGGAAGAAAGGTTGGTTTAAAAGGGCGAGGTGGTTTATTTTCGCACTTATCCCTGGTAAACAAATAGGGCTTGGGTTGCTGCATTCCCACATGTCCTTCCTTTTTCTCCACGTGCTTGTTCCCATGCCCTATCGCCGCCCCGCCACCCACCCGTCAGCACCAGCAGCGCCCTCGACTGCGCCAGCTCCGACTCCGCCGCCTCCCGCCCGCCCAGCAGCCCCCGCCTTCCCACCACCGCCCGGTGCCACGGACGCATGCAGCTCAGCAACTCCGAAACCCTGTCGTACACACCTGCATCCCCCGCCTCCGCAGCCGCCTGAGCCTCCAGCGTGGCCACATGCGCCCGGAAGAGCCGCAGCTGCTGCCGGGCTTCTGCCGTACTGGTGGTGACGTCAGCAAGGGAGGGAGCAGGCTGGGCGGACTGCTGCGGAGGCGGAGGCGGCAGTGGCGGCAGCGCCTCCTCTGCCGTATCCGGGCACCCCGCCCTTACGGCAGCCTCCGCGGCGGCGAACTGGGTGGCGGCCTGGGCGGCTCGCGCGGCCCGCTGAAGGGCGACGTAGGAAGGGGCGGCAGTGGTGGCGGCAGCGGCGGTGTTGACACGGGCTGCGGAGCGGGCGGCTGCGGCATCCAACAGCAGTCGCCGGACCTGAGGACATAAGCGTGGAAAGGGGGGGGGGTGAGAAAGGTACGGTCATGTACCTCATGGCCCGTGGGCTATCACAAGGATTGGTGCCCTGCATGGCAGTACGGCAGCTCCCCCCCACCTGCAGGACAGTGCTGATGGTGCTGCCGGTAGCGGTTGGATTGCCGCCACCGCCACCGCCACCTCCCACCAAGGTAACCGCGGGTCCAAAGCCCCGCCGCCTCCACCGCCCCGCCAGCAGCTGCAGCTGCGTCACCTCGGGCAGCCCCGACCCGCCAGTGACCGGCCCTGCAGCAGGGGCAGCCAGGCCGGGCGACCGACCGTACTGCAGCTGCCGTACCATCTCATGGATCTCGGCCAGGGGCTGCAGTACGGACAGTGTTGCCGTACGAGCGGCGGTGGAGAGCGGGTGCAGGCCGGACCAGCGGGAACGCAGGTGGGAGAGGGCGGCCTGCGGGGGTCGGAGCGGGGTTGCGGTCAACCTCACCTTCCGTATACAAGGAAGCAGCTATCCACGTAGCAGCACGCACCTGTACTGCCCCCATGCACCGCTCCCAGCTGCCGCCCCGCCGGCTCGCTCGAAGCACCTCCGCCACCACCACCTCCAGCGGAGCAGCCGCCGTCGCAGCGCCGTACGACAGCACCTCCTCCCTCGCCGCCGCCCCGCCGCCGCCACCGCCACCTTCATCGAGCCGCTGCAGCACCCGCATCACCACCGCCGCCGGCCCCTCCTCCGCCTCCTCCTCCTCAGCTGCTGGCAGGAAGTCCCCCTCCCGCAGCTGAAACAGCGCGCTCCGCAGCACACGGCGCAGCAGCAGAGGCCCTCCGCCACCTCCGCCACCCCCGCCACCCCCGCCTTTCATGTTGAGCAGTTGCGGCAGGGCGGCTGCAATGAGGTCAGCTGACTTGGCCGTGAAGAGGACCCCGGTGGGTGCGGGGGGCGGCAGGGGCAGGCCTAGCTGCCGCAGGGGCTGCTCCAACTCGGTCTGAGGGGGTGGCATTGTTGGAAGGAGGAAGGGGGAAGTTAAGGGGATACGGTAGCGCTGACAGGGGCACCGTGTCCAACTCGATACACCCTCACGCCTCTTTGGGAAGACACCCGCACACAAGGTGCCCCTCACGAAAGCCAGACTGCCTGCCACCTGCCTAGCACCCCATCCCTCAGCGCCCTCTCCCCCCTCTCCCCCCTCCCCCCGCACCTCCAGCCGCTGCCAGTCCCCCAGCGCCTCCGCACACGCCGCCAGCCGCTCCCGCCACAGCGCCGCCTCCGCACCAGGAACCAGCCGCTCCCCTCGTCCCGCCGAGCCACCTCCTCCGCCTCCCCTCCCTCCGCCTCCCGTCGTGCACCGCCCCACCACCTCGCTCCCCAGCAGCTCCGCCACCGTCCGCAGTAGCTGGGGGGCTGCAGTACCCGCGGCACTGCCTGACCCCTCGCCCACCCCCGCATCCACCATGGGCACATCCTCATCATGGGGACCCTCGGGCACCCGCTCTGAAGCAGCTGCGGGGCCTCGAGCCTGGGGGGCAGGCCAGCAGTCGAACAATGAAACGGGGGGTGATTTGCAACGGATACTCATAGAATAATTACTTTGCCTAATGCCCTACTTAGTTCCAGTGCACTAAGCAACCCATCGTACTCAAATGACCCACGAGTCGCCCACCTTGAGCCGCTCCAGCGCCTCCGCCAGCTGCCCCAGCCGCCGTACAGCCAGCCTCGGCCGCCCCGCCGCCTCCGCCGCCAGCGCCGTAAAGCTGCCCGGGCATAGCAGCAGCCGCCGCCGCGCCGCCGCCACCACGTTCATCTCGTCCAACTCGCCGTACACGTGGGTCAACGCCTCCAGCGTCGCCGTCACCGCCGCCGCCGCTCGCTTCTCAGCGGTGGCGGCGGCGGTTACCGTGGCACCGGAAGACGACGCGGATGCGGCCAGCTCTTTGAGACGTTGCAGGTCTCGTTCCTGCACTGCCTGCTGTGACTCGAGCAGCAGTGCGGCTGCTTGGTAGCCTCCTGACACCGCCGCCGCCGCCAGCACGTCACCCGGCGGCAGCAGCAGCGGCGGCGGCGACTGGGGACTTCCGCCTCCTCCACCGCCGGGGCTATCAGCTCCAGCTTCAATGAAGCGCACCGCCAGGGCCTGCAGCGCCGTCACGAAAGCCGGTGCCGCCGGTCTGGCGGCAAAGGCCGCCGCCAAGCCGCCGTACAACTCCCGCCGCTGCCGCTGCCGCTCCTGCTCTGTCTCCAAGGCACCTCCGCCATCACCACCGGCTCCGTTACCTCCGCCGCCGCCGCCGCCGCTAGTACGGCCGACGGCTGCCTCCGCCAGCGCCGCCAGCGCAGCGGTGGCGGCGGCGCTGTCAGATTCCACCACCCCCGCCAGCGGTCGCAGGAAGGACGACACTCGTACGGACAATGTGTCCGGCAGCTCGCCTGAACGATAGCTCCGAAACAACCTTAACCGTGCTGCGCGTCCGTGACGCCTCATTGCCATCTGCAGAAGTTGTCGCTGCTGCATGCCGCGAATGGCGACATTACGAACGTAGCGAATTGAGCTTTCTCGGCTTCTCGCTGCCAGGTCCAGCGAATTACTCGCCATGCCGTACGGCCAGGAAGAGCTACTACCAGCCGCAAACACATCTCCAGCAGCGGATAGGGACAACGTAGGCACGAAGTGGTGGGTGGCAGTAGCTCGCATCATGCCAGGCGGCAGACGCCTCCGAGGGGATCTGCTGCCGTACATATCCTGTAGCATCAAGGCAGCAATGGGTCACGTTTGTTGCTGTTCCGGAAAGCGTTGGCATGTTGTGGGAGACCCGTGGGTCAGTGATTGGGGTATCTCGCCATCGCATGTTTAGGTACCCGGAATGCAGGCCAGGCGGAACCCCATGCGGACTAACCTGGGTCGTTAGGAACGCCGGCGTCCTTAGCGCTGAAGACAAAGCCGAACCCCCAAAACCGCCGCCGTACAGCAACCCGATGCTAGGCGTGTAGTCCCGGAACGTGCATTCGTACGGCTGCGAGGTGTACAGCGGTTGGTCGTTGGCGGTTAGCGGCAGGGCGGGCGCCAGCAGCAGGGCGCAGGCGGTGGCGGGCCAGCGGGCGTGCAGGCGGGCAGCGGCGCTGCTGGAGGGGAGCAGCAGCGGGTGGGCGGCCAGGCGGAGCAGGGCCTGCGGGTGCGGGAGGAAGGAAGTGAGGGGACGCGTCTGCGTGCAGGTGTCCACTTTTCACCCATCCAAGGACCGGCGTGCGCTTTCCTGTGCAAATCCCTCCTTTCCAACCTCTGTCTTTCCCACCCAACGGCTCTCCCATCCAAGGCCTTCCAATGCACTCTGTCCCTACTCCAAGACCCAGCCCATCCCTCACCGCCAATCGCTCCCCCGGCGGTTGCGGCAGCCTCTCGTGCCACCACGCCACCGCCGCCGCCCGCACCCGCCCCTCCGTGTCACCCAGAGCCCCCGCCAGCACCGGCAGCAGCAGCGCGGCAAGCGCAGCTGCCTGCCCCCCATCCGGCTGCTGCCCCTCCACATGCTGCCCCTGCCCTTGCTGCTGCTGCTGATGCACCTGCCCCTGCTGCTGCCGCCCCCCTCCTCCCCTGTGTTGTCCCTGCGATGGGTGCCCCCCCGCCAGGTGGGGCGGCCCCAGCCCCCCGCTGCCCCACACCGCCCCGCACAGCTGCAGCAGCGCCAGCCGGGTGGCGGCGGCGGGAGGCGAGGGCAGGCCGCTGGGGGAGGGGCCCAGCAGCCCCCGCAGCAGCAAGAGAAGATCCTCGGGGCGGGCGTAGGAAGACAGGGCCTGGGGTGGATTGTGTGTAGGGGAGGGGGTGGGAGGGGGGGAGGGTGTTGGAGGAGGGAAGGGCGGGCTGCGTAAGCAGGCCCCTGATCATGTTATATCCGGAATGTGTGCGGCAGGGTTCGGCTGCAGGGCTTGGTTCATGGCTGTGTAGCAACCTTGCCGCGACCTAGCAGTCCTCACACCCGCATGGCCCCGCCTGCCCCAGCGCACCTGCATCAGCGCCAGGGCAGCGCACTGCGTCTCGGGCCGCATCGCCCGCAGGGACATCCTGGTTAGACAGGGCAGCAGCGTTGGGAGGGGAGGGGTGCAGAGAAGGCTGACGGAGGAGGACGAGGAGGTTTGCGGCTCAGAGACGTAAGCCAGCAGGGGTTAAGAAAAGCAAACGATAGCCATTGATATTCACATTGGTTCTGTTTCCCTGTACCCCCATTTCCGTCTTCCCCCTTCCATTCCTCCCCCTCCCCCCACAAACCTGTCCCAGCAGGGCAGCAGCTCCGTGAACAGATCCCGGCAGCGGGCGGGCGGGCAGATGCCGGCACAGCGCCTGGTAGGGGCCGGGGGTAGGGCAGGGAGGCATGGGGTTATAGCTGCAAATCTAGCAACGGATGCAGGAAAGAGCCTTACTCGGAGCTGGTCACGTGAACCGGGCTCTACCCTTGGACGTACACGTGCATGTCAGGCTTTGCCCCCACCAGTGCCCCATGGTGTGAGAGTTGTCGGATTCCAGCACGCCCCCACACCCCCGACCCCCCTACCTCTGCACCTCCAGCCCCGCCCCGCCCCCCCCCCCCCCCCCCACCTCAGCACCTCCAGCCCCGCCCTCAATCCAGTGTCCCGCATCAGCGGCAGCCCCCGCACCAGCAGCGATGTCAGCCGCACCACTGCCGGCGGGTGCCCCAGCGGTGCAGGTGCGGACAGGCCCAGCAGCACCAGCGCCAGCGAGTCCCAGTGCTGCTGGCCGCAGGTGGCGCGGCGCAGGCAGTCCTGTGGAAGGGAGGGGGGGAGCACAAATGGGGAAAGAAGAGCATGAACGCAAGCGGCCCTGAATCATTGGTTTATTATTAAGTTCAGTCTGGCCGGCTAATTAGTGCAGTCAGGGCTGGCGCAGAGACGCGGCTGCAGTCGGAGCTGGAGCCGAGGCACAGAGTCTACCTGTATCTCGTCCAGCCGTTGCTCCAGGAGGGATCCTGGGGCAGAGCGTGGGAGGTATAGTCAAGTGGAGGGAGAGCTGAGGAGATTGGGAGGAGGTTTTGTGCGGCTGCGTTGTTTTGCTAAAGATACACATGACTCCAACAAATACATCAGCTGTCCACCCAACAACTGAGGATGGAGGTAGGAGCATCAGCGACAAACGTATCTCATTACCCAGGACCGGCTGAATGTTGAAGGAGGACTCACCGCTCCTGGGGCGCTTGCGGCCCAGCAGCGGCCCCACCGCCTCCTCCGCCCCCATGTCCTCTTCCTCTCCCTCCTCGCCTTCCAGGCCGCCTCCGGGCTCCTGCAGGCCGTACATGCGGGCGTCAAGCAGGGCAACGTTGGACTTCTGATGGGGGCACCATCACCTGTTCCGCGTCTTCTCCCCGACAGCACCGTGTTGCCGCCGTGGCACCTTGCTGATGCTAGCGGGTGGTGCTGCTGCTGCCTCTCCTGCCCACTAACACCCACTCATCGCCTGTCTCCCCAGGTCTCCCTTCTAACTAACCGCCCCACCCCTGCCCCTGTCCGTCCCCACTCATTACCTGCCTCCCCTGCCTCCCCTGCTGCTGCTGCTGCTGCTCCCTCTCCGCCAGCCGAGCCAGGTACAGCCCCAGCACCTCCCCAAGCGGGCCGGCCAGCACACAGAAGGAGGCGGCGGTGGACGCAGCGGGTGCAGCAGTGGAGGAGGAGCGCCCTACCCGACGTTGCGATGAGCCTGACAGCATGCCCTTGACCGCTCGCCACAGCTGCTGGTGCCTGGTGCAACATGATGGATTGAGATAGCATGGACACAGAGGAAGTGAGACGGAGGGATGCGCTAGGATACTGCAGGGCGGCACCTCCAGCTGCTCTGTAGGCACGGTACACCGTATGTACACACCTCAGCACCCACCCCTCCCTCCCTCCCCCGCCAGCACCCACACCTCCCACGCCAGCACCCACCCCTCCCTCCCTCCCCCGCCAGCACCCACACCTCCCCCGCCAGCACCCACCCCTCCCTCCCTCCCCCGCCCACACCCACCCCTCCCCCGCCAGCACCGCCTCCGCCTGCCCGTATCCCAGTGCCGCCCGCACCACCCGCAGCCCCTCCACCCGCTGCCGGGGCGGCAGGCGCGGGGACAGCAGCGGGGGCAGCTCGGAACCTGCGGGGGTGGGCGGGCGGGGAGGGGAGAGCGTAGGTGCGCATGTAGGTGATGTGTGTTTACCGTAAGCGACCCTTCAGCCAGCCAGCGGTAAGACCCCCCATATGCCTCCACCTGTCAGCCGCACCCCCAGCTGCCCGCCCCTGCAGCCGTACATCAGTGCCACCACGTGGTTGACATTGAGGCGGCACAGCTCGAGGCGGGGGCCGGGGGCTAGGCAGCGGCGGGTGGAGCCTCGGAGCAGCCGCTGCAGGGCGGCGGGCAGGGAGGGGCTGGTGGGGGTGGGGGATGGCGGCGGTGATGCCTGCGGCGGGGAAGCCCGGGGGTGTGGGGGAACATGGCGGAGGTGGCATACATGGGAAGTGAGGGACAGCAGGGGGAGAAGGGTGGCGGGGAGAGCTTGGTTGGTATCGGTAGTGACATGCAGCTGCAGCACCTTCCATGCTACCCCGCCCTGCCCCCCAACCCCAACCCCGACCCCAACCCCAGCCCACCTGCTGCTCCACCACGCGGCTCCAGCTCAGCACCGTCTGACACAGCGACCGCAGCACGTAGCTGAACACCCCACCACCGCTGCCACTGCCGCCACCTCCTCCTGCACCAGCTGTCGTAGCAGCAGCAGCACCACCACCACCATTACCGCCTCCCTGCGTCTGCTGCTGCTGACCCGGGAGGGGCTCCATGTCGTCGCCTTCACCGCCCTCACCGTCACCACCGCCGTCACCGCCGTCACCAGCAAGTGGTGACCTCCTTGCGGCGGAGGTGGAGGGCGGGGCTGCATGGGCTGTGCCCTCCCCTGCCCCTGCCCCTGCCCCTGCCCCTGCCCCTGCCCCTGCCCCCGCCCCCTCCTCCTCCGCATCCACCATGGCAGGCAGGAAGTGCACCGCCCACAGCGCAAACACGGTGTCGGAGGACTGCGGCAGGGAGAGAGGGGAGGGGGGCAGCAGGGGGGAGAGGGGAGGCAGAAGGTGGGCAAGAGGTCTGGAAGCAGAACCCAATTGCTAGACGTGCCCATGTATTGTGCTAAACTGCATAGAATGCGTCTGGAAGCCAGACGCAATCTAACTGCGGTCAAACCCTCTCAGTAATCGCCCCAACCCAACTCACCGGCAGCCCTCCAGCCTCTGGCGCCGCGCCTCCTCCTCCTTCCTCGCCCTTGTCTCCCGTATCCATAACTGCCCCCTCCACCTCGCCATCCGCCTCTCCACCCATCCGCCTTGTACCCTCCCCATCCCAATCCATGGGAGAAGCACCCACTGGCACCCCTCCGGAACCAACGCCGGCCCTAACCCGTCGGCTTCCTTCCACACCATTCCCAAAACCGCCGCCGCCTCCTTCTCCTCGGCCGCCTGCACCGCTACCCCCAGCAGCACCGCCACCAGCTCCAGCAGTGGTGGCGGCAGCGGTCCCCGACTGCGTCCCGACCCCTGCTTGGGTCGGCAGGGTGCAATCAGCGGCGTAGGGGCGGTGGAGGGATCCGTACGGCATGCCAGCTGCCTCAGCGGCATTAGCCGCCTGGCGCTCCAGATCCATCTGCGTGGGGTGCGCAAGGGAGGCGTTTGCTTGGCCTGCTGTCCTTAAGGGGCTTCCCAGGGGCCGTAGTCCTTGTGCCCAACCTATGTTCATCTAGCGCGAGCACGCAAATCATGACAGCCTTGCGGGATTGCCTTCCAGAGCTTGGTAGCATAGCTGTGTTTAGGTCTGCACAACGCGCAAGACCCGCTCCAGCTGCTCCCCACCCTGCCCCCCGCACCTGCAGCCGCATCTTGCGCTGCCGCTGCCTCTCCTCCACATGTAGGATGGCCTTGAGCAGGAACAGCCGAGTGTAGCTGGGGGGAGGGAGTGAGAGGTGGGGGGAAGGGGAGAAATGGGCTGGATGTCCATAGACTGGTAACCAACACAGAGGACAGGAAGCACGCACGGAAAGGGATGCAGCAAACGGCTTGCAGCCAAGCAGCTAACCTCTGCTAATCTCACCGCGGCGTCGCCCGGTTGCTCAGCGCCTCCCACAACGTCGCCAACCACTTGGGCATGGGTGCCCCGCTGCTGCTGCTGGCGCTGCCTCCAGCAGCACCAGCACCAGCCGCCTTTGCAGCTGCAATCGCAGCCCCCTCCGTCGCCGCATCCCACGTGGCCGGGTCGCTGTACTTCTCAATCAGCTGTACGAGCGGCAACATGCACACGTGCTCGTCCATCTCGTCGTCAATGTACGGCAGCTCGTCCTCAAGTATGAATCCCGTGGAATCAGGGCTGCTGCTGTTGCTGGTAGCAGCAGTGTAGGCGCCGGCAGCAGGAGCAGAGGTGGGGCCGGCACGGCCGGGGGGCTGTTGCTGGGCGGGGTGCAAGTCGGGCAGTGCGGGGGCGAACAGAGGGCCTCCGTCAACAGCACCGCCGCCCTCGCCCGTCCAGGTGTATCCCAGGGCGGCAGCGGAGGCGGAGGTAGCGCCGGCAAATGCGGGGCCAGCTGTGGCAGTGATGAGATGGGGGTGAAGAAGATAAGTTGCAGCAGTGTGAGGTTGCAGACAGGTACAGGTTAGGCACAAGCAAGCGGCCCTCACACGGCTTTTCAAGGCGTTAGGGATAACGAACAGTAACGACATGGGTGGACAAATCGCTCGTGAGCACCAAGGGGCACTCCTGTGCTGCTTGGTACTTACTCCAGCTGCTCACCTTGCTGCTGGCGACCCTGCGTTTGTCCCGCCTCCACAGCTCCCTCCCCCAACCCCAGATCGTTCTGCGACGCTGACACCTTGGCCGACAAGGAGGCCAACCCCCCTCCCCCTGCTCCTGCTGCCCCTCCATCCCCAGCCAGCATCAGGGTACCCATGAGCAGGCTGGCGGAGGGGAGGGACCCGCCGCCGGCCATCCCTGCTGCCGCCGCTGCTGCGGCATTGAGCTCCCTCTTTTGTCTTAGGTCTCGAAAGGCGTCCTGTGTTGGCATTATGCGTACGACATGCGACATTACCTTCCTACCACAGCATCATCATCATGCGAAGAGACATGCCGTGAAGATATGCTCAGGGCCGGGAGGGGTGCTGAACGATGGAGCGTGCAGCATGCCGTACAAGCGAGGATTGGTACGTGGAGATGTGAAGGCATGCAAGGGGGTAATGGGAGTGCTCAGGATATTACTATATAGCCGGTGTTTTCTAGAAACTGACATTGCGGGTGCATAACATGCCCTGTAAGGACATGCAGCCTGTGGTGGGTTCGGGCACAGGCTCAACCCACTCGCATAGCTTCGTGCTCTTGTCTCTTGGCCTACAGCAATATGGGACCACAAGCTCAGCTGGGGCAGCCGGAGTTGCGGGTGATCATGAGTGCGAGTGGCCAATGCGCGTTCTACCTAGAGAGCTCTCCCTTTTCATCACCTCTCCTTTTCTTTTTGTCCGCACCTGCCCCGCGCCCGGCCCCCCACCTGTCCCCCGCCCCGCCCCGCCCGCTCCTCCGGGTCCGCAGCGAATGTGAAGTGGGGCTTGTCCGGCAGCAGGCGACCCCACACGAAGGAGGGGTCGCCGGTGCGGTCGTCTGCGGATACCGGTATATGAATAAGACTCCAAGTTAAGTGAAAGCTGACACAAGACTGAAGCACGTCGGTTCACCTTTCACAGATCATGCAAGCATGGCTCCCTATTGCAGGGCAGCTGGGTAGTGGCGCCTAAAGCAAGGATGCCACAACCAAACACAGCGTAACGCTCCACTTGAACAGCACAGCGGCCCCCCAGCCCTCCCCCCTCCCCACCCGGCATCCTGAGCAGCTTAGCGAGGAAGGCCGCGCGGCTCGGCGTGCGCAGCAGCAGCGCAGCGGAGGCGCACCAGGCGGTACACCGCACCGCGCGGTCCAGGTCCTGGGGGGGGGCGGTGGCAGCCATGGGAGGGGAAAGGGGTGGGTAGGTAGAGGAGGAGGAAACAAGGAGGAAAGGTGGTGCAAAGGTGCTGCGGCATGCACACGACCTGATCCTCGCGAACACCTCCTGTTTCGTCTGCGGAGTAAAATCCACAACCCCACACCCACACCCCCCTACCCGGTACTCCATATCGTGTGCGTTCTGCGAGGGCGGTGGTGGCGGCCTGCACAGCTCGCGCCTGCACAGCGCCCTGAGGGGCGCGTTGCGCAGCTGCTCGGCGGGCAGGCGGGCGGAGCGGTTGGCCTGTGGGCGGGGCGGGGTGCCATACCGAGGAGGGGAGGTGGGGCCGGGGAGAACCGAGGATGCGGAGCTGGGCGCATTAAGAAGCACAGACTCCTTCAATGCCTCGGCTACATCGTATGTTACGGCTCGGCGGGCGCCTCGCAGTAGCAGGGACCCCCCCCTGCAACACGTCCCCCACGCACCTTCTCCCATACAAGATTGACCTGCAGGACAGGGCGGACAGGGCGAGCAAGGGGCGCGGGCGGGGATCGCAAAGCAGTCTAGGGTACTGACGCCAGAGGCCGACACGCTAGCAGCCCCACAGAGGAGCTATGTCGCTGAAGATGAGATGCAACGGCTATGGGTGCCCCTAGGCATCTCCATCCGAATTCCGCTAACAGAGCACATCCAAGGCTCGCCTGCAGGTTAACACCTTCCACGTCCGAGATCCGTACCTCTTGTACCGTACACATTCCGTACATGCCCTCGATCAGCAAGTAGCACACCCAGCTGTTCATCAACTGGGGTACGTCAGGCGGCGCGGAAGGCCCCGCACCACCGGATCCCGCCGTGACGTGCAGGTGCTGTACCATGCGCCGTACGAATGTGCCGTACCACTCCACGCGGTACGACGCCGGTGCTGCAGCCAGCAACGGGAAGACCACATATCGTACCAGCGCTGGCCGCATCTCACGTAGCGGGCGCATTTCCGGATCCAACAGGATCCAATTCCAGCTGTACGACAGAAAGGTTGCTCCAGGCCAATGACTGGTGATGCTGGCGGCGTGCATTGGTCCCGTACCAGCGCCGTCCGCCGCAGCAGTGGTGCTTGTCGCAGCCACAGCGGCGTCTGTCCCGTTCCAGGCAGCAGCAGCGACCCGAGCAAACATGCGCACCAGCTTTGTTTGCAGCAAGTGACCCATGGGTCCTCCCATGTCCTGTACCACGATTAGCAACGATTCAAGCAACGACGAGGCTGCAGCAGCGTGTCCAGTCAGGACAGATTGTACGGCAGCAGCGGCTCTATCCCCGGCACCAGCAGAATCTGTTGTTGTACTCGACGCTGCAACCGCCGCAATCGCCGTCGAAGCAGCAGCAGCAGTGTATGACAGCTGTACGAGTGTGAGCATGAGCGCATGCAGGCGCATGGACATGTCGAGGGCGGCGGGTGCGGAGGGGTCAGGGTGGTCCCTGCGGGAGTTGCTGGGACACACGCAGGGCACCAGAAGCGTCACTGCGCCCGCGGACTGAGGCTGCATGGGTGCTGCTGCTGTCGTGGCGGCTGCTGCGGCAGCGGATGCTGCGGGTGTCCCTGGAATGCTGGCGGCTGCAGGAAGTGGTGGAGCGGGGCCGAACAGTCGGTTCAGGGGCTCTCCAGGCGGCAGGTGGGCTGCGAGGGTGGGGAGCAGCTGGAGCGCCGGGGTCCAGGTGCCACTGCGGGATGGAGCGGGATGGGGGCGCCTAGCTAGTTATGAAGCACACGGAATGTGCAACAGCCGTAAGCAGGAACTCAGCTTCACATCGCACCGGTATCCAGGTTTAGCTCCTGTGTCCAGCAAGCCGCAGTAGCTGTTCAGTGCGAAGTCCAGTGCAGCGCCCGGCTGCAGCAGGCCCCCGGCATCCAGCCGCAGCAGCACCCGCAGCACCCGCAGCAGCAGCAACCTGGACTCCAGGGGGGCGCCTGAGGCAGCTGTCAGCGGCTTCAGCAGCGGCAGGTGCCGCTGGCAGGCGGCTAGGAAGGAGGAGAGGTGCAGGTTGAGGGCACTCGGCGGAGGAGGATGTGGCGGCGCCAGTGGGTTGGCGGAAGGTAAGGAAGGGGCCCCTGCCGTTTTGGATCGCAGGAGACTCTCAACGATGCCGTATAACACGGCCTCCGCCGTAGCGCTGACCGCGGCGGCAGACGCCGCAGTCGGCGAGCTGGCGGCACTTGCCGAGGCGGCGGCGGCCAGGGCCGTCATGATGTGCTGTACACTGACGTCGGCGTGGAAGAGGAAGGCGCGGTTGACGATCGCCTTGAAGTTCTCGTAAAACACGGCGCCAGCGGCTGCTGCCGCTGCTGCGGTATCTGCTCCCTGTCCTGCTACTGCAGCTCCTGCTTCCGCTGCTGCCCCGGCTACCTGCTGCGGCATAACAGCCTCCAACAACTCCTCGACTGGCAGTTGCAGCTGGAGGGCCAGGCGGAGCGCGTCTGCGTGGTGGGGGGAAGGATAGCAAGGTGGGTAAGGTGCCTAATTAAAGGTGTTTGTCTTGTTAGGGTCTTGCAGAAGGAAACACGCAAAGCAGCACCCTCCTATTGCGCCCGCAGGTTGTTTGTGTCATCTGTTTCAATCCATGAACCCTCGCCTGCCCTACCACCGCGCCCCTGCACCTCACCTGTCGCCGCCCTCCTCGCCGCCGGCGCTGCCTCCCCTCCCGCCGGCAGCCTGCGTGCCAGGCCCAGGCAGTGGGCGCGCAGGCGGCTGCGCAGAGCCTCCCCCACCAGCGCCGCACCCCCACCACTACCGCCGTGCAGGCCACCGGCGGGTGAGGTGGAGGTGGTAGCGGTGGTGGAGGGCCAGGGTAGCGCCAGAAGCCGCGACAGGCCTGGGGTCGGGGGGAAGGGCAAGCTGGTGTGTGGCAGACGGCATTACGTACGGCTAACAGACCGTGAGGCAGCAGTACCATGACGCTGCTTCTTTCTTGGTTAGGGTTGCGAACATCCCCTGTGCGGCGCACCTTGCAGCAGGTGCAAACGGCTTGCGTCACAGGCGGAGAACGGGGTTTTGTACGTACGCACGCACCTTGCATGAACATCTTAGTGCGCAGCGGGTCTGGTGAGGACGAGGGTGTCATTTCCAAGAAAGCTAAACAGGAAGATGAAGAGGAGGACGCGCAGCTCCCTCCCCCTCCTAGTGTCCGCCGCAGCAGCTCCCGCAGCCCTGCCTCCAGGGTGGCCCCGTACGGCAGCTTGGCGCGCAGTACGGCGGAGGTGAGGGCGGAGGCGGCCGCTGCGAGGGCCTGGGCGGCGACAACTGCGGGGGAGGAGAGGCGCGGATGTATGATGATTGCGTAAGTATAATTGCACGGCACTGGGACCGAGTTGCCACACCTGTCAATCCCCGTCACGCCTTTTAGTAGTACAAGCCACGGGGATCGCGGGGCATGCCTAATTCGAAGTGTGATCCGCCATGCTGCCCCACCCCACCTACCATCAGCTGGCAGGACGCCCAGCACATGCGGGGCCAGAGCAGCCGCCAAGCACACATTCACAGCGTCCTTGTCGCTCCAGGGAATGAGAGCCTCACTGTCGCACAAGCCACTCTCCGCCATCTGGCTCTCCTCCCGCCGGGCATGTTCCGCCTCCGCTAGCTGTTGCATGAGGCGGAGGAGGGCCAGGCATAGGTCACGGGTGGCGTCACGACAAGCCGGGGGAAGGCCGCCGTCGCCACCACCAGCAATGCTGCCGACCTTAGCTGCGTTAGAGCCCCAGCTTGGTGCTGCCGTAGCGCCGCCGCTAGCGTCAGCAGCAGCAGTGGTGGTGTTGTCTTGGCGGCCGGGAATGGCCTCCTCGACAGGTGGCAGCAGGCAGAGGAAATCCAGCAAGGTTTCGGGCAGGGCGGAACACGGCAGTGGTGGTTGTGCTGTCGCCATACGGCTGTCAGCGGCTGCTGCTGCTGCTGCTATTGTCGCAGCTTGGACCCGCGTGCGGGCCTTTTCCACCAGCTCTGGGAGATCCGCCAAGCTCACAATCCTGTGGCAAGAGCACAGGTGTCAATGCATTGACGAAACTCGAACTAGCAGCCAAGGCCACAGAAAAGTGTTTGTTGACGGCATAACAAACGGAACCGGCAAGAACCAAGCAAGACGTGGCCCTAGCTGCGGTCCACAAGTTGGAACGCCCAGCCAGCCACCCACCCACCCACCCACCCCTGCTCCAGCGCCCAGCTGGTCCACTCCAGTGCCGCTTGCAGCGACCGGAGCCAGCGGTGGCACTGCTGCACCACCTCCGTCACCTCCACCCCGGTCTCATGGTGCCGCCGTCGAGTGGCCTGCTGTTGCTGCTGCTTCTGCCCCTCCGCGCCGCTCCTCCCCACGCCCACCTCCTCCGCTGCCGCCGCCTCCTTGTCGTCCTCTCCCCCCGCCAGCAAGCCCGGCGGCGGCGGCAGCGTCAGGATGTACGGCACCACCACATCCAACCTGTCGTACCCCCGACGAACACAGCGCCACGCCAGCCAACGGCCGCTGTAACCCATCTTCTCTGCCGCCGCCGCTGCTGCCGTACCACCCCCACCATCGGTCCCCATGTCGTACTCCACATCCATTGCCTCCAACCGGCCTGCTCCCAGTCCCCCACCATGTCGTCCCTGCTGCATCTGCTCCTGCACGCACATCAGCGCCCCCGCCAGCCGAGTGTGCAGCCGCATGCACTCCCGCCGAGCGGCGCAGGAGCCGGCAGCGGCGGACAGGCCCCCGGTGCCCTGCATGCCGGGGAAGGGAAAGAGGGGAGATGGCAACAGCGACGATGGTCCGGAGAGGAAACACAGCTCATGTACTCAAAGACTCCCACCTCGTTTACAATTAAGTGGCTTCCCGTCAGGATGCATCCTGTGAAGCCCACTTGCGCGGGATGCTAGGATCACCCATGTCTGCTTACCCACGCCGACGTACAGGTCCTCTTCACACGCCCGTTACCCACCCCCCGCAATCCCCCTCTCACCCGCCACAACCACAGCACCAGTGCAGGAAGCGTGCTGAAGGGCGATCGCCGCACTGCAGCAGCCGCTACTGCTGGTGCTGCTCCTGCGGCTCCCTCTCCACTGCCACCATGCCCACCGCCCTCCTGCCCTTCATCCTCACTGCCGCCATCATCCAGATCCTCCCATCCTCCTCCACCACCGCCACTGCCGTACAGATCTCCTCCGAACCCGTCGCCAGCTCCCGCTGTCGCCCCCACTGGCAGACACAGCTGCTGCGCTAGTTGCCTTGTTAGGCAATGGTGCAGCAGGCAGGTCAGGGCGCGGGACAGCGAGGCGCCGTAACCCAGGGATGAGGAGGTGGAGGCGACAGCTCCTGAAGTGGAAGGTCCGGATCCAGGTACGACAGAGGCTAGGGCGCCAGCTGAGGTGGAGCAAGAGCCGGGACCGTCAGCTATAGGGGGTGAGGGTAGGTTTTGGAAGAAGCAGCAAAGGGGAAAGGGGACGGTAGTCAGTTACCATTAGTATACCCGGTAGGCGATAAGAGACGGGGCCGTCAGCTAGCGGGGACGATCGAGCGTGGGTTTTAGAGACCGACGGAAGGGAAAAGGGGGAGCGAAAAGCACATTGTAATCAACAGAACAGGTAAAGTACTGGTAGTAGACTCTTCTGTCCACACACCTTGTCTTGCATTTTAATTGGTAGAAAATACAGCGCATGCAAGACATGTGCAATAGTGCTTGCACTTGACTCGTGACCCGTGGGTCATCGCCGCTCACCCAGGGGGTGTCTCAGTGCCCTCACGCACAGCCAGATCATCTCCAGCAGGTAGCCGTTAGCCAACGGTTGGTTGCGGTTGGTTGACAGATCCGTACGGCTCAACGGCCGCGCCAGTGCCGCCAGTGCGGTTGCGGCGCCCTGCCGTACGGTCGGGTCGGGTTGCGCCAGTCGGTCGAGCAGGCGGCGGAGCAGGGAGGTGGCGTTGACGCTCATGAGGGAGGAGCCATCTGATAGGGGGGGCGGGGCAGGGCAGGAGGGACGGGGTGGGGACAGCAACATGATTGGGTTGATAGCTGCCACAGGTTGATACACATACGCATGGGCCCGGTGCCTGCTGGCCGGTGCCTGCCGCCCCTGCCTCCCCTCATACCTGTCTCCGGTAGGTCCTGCTTCTGCGCCCACACCAGCCACTCGGCACACAGCGCCGCACACAGCTCCCGAACAGCGCTGCCGCCGCCACCGCTATGGATGCTGCTGCCGGCCCCGCCTCCATCGCCCTGGTCTCCTCCCGCCCCTCCTCCTCCCCCTCCCGCAGGCGCCAGTCCCGCCAGGATGGAGTCCAGCAGGGCCATCGCCTCCGCACCCTCCCGCCGGGCACCCCTGGGGGAGGGGCAGCATGGAACGGCAACATGACAGGGTGAGAGCAGGCACAAAGGTGCAAGGCAGCCGCACATCATTGCATGTTCTGCCCCCCTCCCCTCACCCCTCTCCCCTCCCCCCCCCGGCCCCACCTGGTGTACCAGTGCACCAGCTGGAAGGCCAGCTGACGGAACAGCTCCCGACTCAGCAGCGGCTCGCCAACCGCACCCTGACGCAACACAACCGGGAACAACCGCCGCAGCAGCCCATGAAACCGAGTGGGCCGCCTGCCGGGACCCCCTCCCCCTCCGCCTCCGCCTCCCCCGCCTCCGCCTCTCCCCAGCTCCTCCGGAAGCGCCGCATTGGCACCCACCACCCACAGCGTCGCGGCATGCAGCAGCTCGGCAGCCGCAGTACGGCACTGCGGCTCGGGGCTCTGCTCAGCCAGTCGGGCGGCGTGGGGCAGCAGCAGGTCCAGGTGCAGGCGAACACGGCGCCAGGGGGGGGTGCCGGCTGCGGCTGCTGCTGCGGAGCCAGGTGTGGCAGTTGTGGCAGCAGCGGAGGATGCGGCTGCAGTAGCCGCTGCACCAGCGGCACCGTCACTGGTAGCAGCAGCAGCAGATGTTGATGATGGCACCGCCACCTCCAGAGCGATCTTGGTGCAGTCCTCATCCCAGGGCAGGTCCTGCAGCAGCCGCATGGCGGCGGGGCCCACTGCTGCACCTCCCTCGCTCCCCTCGCCCCCTGCAGCGCCCGTCAGCAGCTGGGTGATGTGGGTTGCCGCCAGCAGTGCAGCCGCCTCCGGCTGGCGACCGCACCAGAGCTGCAGCCGGGACTGCAGGCGGGACAGCCGCCACTGGTGCCTTCGGCACTCATTGCAAGCGGCTGCCTTTGCCTGTAAGTAAGGAAGGTGTGCAGGCGGTTGCGTCATCTCGAAGAAGTGCGCTCCTCATGTACAACACATATCGTCCCGCATGGAAGCCCCCATCGTGCAGTTTCCTCTTGTACTGGTAGTATCGACCTATAGCCAACCCGGCAGTTGTTCCCTTACTATCCTTACGCTAAACTGAGGTGTCCGTGACCCCATGAGTCTCAGCACTCTACCAATCTACTTGCGCCTTTCTCTTAATGGCTGCTAGCACTTGGGCATTGAGACGTCAACGCTACCCGCAGCGCACACCGGGTATCCAAGGAATGGAGTGTGGCGTACCTTGGCAATGTGTATGGCTTCCTTCTCCTGAATGGATTCGGCAGTGATGACGGTAGCGGGCCGGTTGGCTTCATCAGCGTTGGGTGATGTCGCATCAATGGCTGGAACCGCCATTCCTCCACCCTCTCCATCCCCAAGCAACTCTGCCGCCCTTTGCTCCATCAAATAGGGCTCCAGCAGGGGAACAAAGTACGGCATGGCGGCCTGCAGGGGGATAGACACAATGGTAACGAATGAGTGCAACGGGCAACATGGAAAACATAGGAGCGGTCTAACCAGCATGCGGCCTGCAAACCTCAGCAGAAGTGCAGATTGAAATCCCATCCACAACACGGTTACAGTGCACTGTCCGTTGCGGCCACAAAAGCAGCAACAACTAGCCTCGCAATGGAACACATGCAGCTGCAGCAACGGCCCCGTACTAAGTACGGCCTCCTTCCCAAAGCAAGCTTCTACATCCCCCCATGCATATACCCCTTCCTCCACACACACACACCCTGAGCGCCTCCGGCTGCTGCTGCTCCCATCGCTCCAGCGCCGCCACCGCCGCCTCCGCCAGAGGCAGGTGCTGCAGCCCCAGCGGCAGTGCCAGCGCGAGTGGTTCGGCTATACCGCGACCTGATGCAGCTGCCGATGCTGCTGCATAGCCACCATGTGCCGCTGCTGCTGCTGCAACAGCCGGTGGTGTCAGCAGCAGCTGCGGGGGGGCTGAGAGCAGCAGCTCCAGACATGCGACCAACAGCTCGTCCTGGTGGGGAGGGCCATGTGCGGGGCAGTTGGTGTGGATGCGGTACGGAGTTCGGAAGGGGGCTTCGAAGAGTGGGAGGGAATGGCCTTGGTCTATGTAAGGGCCGGTAGGCGCAGGGTCGGTCAAACGACAACCCACAAGGCGCAGGCGGCCTCTGTTCTCCTTCCCGGCCAGCACCGCAGCATCGCACCTTGTACTGCGGGCAGCTGGCGGCTACCCGGGCTAGCAGACCACGAAACACCTCCGTAGTCGCCACCGCCGTCGCAGCCGCAGCCTCCTCTCCTCGCCCTGACGTCGTGCTTGCACCTCCACCTCCGCCGCCTCCCCCTCCGCCCCCCAGCCCCACCAGCAGCCCCGCCCGCTCCGCCAGCTCGACGGCGGCGGCGGTGATGCCGTACGTGGCGCTCACTAGGGGCGCCTCCGCCGCCGCCGCCGCCAGCGCCTCCGCCAGCGGCAGCGCCCAGCCGGCGAAGAGGGCGGGGCCGCAGGCGGGGAGCAGCTCCTGAAGCAAGGCTGCGAGGGGGCGGGATGGGAGGAGGGAGGAAACCAGTCTTATTTGCATCGTACATGTATGTATGCTATCGTGGATGTACAAAGATGTTGCATCACATGGAGGGGACCCTTTCCCAAGACGTGCCATGGAGGAGAATAAAGTGCCGGTCGGGCATAAATGATGCACCTGGCGTACCAGGCGCAGGCGCACACGCATGATGGACCTACATTTCAGGTTGAAATACGCCATCATGTCACGAAGGTTCCTGGCTAGTATACCGCCGTTGTTGGCGCCGACGTTGGAAGCATCTCCGGCCACTCCATCACGACCGCCATGGCCGGTGTTTGCATCCCTGCTGGCACTGCACATTCCTGCTCCTGGTCCGTCGCCATCCGCCGGACTGTACGACAGATCCAGGTTTCTGATGGTGTCAAGTACGGCAGCCATGAGGGTGTCGTACATGGCGACTCGCAGCTGGCGTTGTACGGCAGGTCCGTAGTTCCGGTCCAGGTCCGCCTGCAGTAACAAAGCGTCCTTATGCTGAAGACATGAGCTGAAAGGACAAACGCTGGCAGGGGGGAAGCGACCGCACCGCCGTTTATCCAAGCTATAAATCCCTGGTTTTGATTAGACCCTAGTCTGTAGTCCTGCCTCTAGTCGTCTTCCTACGTCACCCTAACCATCAAATAAGCTTTGCATTTCCATGTCGTACGTAATCACATGCCGTCCTCCAGAAAGTCACCTGTACAGTTGGTGGCAGGCCACTGCCTCCGCGTCCTCCTCGTTTCGTGCCAACATTCCAAAGGTCTGGTGAGGGCGGCAGCAGCAGCAGCACCCTCCAGAGCTCCAAGTACCTCTCCCAGGGAGCCAGCTGGACGTCTGCAAGGCCTTTAGTGTGTAGGTTCATGCGTTACAACATAAGTGGAGAATAAAGACGGTGCCATCTGCAAGGCACACGCACGATGCTCAGACATCTCAGAGTTAGGTACTGGGGGGTGACCCTAACTAGCTATAAAGGACACACTCCGCCGAAATAGGAAAGCACTACGCTCATGACTATCACTACCCAGGTCTGCGGAACGCAACAGCTTACCTTCTTCACCAGCAGCTTGCCGCTCGTCCTCGTCCCCATCCTCATGCTCCCACTCCTCAGCAGTCTCCACCTGTCCCTCCGCTGCTCCCTCCCCATCGCTTCCTCCTTCCCCTTCTCCGCCTTCTCCCCCTTCTCCGCCTTCTTCTCTTCCTCCTCCTCCCCCCTCCGCCAGCCCCTCCCCTGCCGCCCCCAGCCCCCCAGCTGCCGGCCCCAGGGTGCGGGCCAGCAGCCAGGCAACCAGCGGCTGCAGCACTCCGGGCAGCCGGCTGGGGTGGCGGCAGGACAGCTGGGAGGCAAAGGAAAGGGGGTGGAACAAAAGGGTACGTGGGTAGGTGTGGGACAGGAGAGGCAGTGCTAGACGTAAAACTTGTACGAGACTGCTAGTCCTAGTCCTAGTACACGGGACAGTCGCACGGTCTTCACTCCCATGCAACCCCATGCACCAGCTACAACCGCCCGCAGCTCCCCTGCCTCTTGTTTTGTGGTACCTTGCCGCCTCACTTCCCTACGGTACGTAACGTCTCATCCCTCACTTCTGGTTTGTGTTTTCTCATTCCCCTCCCCTTTCTCCATCCCCTTACCCGGTCTCTATCCCCAATGCTTTGCCCCAACCCGAGGTTCATACGGTTTGGTCTATCTTGACCCCCCACCCCCACCCCCACCCCACCTGCACCAGCGCCCCCAGCACCTCCCCGTGCACCCTCTGTTGCAGCAGGGGAACACCCGCGAACCGGGGGTAGGCCTCTGGTTTGGACGGATTCAAATATGAGGATAGGAGTTAAGGGAGAGGTCAAGGTAATAAGGGTTAGGGAAGCGCAGCAACCAAAACGATAGAAGCCAAGCGCAGCAACCAAAGCGATATTACGATGCCAGGTAGTGGGGGTGGCAGCAGCATCCTGCCCGCCCGCCGCCCTCCCCCCACCCTTATATCACTCTATCGTCCACTTCTCGCACGTGCCATACCTTCCACACGCACCCTCCCACACTCACCCACAAGCCCATTGAAGAGGGCCCCTATCAAGCCTCCCGTCGCATCATCCAGCACCCGCATGCGGCTGGCCACCGCCGCCACTGCACTCAGCACCACACCGCATGCCTCCAGCCGCTCTCGCAAGGCGTCGTGCCTAGTCTTGCCCCCAGCACTGCAGTCGCCACCCAGACCGATATCGTGGATGTACCACACCGCACTGGCGTCAAAGCAGGTGCCGCTACCGGCAGCAGTAGTGGCCACGCCGCCGTCAGCAGGGATAGCGGCATCTGCAAAAATGCCCGTCGCGGCTGCCACTCGATCCCTCAGCTGCCGCATGAGGTCCAAGAGGCCCTGTATGCAGCAGATAGGGGTGCATGGCTGCTTGTACACAGTGGGTTTGAGCATAATGTAGCTAGGGAGCATGCAATGGCTGCATTTCCGGTGAGCCCCGTCGATGCATGTTTCCGACCCGCCCGCCTTCCCCTTCCATTCCCCTCAAGTGCTGCTGGCTCCTGCTGAATTCTCCCCCTGCAGACCTCCCAAGCCAATTCTTGCATGTCGCCTCCGTTGTCCCCCGGCGTCTGCACTTCCTGACAACCCTCCATTGCTTCCAAGCTACCTGTGCCACTCTGGATTCCATCCCTTCACACAAAGCCTAGTAACTCATCTACTCCCATGACTGCCTATCATAACCCTGCTGAGCGCGAACTTCGTCGCTTCATTTTCTTCTGCGCCCGCCACCACCTACCTGCTCCCCCTCTACCAGGGCTACCGGCTCCGCCAGAGTCGCCATGCACCTGAAGGCCATGAACACCACACGGCTGGGGCCGGCTGGGTCGCCACCACCGCCATTGCCGCCCTCGCTTCCGGCAATGAACGCGGGGGTACCCGCGAGGGATACCAGTTTCGCGATGAGCAACTGCGGCCGACAAGACAAGAGAACAGAACGAAGGGGGCAAAGTTGAAAGGTCAGGATTAGATTCGTGAGCTGGGGCAGATGCACGAGGTGGCCCCTGGTTGCTGTTACAGGTGGGTGTTACACGCTTATGTCATGGGCGCCACGGTCCCGTAGCATGCATACCAGTTGACATACGCACGCACGTGCCGAATCCAGTAGAACGCCCTAAATCCACCACTCCGTCGCCCAGGAGTAGCCAGCTATCCCCGCCTCCTGCTCTTCCTTCGTCGTAAAAGTCCTGACCACCCTTTGCGTGGTATGTACTTCCCCGGTTCACCTTGAGCTCCTCCTGAGTGCCGGCCTTATCAGCTCTCGCACACAGCTCCTCCGATACCTATAGAGGGAGCGCATGTAGGTATGTGGGTATGTCACGCATGCCGTATTGTGTACTGCCTCTCGGATATCTAGTCGTCTGTATGTTGTGCGTATGCATTGGAACACATGTTGATATGTGTGACTACTCCTATTTTAGCTATCGTAGGCTTATCGCAGGCCTACGAGTATGGCCTATTGTGCCCCCGATGCTGCACCATACTGCGGTAGTCGACACGGTGACGCGCCACAGCAGGGCCCCCCCTACCCCCACCTGGCGCATCACCTCGACCACCCTTGCAGCCGCCTCTCTGCGAACATCGATCGTGTTGTGATTCACCAACGCCTTCCAGATGTCCAGCAGTTCCTGGATGGGAAGGTAAGGGAATCCGTGTTTCGGTGGAGGCAAGTCAGGACGGAGAACGAAATGTTATAAAGGATGGCCGCAATAGCTCTCATTTATTTTTGCTACCGCGCGTTACATGCCCTGCGTCTTGACCCCTGTTCCCGGCAGCGCCCATGCGGCCGTTTGCGGCCAGCCTTGCCCCATCAAGCCCTCTCCCAGCCCCCACCTGTTAAAAGCAATCTGATGCAGGCCTGCCCGCCCGTATCCTTGCAATCTGCATGCTGCCATTCTGCTTCGCAGCCCCTCTCCGGCCCCCTACCCTGGTTACCTCCTGCCAGCCTGCATTCACGCCTGACTGCTGCCATTCTGCCCCTCACCTGACAGTCTGCGGCCAACTTTACTCTCAGCCCCACCCCTGGCCGGGAAACCAGCCGCATAGCGGCCAGGAAGTGCATACTGCGGCCGTCTGCGTGTTTTGACAGCAGGAACTTTGCACGGCGATAGGCTTGAGCAGCCAGCTTCTCCCGGCTATCCTGCTCAGGTGAAGTAGGTAGGGGAGGGAAGCGTAACCAGGTATGTAGAGTTTTGGTGGCTGGTCCACTATGTGTAGCTTGCACTTGATGAGGGCGTGTGCGCTTCTGGAAATTCACCTTTTATGTTCCCCAAGTGGCCCTGACTAGCTTGCCTGAAACCAATGACGCTCTTCACACAGCTCTGCTCTCCATTGGACACTACTCTCCGAGGTCTCTAGGGCGGCTCTCTCCAACTCGTTTCAAGCTTTATCCTCAGGCAGGTGTCGTATCCCTCCCAGCTATCTCGTTCAACACCACAACCGGTATCACCACCTGAGGCTGCACCCAGGGCAGCAAGTGGGTGAGTGCCGTCAGTGCGCCTGCTTCCTCCACCGTCAGTGCGCCTGCTACCTCCACCGGCGCACTGGTGGTTGCCGGTACGTCCCCGGCAGGTGCAGTCCCGGAAGGCAGGTTAGCCTCCTTGTCTTCGTGCCTGCTGGTAGGTATAGCCCGGAACGACGAGGTAGGGGAGCATCAAACCGTCAACAATGAGTACACTGGTACGGTCAGCGGCTAGAGCGGGATGTGTCCGTTGGATGCAACCTATCTAGAGATCTGTCCGATCCACATGTCCGTCACCTTTACCATACCTTCACGCCAATGTCGTGTGGTCAACGCACGCTATGACACGCTTCAGTTTTGCGGCTCTACAGACCATTACCGGTCACAAAATGTCATCCGGATCTCACCTCTGCGGGAGCTTCTCCACCGCCGTCTGCGCCAGCACCATTGGGCACAGGCCCGCCAGGCCCTCCCTGTCGTACTCCCGGCCGTACGCTCGGTCCACGATGATTGCCAGCAGCTTGAGCAGCTCCGCCTTCACACCCGCAGCCTTCTTCTTACGCCGCTGCGTTGGTGCATAGGTGGGGCAGGCATCTGAAGTACTTTCAGGCAACCTTTTTGCGTATGTATGGTTCCCTAACCATCGACAACCATTCAACCACGTTACAACTAACCCCCGACCCATGGGTCACTAGACCACCCACAGCCCCCCCAAAGCAACTCCACCCTACCAGCAGCGCTGCCTGCAGCTTCCCGGCATGGGGCAGCAGCGCCGACAGCACCGCGTCAGCCCCCGGGGCCTCGGCCTGGGGGTGAGTGGAGGGTGGGGTACGATACAAAGGGGACAGTAAGGAAACCGGCGTCCTATGCTGGAAGGGGAGACCGACCAAAAGATTAGGGTCGGCGGGTTAGGGACATGCAGGTAATGGAACACAGAAAGCATTTACCGGTATATGCTCTTTGTGATAGCGTGTACTGGTCTTAGGTTTGTATGTGAATTATTGCCTCGCCATTAGCCTCCACGCACACACCCCCTCCCAATCCCCTTCTGCCGCATGTCATTGGTGACCTAATGTATTCTCCCACGCTTCGTGCCAAACAACGCACGCAGTCTCCTTCCTGCTAACCGCCTTAACCCAGGCAATTCACCCAGTAATATCATTCCCCACCCAACATATGGTTTGGTGCATTCCTTACCCCGCCTGCACACCGTACACTGTACACCGTACAACGCCCAGGCCGCCCCAACCACCAAGTGTATCCCCAATGGGTATTAATATGTCCGTCTGCTGCACATAACAGCTCCTTTTGGCTTCTTTGCCCCTCCCCAAACATTTCGTCCTCACCTCCAACAGCAGCAGTGTGGACAGCAGCGATAGCGCGGCCTTGCAAGCCTGCGGGCATGGCTGTAAGCTGTCAATTAATACTCGCGATTCAAATAGTGCGGCATACTATTGCAGCCGATTGGGTGGGAGTTGGGATTTACGGGGAGGACGGGAGGCGGGTCAATCTTGCTCAGGCAGTAAGTATGAAGTGTCGACCCACCTTCGCATGCTTCGTCACCCGATCCATGTATGTATGCACATCATCCACAAACTTCACAGCAAGAGATGAGGGGAACTCGGACGAGGTCTGCGTTAGATCATTTCCTGAAAAGCTTGTTGTGGCAGGTGCTGTTCCCTGCACACGCTCGTGTTGACCATCTGCCGCTGGCTGCTGTGACTGCTGTGGCTGCTGTGGCTGCTGTCCACAGTTGAGCAGCCCCAGCTTCCTTTTCCATTCCCCGTTCTTCCTTAAGCAGGCTTCCAGGAACCGGAGAATTTTAGCATGAGAGTTGAAGTCGGCTGCAGGAGAGGAGCTCGCCGTTAGGAAGGCAACCGGACATATTGCCATCCACGCAGCATACATGGATACGGATTAGTTAGGCAATGCTCATGTCGGGGCACTTTCAATACCCAATATCTTCGTACTTACGGCCATTACACTAAAAGCATCTTGGCAACGGAACGGGACTATCAAAGGGTTCGGCAAGCGATATGCATGCCAAGAACGTCCGGTCGGGAACAAATAAATGTTACAGTACTACTTTAGAACAAAACATTATAATGTTAAGCGCAATTTACCGGCATGAACGATAAGGCTTTAATCACAAGGGTGGCCTGTAACGCTTGTATCTGCACTGGTTACGGCGTACTCGCTCTTACCGTTGCCTTGGTTTTCGGTTGACTTGGTGATTGTATGAATTATGGACGTGTCGCAGTTGGAGATAAGCAGGGCCAGAAGCCAGTCGGCATCCTCAGGGCTTGCAATTGCTATATCGAGCAACTGCTTAGCTGCTAGCAACTCCTTCCCGAAGGCGTCTGCCTCGCCTTTCGCGCATCCCAGTCGTCTAAGCTGAACTAATGCATTTTGGACGTTCTCCATTTCAGCATGCGTTTCGACTGCAACTCGCCAAAGCGGTCATTTATTAGCCGCCTATTCCCAGCGTCCAACTCAACTGGAAAAGCTAAAATTTGCCTTCCGGTGTAAGAGATAGATAGGCATCGCAGCTTAGGGCACATATGCTTGCCTCACTGCGTCGTGATTTCATTTTCGTTGGTATACGTGGTATGGTTCCATATTTTTGTCTGATAGGTATGTTAACGTTGGAAGTAACGGTGCATGAGGACCTAAGACGTTCCAGCAAATGACCATGCAGATCCTTAATGCAGATCACTTTGTAGTAAACTCGTCATAATCATCGATGCATGAACAATGGTATATCGTGCAGGCGCCATTGACTTGTGCAAGGTGACAGTGAAGTTGGTTCGTTAGCTTCTACTGGGTAGGGGGCCCTGCTTGCCTCGTCCAAAGCCGAGGCAGCAGCTACAACGAAGCCCAGTAATGGCTCGTTGCATGCCTCTTCTTCATGTGCAAGGTAAAACTGTAAACGGAATGGCTGCAATTCCGGTGAAGAAGGCACATGAAGAACAGACAGGGTCGAATGCAACACGCGGATATTAATTTCTGGTTCTGTGTAAAAAGCAAAACCCGAGTGCTAGAGGTCAGGGTTTAATGTGGCCAATACGGTACCCTCCGGGCGGCGAGGTGGTGAGTGCAGGGCCATGCTGTGCGTGTACTGCAATGTTTGCGTTGCTTGCTTCCGGTTGCGAAGCCCCTGGGTTCGTAGGTCATGTAGTCCTTGGAGTAATGTTGCAGCATTCACAATTATTTGTTCTGGCGAAGTTGTGAATTGACTCCAGGACCCTGATAAAATGTCTGAGGGGTCTCGTACAGAGTCCTACTTGTGCAAGGTGACCGTACGGCAAGCTCGCTGTGCTGTGATAGCAGAACAAGTCTGACCGCAATGGTTCGTGGGGTTGTGCGGTAGGGCGGAGGGCCATACACCGTACTATGCCGTGATTGACGCTGGTGCGGACTCCCCAAACTTGGAATCTGTCTCCCTGGAGACGGCGAACTCTATATAAAAATTGCAAGCTAGCGCTACTGCATCACGTCGAGGAGTAGCGTATCACGTGCTTTTGTTGTAACAATTGTCCTCTGCCTGCATATCGGTGTGGTTGACATGCTTACGTACGCATCTTGTGCCCAAGCAAACCTAAACGCCTTGTCTTTGTTACGCGCTAATTGGCAGTATATATAGGTAGGTATGCATATACGATTTGTTGCATTAGTACGTTGGGAGAATGGTTTCAAGGAAGCGTTTTGGCGTCTTTCTATTGATGGGGTTCCCTTGCTGGGGAATTCTCATATGTCTAGGGCTCGTCCGGAATGTTGTGGTTGTGGGTCCGTTGTCTTGGGGGTGTCTCCGCGGTTGCATTTTTTCTGGGCTTGTCCTGTTGCTCGTGCTGTGGTTGAGCAGCTTGAGGTCACGCTGGGTATTGCGGTTCCTCGGGCTGCCTTGTGGTTGGCGTTGCCTCCTTCGGGCGTGCAGCAGTGCGTTTGGGATGTTGTTGTTTTGGCTGCTTTGTCCGCTATGGAGGAGGGTCGGCGGTTGTTACGGGCTCGTGTACGTGAGTCTGGTTCTGCGAGTGTTGTGCCTGGGCTTGCTGCTGTGGTGGCCCTGTCTGCTGTTTCCTGGTTCTGGGGTCAGCTTCGGGGTTTTGCTTGTTTGGGTGTTCCCCGTCGGGGATGGGCTGGGGTTGGCCCTTCTCATCCTTTCTTACGTATTGTTGGCGGGCGGTTTTCTGTGGGCCGTTGAGCGTCCTGTTTTTTGGCCCTGATGCCTTTGGGGTGGTGTGTTCGTGGCTTCCGGTTTGGGTTGTCTTATGCCCTAGATGAAGTTTGTCGAGGTTTGCTGAGGGGCCTTTTCTTGGCTTCTACCCTCTTGTTTCCCTCCTGAGGTTTCTTTTAGGGCTATGTCTCCCATCTTGTTGGCCTGTTGTGGTGCTGTCTCTACGGTTTGTTCCGTTTCTTTTGCAATGTAGGGTTGGGTTCATCACCCGTGTTCCCTTTTAGGGCACCATTGTAACGATCATTCATTCAGTACGTGGGCCGCTCGCTGTTGAAGCCACGCATTACTGTAGGTACAGGTGGCCGCGGAAGTACCTTCCGGCGCTCACAAGGCACATATTAGGAAGTTCGTCCAGTTTGACTGGGTGGTGGCTGTGTACTGTGGCGAAGTTGCCCGCTGCCTCCAGGATGGGAGCCTGTGAGTTGTGAGTTTTGCACGTAGTCCGTGCCGAGAAGAAGCATGTAAAGATTTAGCCATGTTATAAAGGTCAGTGACTAAACGCATCTTCACCTTGCACTCTCACCCTGAGGATGTTGTTAAAAGGATACAAGCTCCCCAGGATCGTACTCCCCAGACTAGCCAAGCGGTTGATGGAAGGCACGCATTACATCCAAGGACACAAACAGATGACTCTCGCAAGTTGCTCACGGCTATTTTGCAAGCTCGTTGGACTATGAGTCACGATGAATGATCAACAGAGTTGCCGACGGGCGCCTATACGTTTAAGTCTTTCGGTTTATCGAACTGTATGACTTTCATCCACACACGCCCTGAGGTAGTTGCCTAAACACCGAAGGAACTGTTCGTAACATTCTGCCATGCTAGTCAGTGTCTTACTGCGCACGTTCTTTACTCGGTGTAATAAGCCGTTCTGCAACTACCGGTATGTCTCAGAACTTATGAAGGCCGTAACGACGAGTACGCACACTGTAGCCCACCAGCCTTCATCACATGGCGCCAAACATGGAGCAAGTCAGGGCAGCGCTCACTGAGCTGCGACTCCTAGCTCATCAGCCTGACGCAAGAGACTTTTCAGAAGCATGGCTGTCCGCCAAGCAATCGCTCGATGAAGTCAGCGCGTTTCCGGAGAATGGCAGATTGCTGCTGGAGCTGCTTATTTTGGAGAGCGACACATCGCTTATTATAACGCTTCGTGAGGCTAGGAAGAACCATACAGGCGCGGGTAAGGGCGAAGAGAAGTCGCCAAAGTTGCGCCAAGTGTGTACGGTAGCTTGCTCTGGATCGAGCGCAAACCCCGAACCAAAGGGATACGGAACACGTGATATGAAGTGAACCTCGCACATCACAACATCAGCAACTCAAAACCCCCCCATCTGTTAAAGTTGTGAGAACACATCCCCAGCCGTCATGGAATCCACCTCAAGCAATCCCTTTTAGCCGGCCAACCTGCAATGCAACGTTGCAATTATCCACATCATACCGTGCTTGCGCCCTGCATGTTTCCTAGGCATCCCAAGACCCTGCTGCCTCCCTGTCGTGGCTGCATCCCTCATCCACCAACACCGGCGGCCTCATCCGTAGCCATCAAGGCAGCACGTCCTCCCTCCCTTACCTCCACGCCCGCCCCTTTCCTACATGCCATTCGGCCGACCCCATCGCTCCCATTCCCTCCTCCTCGCCAGGCCAAACCACCACCGCCGCTGGATCCACCCGCGCAAAGCTCCTGCGCTACTTGGAGGAGGGGCTGCGGGAGCGGGAGGAGTGGCGGGCGGCGCTAGGGCTGCAGGGGGCAGCAGGGGAGGCAGGGGGGTCAGGGCTAGGGCTGCAGGGCGGGGGTGTTGCGGCAGCAGCAGCTGCAGCAGTGCAGGATGAACGAAGGCAGGAGGAAGATGAGGAGCAGCGGAGAGGCAGGAGAGGCAGACAGCAGGGGCAGCGTCAGACGCAGTATGCAGGGGGGCAGAGCGGGATGGAGGAGGCAGGGGAGGAGTCGGGAGGAGGATGGGAAAGGGACACAGCCGCCGTTGCCGGTTGTCCTGCCGTACAGTTTGCTGGGGAGTTGTACGACATTCAGCGGGAGGAGGACAAGTACGCGCCGGTGGGTGAAGAGGAAGTAGGAGGTTGAAAGCCAGCGAGGAAGAGGAGAGGGGCTGGGAGGCATATGTAGGGACATTCAGGTCATTGTGGTGAACTTGTAATGATGGCGAGCTAGAGGCACACCTTTGAAGTTAGTCCAGTTGAGTACACCTCCCTGCAACCCACCACCCCATATGGTCAGTTACCGTACTTCCTCCTTACCACCTCCCCTTCCTCTCTCCTCCCCTGGCCCCTCCACTACCCGCTCCACCCCCTCAGGCTCGCCAAGCTGCCCTGTCACTGCTGTCCACGCTGCTGCAGCTGGAGGTGAGGGACATGGGGTGGGGCCAGGGAGGGCAAGAAAGGGGAAGCATTACCTTTGTGGAAGTGAGGGGCGGGGACTCTACGCCTCCACGACACCCCACCAGCGCCAGCAGCACACCCCTCTGCACACTCTCACCCCCCCACCCATACAGCCAGTTAGTTGTTTCCTCCTTACCCGACCCTCCACTCACCCCGCAGGCCGAGGCCCCGGGGGCTGACGCGGTGCTGTCGGCGTTGCTGCCCCGTGCCGGGGAGCTGCAGGCTGCGCTGGTAGAGTGGAGTTGTTTTGGGGGGGGGCGGGCGGCTGTGGGTGGCCTAGTGACCCATGGGTCAGGAACTCGCATTGGATTATATGGATGACAGGGTGTGTCCACGCTCGGTCGTGTTTGCAGTAGCTGCTGTAACGACATTCGAATACACTCGTGTGGTTTGCCATGCCCAATCCTACCCCAGCGGCGTGAGAAGAAGGCTGCGGGTGTGAAGGCGGAGCTGCTCAAGCTGCTAGCAATCATCGTGGACAGGGCGTACGACAGAGCGTACGACAAGGAGTACGGCAGGAGTGGTGCTGCCACACGTACCGCAACAGCACCAGGAAGAGGAGGAGAGGCAGGAGGAGGAGGCCCTCAGCAGTCTCCGCAGCCCCAGCAGCTGCAGCCGCCAGTTGCGGAACTGGGCGGGGCAGCTCCGGAGGCGCTGGCGCAGATGGCGCTTCAGATCCTGGAGTGAGTGTGGACACCCTAGCAGGGGAGGGAGTGGAGCGGGCAGTCTCCAGCAGGGGAGGGAGTGGGGCTACCGCGATTACATGGTCGCGTGCTGCGAGCTACGTTGGGGGCAGTGCTGGTTGAAGGATGAAGACCGCACTGCCTACGCTGATCTTGCTTCCCTGCGCCGCCCTACCCCATGCCCCCTCCCCTCCTCCCCCCCCCAGTGGCTCCCCCAAGGCCCGCGAGGTGGCGGGGGCGCTGGCGGCGCTGGGGCAGCTGCTGCCCTGGGTGCAGCCGCAGGTGGGGTGGGGGGGGCGGGGAGTGAGGAGGGTAGGCCGCGACCCATGCATTAATGCCCCCCACACCCTCACCCTCCCCTCCCCACCCCTCCCCTCCCCACCCCTCTCCCGCAGTCCCTGCGCGGCTCGCTGGCCAGTCGCGCCTACTCCAGCTGCGCGCAGCCGCTGCTGCGGCAGCTGACCCGCCTGCCCCGCGCGCCCTCCGCCTACGAGCCCTTCCTGGCCGCCATGCGGCTGGTCTGCCGGCCGGGAGGGGGGCTGGCGGGCTGGCTGGCAGCGGACTGCCAGGTAGGGCAGCGGGGCAGCAGGGGGCTGGAGGAGTCCGCTGATGAGACCGACTGTTGCATGGACGTCTGCCCTCCGTTGCTTGTTTGCTAGCATCATTAAACACCTTGGGATTCTTCTTTTCCCCCCTCTACCGCTCCCGTCTTCCCCTTCTGCCGCATGCATGCCGCTTCGTGGCGTGCCTGCTGCCTACCCGTCTTGGCCCTCCAGACCTCCTCCCCTCCATTTGCAGCAGCACATCTTTACTCACCCTACTCCGCTGCTCCCTTCCCCTACCGCTCCCTTCTTCCCCCTCTTGCCCTCTGCTCCCACCACTGTCCCCTCCATTCCTTCATCCTTACCTCCTCCCCCCCTCCCGCCCCCCAGGAGCTGCTCGATGTGTGGCGGGTGCTGGTGACTCACAACAACCGGGAGGTGCGGCGGACGGCGGAGGCGGGGGCGCCGGGGCTGCTGGGTCAGGTGAGGGGGCGGAGGCGGGGGCGCCGGGGTTGCTGCCAGGATGAGGGGTGTGGGGCGGTGGGGGTTACATTGGGTAGGGGGAGAGGGTGACTTACCGGGGGCGCGCGTCTCACTGTTCCCTCACCTTCCTCCTTCTTGGTCTTGTTTGCTGTGTTACCGCTGCTGTGCAGATATCGGAGGAGCTGTGTGGCAGGGCGGGGGAGCCGGGTACGCGCGAGCAGCTCAAGGTGAGGGTGGGGACAGGGGAGAGGTGAGGGGGCTTCATAAGCGGGGGTATGGATCAGGACGGGATTGGTGTCAGCTAGGGCGGGATTGGGGCGGCGAGCAATGCCTGCGTGTGCTGCCTGCGTTCGCTCAGGTGAGGCCTGCGGGTGTTCCTTCAAGTGGCGCCTGCTCACTTTCGTGGTGGCCTGCACACTTGCGTGCCTATATGTGAGGCGTGTGTGCTTTTGCTTAGTGCGGGCGTACAGGCGTGTGCGGCCGCGGCCTGCTTAGGCGTGTACGGCCGTCGTGAGGGCGTGTACGGCCTGTAGTGAGTGACAGCAATCTCGCTTTCACCTCGCCACACCTCAGCAGCCATGCCTTGCCTTTCCGTTGCTGACAGCCGCCCCGGCCACCCCCCCTCAACCCCGGTGTCAGGTGCTGGTTGCTCGAGTGCTGTCCCTCGCAGACACCCCCACCTCCACCTCCACCTCCGCTGCTGGCGAACTCTCGACTGCTGCTGATGCTGCTGATGCTGCTGATGGTGGTGACGGAGGCGGCCCCGAGGTTGGAGGCAGCGGCGGTGGTGGTCTGGGAGGCGCCGGTCGTGTGGTGCTGCTGGCTGCTCGGGGCGTGGCGGCACTGGCGGAGCCGGTAGCGAGGATGGAGGGGGAGCAGGTGGGGGGCCGGGTGGGGGTGGGGGTGGGGGGAGCAGGTGGGAGGAGGTGGGGGTGGGGGTGTTGATGGGGTGGAGGGGCGGCTGCATCTTCCGCTGCTCATGGGGGGGGCATCTGCTGCTGGAGGCCGCATGCACGCGTGACAAAGGGCCTGCGGGTCATAAACACCCCTGCTGCACCCCCCCCCGCACCCCCCGGGTGCCTGCTGCGCAGGGTCTGCTGGACCTGCTGCGGGCGCTGAGGGGCCAAGTGGCGCCCGCTGCCGGCATCACCCTGGGAGCAGCAGCAGCCGGCAGCAGCACTGCTGGCGGCACTGTGGGGGATGCGGACAGCAGCAGCAGCGGCCTCAGCGGTGGTGCTTATGACGACGGCAGCAGTGGTGGTGGTGTTGGGCTGGGAGGTCTGGAGGCCTGCGGTGCGGTGCTGGGTGC